TAAAGAAGAACGGAATTGGGGCAGATACTAGATAGTGAAGAAACAATGAGTAGCCTTGACGGGGACATTGATGCCAGGTACTCGCTAGTTATGTATTTCCCTAAATGCCGTGCAATCACTTCGACTCTTGACTTCCTATCCTTCTTATTCTATATGTCTCTGAGTGTATCGGTGCTCCGAAAGAATTGCTCATATACAAAGCAGAACGTAACGAACCGGCGTTATTGATGCGCGGAGGAGTGCCTTTACTGTCCCCCTTTTTTTTTTGGGAGGAGGGAGCATTTACTTCCTTTGTCGCGAGAGGTCAACGAAGGATTTTGTTTTCCCGCAAACTGCACAACAGCTATGCTCCCAAAGGATGTGTGATGCGCCATGCTCCTCTTAATTTATTTATATCGTTTTCTTGTAAAGCAGTGACGCCTCGTTGTATTGTCGCACTTCTCTCTCGTCTAACGCGGGTTGTTCTGCCTTCCCCCCCCCCAATCTCTCTTTTCTCTCTTACTGTTGCAATAGCACTTCTCTTTCACTGTGGTTTATATCGGCTCGTTGATCTTCTTCTGTTTTTTCTCTATCTCTTTCTTTGGCTGTCGCGAACGAAGCGGGGACGCAGGGAGACGATGCGCCGTGCAATCCGCCTGCCCTCCTGTTGCTCTTCTCTTTTTCAGTGAAGTCCTTTGCACGTACTGTGTCTGTCGTCGTTGCGGGCAACGACATTGTTGCGCGGCCTCCTGCAAGCTTCATCTTCTGTCGTGTCCGTTGCATTGAGCTCGTATCTAGGATACCTGCCTCAGCGTTTGCGAAACTCCCGCTGCTTACGTGAATCAAAGAAAACAAAAGAATATCTTTCTTTTATATGCTTTCTATTGTTTCCCGATTTTCTCTCGTTATCCATTCAGATATATAAGGAACACCTATTTTGTATCTCGTTAAAATACAGAAAGCAAAACCGAATTTTCAGCGCACTGCACCGGCGATGAAAAAGGGAAAAGGACTGCGAAAAATGGGAGGGGTGTGCGCTGCTCACAGTGGTTCTCCACGCGTGACTCTAAAAGAGGAGCGGTGCTTCTTTGTTGTCGCGCTACTTTAAATAGTTTGTACGGCAGCAGCGACTTCAACGCGTGTTGGATCGGCGCTTCCTTTCCGCTATGTTGTCGACGAGGTGCGTGCTTTTCTCGTTCCTCGCCATTTTTACTGCTGACTCGTCTCGGTTCATCTCCGACTCTCTCCTCCGTTTTTGTTTTCTTTTGGGTTACCGAAATCACCGTGCGTCTCTTGTGCGGTTCTTTTCATCTGTCTTTGCGACCTCGCGCTCTCGGCAACGATCACATCATAGCTGATATCTTCGCCATCTCTTGTGCGCAGGATCTCGCCAACTGCTTTTCCACTTCTATCTCACATTCCACCGCCGAGGCTGAAAGTCGTCGTCTTCTGTCACCGCTAGACACATACACACCGTTTTCTTCTCTTCATTTTTTTCTTCTTTTTCTCTCATTCCATCATGCCTCCGACTAAGGGTGGAAAGCGTCCGATCCCGCTAGGCGGCAAGGGCAAGGGCAAGCGCTCGGTCGGCAAGGCGGCCAAGTCCGGCGGCGACCGCAAACACCGCAGCAACCAGAAGCGCCAGCAGCACTGGGATATCTACATCCACCGTGCGCTTCGCCGCTTCTTCAAGCGCGGCACGCTGAGCAAGGCGGCAGTACGCGTGCTTTCATCCTTTATTGAGGATATGTTCAACCGCATCCAGACAGAGGCCGTTTTCGTGGCAAAGATCAACAAGGTGAAGACATTGACGGCACGCGAAATTCAAACGTCGGCGCGTCTTCTTCTGCCGCCGGAGCTGGCGAAACACGCCATGAGCGAAGGCACCAAGGCCGTAGCCAAGTATAACGCTTCCCGCGGTGAGGCGTACGCTCAGGGTGGTATTTGAGGGGGCGCAACCAATGCTGGACGGCGAAAGAAACAAACTCTTCTTCTACACACAGACTTTTTTCTTTTTTCTTCTTCGCTGTTTCTTTGTTCTGCCAATCAGCAGACGCTGCGGTTTTCAATATAGATTTGATTTGAGGGTGTTTGCGTACCGGTTCCCCCCGCAGAAGAGCGAAGACTCGGGGGTTTTCTTCAGCGAAGTGGCTGCGCTGACTCGCAGGACGCCTACTCGTCGCACTTTTAGCTCGAACTACTGTACCTTTTTTCTGTATGTTTCTTCGTAGTGTTTTTTGTCTTTCCCTCGCACGCTCCTGCGCACCGAGACGACCCCCGCACCGTCTTCGATTCCATTTTTCTAGAGTAACGTAAATCAAAGAAGAAGACAGACAAATACGCCGGGAATTAGAAGGAGATCATTGCGAAGCTGGACACGGGTGGCGGGGGGGGGGGACGGGAATTTGCTGACAATGCCAAACCTCAACCAAAAAAAGGGCATTCAATGTGCGGCACCGTGACCTCTCTGATCTTCCATCCGAGTCTTCGCTCACTCTTCGCATATCTTGCACGATAAAGACGTTGCGTAGAGGGAAAATGAAAATGATACTGGTCTTGGGGTGCGTAGGACGCACAAGGTGCGATGGAGCTGTTCACTACAACTATAGATGCTGGATAAAAACAAAAGGAAAGCATAAGTGATGCGACCTAGCGAATAAAGGACGCTTGCAAGACACGATGTGTGAACCGCAGCAACAAAACTCTGCACCGTTGGTGGCTCAGAATCAAGCTTCCGCAAGTGAAGGCTATCAAACCTAACTCAGACGGCTCCTCTGCGCCTCTTGAGCGACTTCGGCGTTGTTAGACACAACCCACAAACTTCGTCCACGACAACAGCGGCCGTGTTTCACTCTACGCATATGCGAATATTCCGATTTGCAGACGATTGCTGATGCGTGACTTTTCGATAGTATTCGCCTCTGCTGGTTTCGTTTGTGCTTCACAGCCTCTTCTGTTCCTCTGTTTTTCTTCGATTATGCCTGCGCGGCGCCACGCACTTGCGCATGTAAGAGACACGCAAGCGAAGTCTCACCCCCTGCAACTTAATTCGTCTTTCAATCAAATACCCACACACGCACACGCACACACACGCTCAACGACGAGGCAGCGAAGGATAGGTGTGCTTGCTGCCGTATGCTTCACCCACGTTACACACCCCAAGTCTGATGGTGTAGGCCCGATAATAGCAGCGCGGCACCATGGACGTATTTGGCAAGCGCCACCGCGTCGTCGGAGGCCTCCTCTCCGTCGCGCCTGACTGGTACGTTTGGTTCTGGGCCTACCTGCTCACGACCGGATCCGCCGCCGCGGTCGTGTATCTTTCACACGACATGTGGCCACGAGCGCACCAGGCCATCGCGTACGGTCTCATCTTGGCGAACCAAATCTCCTCGTATGTTCTGCTCCTCTCCGACCCCGGTATATACCCGCGGAGGCAGCCGCCAGACGAGCCTCCACCGTCAGCAGACGGCACCGCCGACGCTGAGAAAGGCGAAGGGCGGTCGTACTGCCGTCACTGTCGTCTCTACAGGCCGCCCCGCTGTTCCCACTGCTACGTCTGCGGGGTGTGCATCCTCGAGCACGACCACCACTGCGTACTCCTCGGCGTCTGCGTAGGAAAGCGCAGTATGCGGTGGTTCGTCGTGTATTTAGTCACCACCACGCTTCAGCTCTACGCGGGCATGTTCTTCCTCATCCTATCCTTCCGACGAACACCCTTCGAGGAGGACTGGAAGAGGCTGCCGCCTCCCGATGGGGCGCATGCGTGGACACCCGAGGCCGCCGAGGCCTTCAACAATCACGCGGCGTTTACCATTCTCTTTCATCTCTCCGTGATGGGGATCATCGCTGTATTAATGGTGCCGGTCACGGTGGGCACGGTGGCCTACGTGCTGTTGCCGCTGACGAACACAACGTGGCGTGAGGCGAAGCGCGATGGGATCCACCTGCGCAAACCCGAAGACTTCAGGCGGCATTTTTGGATATCGCAGCTGTTCGTGAACATCCACAAAATGCTGTGCGCCGGTCCGTCGTTGCTCTCCACCCGGGGCAAGAAATAGCAAGGAGAGACGTTATCAAAACTGTTGATGAGTCGTAAAGATCAATTGAGAAAACAACCTTTCCTTTTATTGCTTCTAAACTCTTCTTCTTTTTCTTATCTGGTGTGCTTGTGCGGGTACGGCGCTGTTGCCAGTTTCACCGCACTTACCAAATCTTCATGCATTGACCACAGTAGTGAGTTCTGCCCGTTTTCAGAAGTCTTTCGACGGCACTGCGATGAGATGCTTCGTGCATTCCAGGCACGCTGATTCGTTGCGATGGAGTCGTCAAGAGCCATCCCACACACACAGCGTTGTGCGACGCCGCATAATATGCAGTCTTACCACACACATTTTTTCTTCTTTTTTCAAAATCGTTCCTCTTCGTCGGTTCTGTTGCGCGTGTGTGTGAAGGAGAAGCTTTTCCTTCTCGTTTGGTGCTCCCCCTCCCCGGGGAATCGATTCAGCTAAGGGAGAGAAACGCACAGTGCTGTCTTCGCTAGCGTTCTCTTTGGTCAGCTTCTTTTTCTTGTGCTTTGATCCCTCAGCTTTTTTTCTTTAAACAATATTTCACAACACAATTTTCTGCTGTAAGCCGTGAGCGCATTACACTCCTGACACGTTATCGTACGAGTGTGTGTGTGTGTGTGCCACAAATAGCTGTGCTGTAACTATTCTTTTGTTTTCTCTGCTGTCCTTTCTCTTAATACCTCATCCCTGCTCTTGGCGATGAACGCGCTTGTAGGCTCTGGGACGATGATGTCGTCCTATTGGCGAGGCAACGACACACCCAGCGCCCCAAGCAGTTCTGGCGGCACCGGTGCGGCACCACCCCCGAGCAACACGCGAGTTCCTGTCAAGGACCAACGAAAGCCGAAGCCAAAGCCGAAGGAGCTCTTCTTTCCGGTGGTGGACCCACAGCTCTACCGACACCGCTACAACACTTCGAAAGAAGCACGTGGTACCTTCCGATTGATTCATGTATGCGGCATCGACTTGTACCTCAGCACGGACTTTTGGATCGGGGTGATTCCGATGGGCATTACCGTGGTGTTGATCGTCGCGAACATGGCGCTCGTGTGGGAGGAGATCGGGTGGCGGGAGTACATCTTCACTCTCTTCGTGCTGGCCACGACTTTCACTTCGTACTTCCTCACGACCACGGCCGACCCTGGCATCTATCCCCGTCTGCGGAGTGACGAGAGGGACCCGTTGGAGGGAAACATGGAGCTGGTGTTCTGCAAGCAGTGTCGCCTGCGCCGACCTCCCCGCTGTTCCCATTGCTACCACTGTGACGTGTGCGTCCTCGAGCACGACCACCACTGCACCGTCCTCGGGGGTTGTGTTGGGGTGCGCAATCTGCGGTGGTTCACCCTCTATCTGCTATCCTGCTGCTCATCCACAATGATTGGCGTGGTGTGGCTCTCCCGCTCGCTGTACTTCGACCTATACGCAGATGATAGCACAACCAGGACGGTTACGCCGTATCCAACTTACCCCGGCGGCCGGCGTCGGTTTGAGGACGGCATGAGTGGTGCTGAAGGCAGAACTGGAAAGCACCTGCTGGAGATTCTTATTCTTATGCTGGACTGCCTTGTGGTGATGCTGGTGGGCGCGATGCTGTTCATTTACATCTACCTCACGCTGACCGACACCACTCGTCGTGAGTCATTACGCAAGCAGAATTCTATCAAAGCGCTGCTGCATCCCACGGTGGTGTGGAAAAACATGCTGAAGGCCGCTCATCCACCACCGTCGCTGCTGACCTCCGACGGTCAAAGGTATGAAGAGATGATGCGCCTCGTGTGAGAAAGCTCTGTTTTCCGCTTCAAAGGACTTTGCTCGAGGAGACGACGCTGCTGCTCTGGACTTGATTCTGCAACGCTCTTCTTTTTCTTTTGGAATCGTAGAGAAAAGAGATACAAACGCGCACAGACGAGGCGCAGCAACTCCCGTCGCGCGAAAGGAAGAACACATTGAATCAACAGAGCCCATTTTGCATTAATACCGCTATTCCTCTACTTATCGATGATTTAGCAAGAAAGAATATTACTATGGATGGCATCGCTGTGTGCGTCGTTTCGAATTGAGGTGTCGCGTGGAACAAACACATTGCACCTTTCCAACGTTGCTGTTTCGCGCGGATACCGAACACAAAAATTTGCCGTTCGTTATCAAGAGGTGTTCCCCACCTTTCATCTTCGTGTGTTAGCTGAACTGCTGCGCTCTCACCCTTCTCCCCCGCCCCTGTCTAAACCGTTCTTTCTTCCTCTCTTCCCAAACAACAACAAATATTGGTATTAAATGGTCTTCATTATTACGCTGCCTCTTTTCCAAGAAAACGCAGGGGAAAAAGGCGGAAGTTCTCAAAGGTGCACATTTCGGTAGCTACATAACGTTTGTTTTTTCATTCCTTCGTCTCTTTCAACTGATAAAACTGCTTAAAGAGAAAAACGACAACTTTGCTTTTAGAAGTGAGTCCCTGCTTGCTACTTTAGGCCGTCTCAGGTCTTTATCTTTTGCTTGTTTGAGTTTTTGCCGCTCAACGCGTTTTTATTCTTTTCTTTTCTGTTCTTTCTCTTTCGGTGTCACTGCAGCCATGCCGGCCTCGAAGCTCACCCGCTCGAATTCGGATTCGTGGTCGATGATGCCGACGACGGCGCAAGAGGGGTTGACGGAGGCGTCCACCGTCGCCGCTGTCCCCACCCCCTGCGAGACCCACGACACATCTACCTCGCTTCTGCCTACCCAAGCGGTCGTTTCGCCTAGAGAGGCGGCGGAGGTTGACAACGACTCGGAGGACACCGCTGAGGTGATGCGTGACGAGGAGGGTAAGCAGTCGTCGCTGGCGTCGGACGATTCGTGGGTGGAGATGACGCAGGCAGAGCTCGAGTCCCTGTCAGACGATCCACTGGCCACGGAGGAGCGGGCCAATGCTGAGGCCGCGGCGGCCACCGAGGAAGCGGCGACGGCTGAGCCGGCAACTCATGCTCTCCTCCACACGGAGAGCGCAACGCGGCACGCACACGCCAGCGCGGAGCCCTCCGCCACTCAGCTCCAGATGGCGGCGGCAAAAAACGAAGAGGACAGCGCGACGGAGCTGCGGGCGGTGGAAGGCGAGGCAACGCATCCCGCGCCGCGGACCACGGAGGAGCCCCAATCGGCACCGCCGGCATCCCCGAAAGAGCGAGAAGTTGACCTGGCCGAGTTTCTAGCGAGACTGACACTCACGAAGGCCTACGGCGCCACCGCCGCGGCGCAGGAGGAGGATAAAGTCACCGGGCAAGAGGCGGCCGCCCAGGTGATCGCCTCCTTTGACGCGGCAGAGCCGACGGACGACTTCACCGTCCTCGCCGCGGAGGAGGATCAGGAGATGGAGGAGACGATCGATCTTGAGAATGTGCCCTCGTCGGTGCCCTCCGCACGCAGGGGGAACAAGCGCCTCCCCATCAACGCGGATGGTGCTGCGGCCGCCGCTGCACCATCCAGCACGCGTGCGCAGGTGACACCACCACCGACGGGTGCGACGGAGGTGCTGCGCCGCCGTATGGTGGCCACCGAGTGGATGCGCACCCTTCGCGGGCCATCATCGGAGCTGACGCCGGAGGAGCGTGTGGAGGCGTTTCAGGCCTTGTTCGGTGACCCTGGTGACGCCCCTATCTCAGCGGAGCGTTTCAAGGAGATGATGGTGCCCTACGAGCGCCACTGTGACTGTCTTGGCGCTTCCTACGGCTTTCATCATCAGGCCTGCCGCTTCTACGAGGGAAGTCAGCTGACCTCTTAAGCATAAGCACTTCTCTGTCCTCCCTGCTGACGCTCGTGTCCCAACACCGCAAAAACAACAACCGTGAAACTCCTCTTTCGTTTTCGCTGGGAGTGGTTCGTCTGCCGTTATAGGTGAAGAGAGAGACTCTGCAGGGCGACACGATGTTTTTTTTTCTCCCTTCTATTGCGTGTTTTGTTTTGTAGGCGTTCTCGCTGTTGTTTTTTTCAGTTCGATTATTTCTTGCTTGCCACCTTTACTCTCTTCCGGTATTTTTCAAGCGCCTTTGCTGTTTCTCCCTTCGCAGAGTATTTATTTCAATAGAAAACAGAAGAAAAAAGCGATCCTGTCAAATACACCCAGAACATATATCCCTTAGTTCGCATGCGCGGAAAAATGCTGCTTTTCATCTCCAATCCTTTCGTTGCTGCCATCACAGCTTATTACTCTCGTTACTGTTTTTCTTTTCATCGAGAACTGCGCTCGCTCGTTCGCCTTTGATGCCGCGGAAGTGAATGCGTAGGGAAGCTGTAGAAGGCAAGAAAGTACACTTCTTCACTGGACGAGTCGAGTGAGTACTACTAGTTGCCAACGCCGCTTCCGTGGGCATTCACCACATTTTTTTTCTTCACTTTTCTCTCGTGTTTTCTCACTGAGCGAGTTACAACGCAGTAAATGCCGACTCTGAGTGCGTGTGTGTTTTTCATCTCCTTTTGCTTTCAGCAAAGCAATTTTTCAATTCATACTGTAATAAAAGCTGTAAATGGAAAACACAACGGAGAATACCGTTGCCATCTTCACTCTCTCTTGTGCGATCGTAGCTCAGAATTTGTTCCTTCAACGAATGCGGATCTCTTTCCAATGGAGGCATGGGCTCTTGTCAATGCACCGATGTCAATATGTATATAGAAGAGCGCCCCCACCCAGTGCACCTCTTGCATCGTCTGCGCAGCGCGAACAAAAGCGTCGAGGTGCATGGTCCCTTTCTCCGCTTTAACGCCTTCAACAACAGAAGAAGGGTAGGGTTTCCCCTCAACACATGCCGTTGTGTGTGGACGCTCCGTGGCCTCCACTTCTCCCCCTTCCCGTCCCCTTTTTTTCTGGTTGCTCATTTCTTTGGCCCTCTTATGGCGTTGCTGTAATGCATGCCGTTGTCACTGCCTGCTGCGCCGACCATCCTCCGCAACACCAACAACAAATCTCCTTTTTTTTTTGAAATTTCCCACTAAAGCCGTTTTCGGACGACGAAGCTAATCTTCACCTTCAACGCTCCCTTTTGCGCTTCAACCGCCAACTATATATCTTTGTTCTGTTCTTCTTTGCGTGCTTCGCTTCCTTTTTCTTTTTTTCCAACTTTCCCCTCCCACGGCGCCTCCCGCTGCGTCTGCAGCTGCATTGCTGTCGCGTCCGCACGTGCGATTCCTCTTCTCTTAAGTTTCGCTGCATTCTACATTTCTGTAGCTTTCATTTTTTCCTTTTACGGAAAAAGCTCTCTTGTTGAAGGAGTCTAATGGCCTATACAGCCGCAAAGTACGTCGTGGGCGGCAGTTTCGCCGCCTTCTGCACCATGGTGGGTTTTGGCTACACCAACCCTGCGTGGACGCAGCGCCGCTTCGATCCTACGAAGGTGCCGCCGCTGAGGTATGAGACCGTCCCTACGCGTGAGATGTGCCTGGAGCAGCTCGCCTCTCACAACACGGCGGAGCGTGCGCTGGACGTGCTGGTAATCGGTGCCGGCTGTGTCGGCACCGGCACCGCCTTGGACGCCGTCACGCGCGGCCTCTCCGTTGGCTTAGTGGACATGGGGGACTACGCCGGTGAGACGAGCAGCCGCAGCACGAAGCTGATCCACGGCGGCATTCGCTATCTGCAGAAGGCCGTCTTCCAGCTGGACCCGGCGCAGCTGAAGCTCGTCGCGGAGGGTCTGCGGGAGCGCACCATAATGGTCCATCAGGCTCCTCACCTCTGCCACAGCCTCCCCACTATCGTCCCGTGCTACCACGCGCTCGATATCTTCCTGTTCTGGTGGGGCACGAAGCTGTACGACGTCATCGCGGCCGTGTACGGCGGCACCCTCGGCTACTCACACTTTCTCTTCCCGTACGACACGATGAGGGCCTACCCGAAACTGAAGAAGCTGGACCCCGAGAACAACCCGCTGTTGGGCTCCATCCGCTACTACGACGGACAGATGAACGACGCACGCCTGTGCTTCTCGGTGGCCATGACCGCCGCCTCGTACGGCGCAGCCACGGTGAACTACGCTAAGGTGAAGGCGATGGAGGTGGTGAAGGATAATAAGGGCGACGAGGTCGTGCGCACCACCGTGGAGGACACCATCCACAAAAAGACCATGGAGGTGTACAGCAAGTCCGTCGTCAACGCCGGCGGGCCCTTCAGTGAGAGTATTGAGCATCTGTCGAAAGGTACCGAGTCGAAGTTGGAAATGCTCCCCGCCTCCGGCTCGCACGTCATCCTCGACCGCAAGTACTGCCCGAAGGAGCACGAGGCGATGATCGTGCCGTCCAGCGACGACCGCGTCGTCTTCACCGTCCCGTGGCTCGGCGGCTGCCTCATCGGCACGACGGACCACAAATGCAAGGTGCAGACGAACCCGCCGACGGACAAGGCGGATGTGGAATTCCTCGTGAAGAACGTCGTCCCATACGTCGGCGACATCCCGAAGGAGGCGGTGCGGTCCGCTTGGACCGGCATCCGCCCCCTCGCCATGCAAAAGAACCACGTCGAGAAGGCTGGCGGCACGCAGAACGTGGCGCGTGAGTACGTCATCACCGTAAATGAGAAGAGCCGCATCCTAGACATCGTCGGCGGCAAGTGGACGACGTACCGCAACATGGCCGAGGACGCCGTCAACAACCTATCCCGCACCCTCATGAAGGACCGCGCGGAGTTCAAGCCGTGCTGCACAACGCAAATGGTGATGGTCGGTGCCCGCCACCTCGACACCGTGCCCGCGACCCCGGCGAACGGCATCCCCGACGATGTGCACCGGCATTGGCGCAACAACTACGGTGACGCCTATCACGCGCTGGCTGACATGGTCGCGCAGAACCCCGCGCTGCTCAAGCGACTTCACAAGGACTCGCCGGTGGTAGAGGCGGAGGTGCTCTACGCGGCGAAGAGCGAGCACTGTGAGAAGATAATGGACTTTGTCGCGCGCCGCACCCGCACGGCCTTCCTCGACACCGCGCAAGCAGAGCAGATTGTGCCTCGCGTGGCGGAGCTGATGGGGCAGGAAAAGGGCTGGGGCATCACCCAGCGTCTTCTGGAGAAGTCGGAGGCCTACTCCTTCCTCAACTCCTTCAAGTTGTAAGGAGGAGAAGTCCAAGCATCAAGGAGAAGGAAAAATCGAAGAGAAGAGGATCAAAACGTGCCGAGAGGGTAAAGTGAGTCTCCACAGTACAGGATACGCGTTTCGTCTCGTTCTGCTGTTTCGATTTTCTTTCTCATTTTCTTTTCTAATGAGTGTGTCTGCAGGTGTACGTGCGTGTATATAAATATCATTCACCATCAGATAACTGCTCCTCTTATTCGAAAGAAAGGAAGAAGGTATTTTGAGCTGATTCGATAATAAGATCGATGAAGATACTCCAGCAGGAGATAGGAAATCGACGGAGAGTTGTGACTGCGAGGCGCGCCTAAAGTAGAATAAAAACACACACATTCCTTTCTCATTTTTACTCGTTCTCTATGCTTTTCAAGCGAGCGTGACGGTGCGTAACTTTGCGTGCCGCGTGTATTTGTCTTTCAGGAAGAATTAAAAAAATATATATTCCCAAGTGGCAGAAAAACGTTTATTTATATATTTATATATTATCTTTTTACTTTTTTGAACCTCCGTTTCAGGACGAGTTGTGCTCGCACCGTCGTCTTTGATATTAGTTGACATGGACTTTTTTCTTCTCTCGAATATTTGAAGCACAAAGGGAAACTGCGACGGAGAAGAAATGAAAGTGCAGCTGTGATTTTCCTTTTTCGTTTGCTTTCCTCCTTTTATGCTGTTGCTTGTTATTTTTTTTTTCCTCTCCTTTCATTTTCACTATCTCTCATTTTCACGCGGTGCCGTGCAGTGGAGTGTGACGACGGCAGTTTAATTTGACTTTTTTTTGCGTGTTGTGAGCAGATATCTCGAGGCAATTCTAAATCTGTAAGCCTTTATTTTTTGTTCTCTTCTCTGCGCTTTTTCAGGGGGTAGAACGGTACTCGTTGTATGATTGTACGCGTACAGGTGCGCTCCTGTCTCAAATATGCGTGGGTTTTTTTTTCCCACGACCAGCATATGTGTGTGTGCCTCACGAAAGGACCGACAAATGCTTGCGTCTGTGGGACTGTTCTTTTTTTTCTTTGTAGCTTCTTGGGCGTCGGTGAGGATGTTCTCTCGTTGACATTAATAAATGCGTTACCTGCGTCGACCTGTGACGCGTATTCGATGCGATTTTTGTTTACGCTCTTTTTCTTGTCTGTTCTTCGTCGATATAACTCATTTTTGTAGTGCACCAGCTCTCCTCTCCGCGCACAGCAAGGGAGAGAAGAGATGGGATTTGCGTTTGCTGGCTGTTTATATATGTACATATAATTGTTAAGTACTTCCTTTGACATTTATACTTGAACAAGGAAAGAGCACAACGCAATCTAAAAGAACGCCACTCTCTTTGTTCGGATAATTACTCACATTTATATATAGATATAACTTTACCTTCTCTAAACAATTCTGTGACGGTGATGTTTATTCTGACAAGTCGTCGTACCAAGCAAAGGCGCCCTTTTCCTCTCCACGGGTGACGAAGAAGGAGAGCAGTGGTGCGGATAAGCGTGACCTTTGAAGCGGTGGTTTAAGCGTTACCGTTTGCGTTTTGGCTTTACAGACGGTAAAGGGAAGGGAAAGGTGAAAGCTAACATATTATTCAATGAAGGAAAACTATACTGAAGTAGACGTTGACTGTGCAAAACGTTGAACAACACACATACACAGATATATACACACTCACAGATCGATACACTCACACACACAATGGAAGCAAAAAAACCGAAGTTAACCTTGAGAGTTGTCGTTCACATTTGGTTTTTGAGTTTTCTTCCTACGGTTTCTCGTTGCTACCGGGGTGCGCCGTGTTAGTGCGTCTGCATGTGTGCGTGCGTGTTAAACCGCGTCGATGCTACGTGAGATGCTGTATTGCGTTAGTATTTGCCGAAAAAAAAGTATAGTGAGGGGCGACACCCTCTTTGCAGCGGTCCTCTCCGACTGTAGAGGGCGGACGGGAACAGCGGCAAAATCACTCGCTGTTTGATCGCTCTGCGTTTGGATCACACAGATCGCCGTGCTGTTCTATTGGACGATCGTGTCGTCCGCAAGGCAGCGTTTGAGTGCAAAACACCGACAAGTAACTCGTTAGCGCAATCGAAGTGCTTCTCAAGAGAGGAGGAAGAAGGATGCACGAGCCTCATTCATTCTAACCAATCCGGGTTTCCACGAGGTTGACCTGTTACTGTCGTTGTGTTATGGACTCCTGAGACCTACACGCTCCTATCTCTTCCTTTTTCTTTTCCTCTCCTCGCAAGAAACCTCTCTACGAGCGAGCGTGGAAGCGGTGCGTCTTCATCTCACTCGTTTCCCTTTTCGCCGCGTAACCACTAGCTCTGCCTCTATATTAGCTTTATTTAGAATAGTAATCGAGGGTTGCCACGCTTCGCTTGCTGCCTGTTCTCTTTCTCCTTCCTGTTGCGATTTGCGTCTCGCGTGTGCAGCCTCCTCATTCAAGAAAGGCGTCATCCCACCTTATCGCTGCTTCTTTTTCCCTTTTTAAAATATTTATTTTATCCGAAGGCACCGTCGGTCGATTCTCCCTGTCGCCTTCTCACCAGTGCACGTCTGCGGGCACACAAATAGCGGTTCGTGGGAGCAAGAGCACCAACAGCGGGGAAGCAACTTCACAAGAGATCGTAGAGCGTTCCTCCTACAAAAACGGTAACCACCACCACAAATTTAGCAAGGTCTTCATGGCGACCGCAGCGGAGCTTGGCACCGGCGGTGTCGATGAGACGGGCAAGCCCATCTTCGTCGCCACCGAACACACTCGCTACGCCGCCAGCACCGACCGCGAGCTGTCCGACCAGGAACAGCTCGCGTGGAAGTCGTTTCAGCTCTGGCGCACCTCCATGTCCATTGAACGCCGTGACTCCATCTACCGGACCATCACGAACTCGGACTACACGAACTTCAACATTTCACGGCACATTATGGGGACGCCGTATCCGGTGATCGACTACGCCCCCTCCCTCACAGACTGCGTGGCGGGTATTCGCCTGTACGAGCATGCCTTTTCCGTGCTGGTAGCTCTGGGGTACAGCAATTGGATCCACTCCAAGCCCTCGACGCGCAACGCTAAATTGCTCGGCATCACGAGGTTTAGCGTCTCTGGCGGAACGTTTTTGTTGACGGAGCTGTGTTTCTGCTACCGTAGCATGTTCCGCCTCTCGGGCTTCCTGCCGAACGACTACGAATGTCGCAAGTTCGGCGTGATGGAATCGAAGGATCGGCTGGAGCGCAAGAAGGACATGTGGTCTAAGTATGCCGCCTACAAGAAGGAGTGGTGCCGCCGCTTTGACTACCACGTCTACGGCATCCGACCCGGAGAGAACTTCAGCCTCTTCTCCGCCTGCTGGCTCCCGGCGTGGGAGCCGCCGCACGGTAAGATCACCGACTACCCCCTGCGCAAGAACCCCTACTTCCTCAGCTCTACTCCGCTACGCGACTTCTTTATCGAGGGCATGCAAACGGCGGACGTGTCCAAGACGGAGGCTGCCCCGTTGACGCGCGCAAGGCCGGAAGTGAAGTACGTCTTTCGAGGACCCCAGAATGCGGAGAAGAGTACGAAGCCTTCCGAGCATACAGCGTAAAGCCTGTGTTGAAATACAGCACCGCATCTAGTGGAGACACGAAGAACACGGCCACATGCATGCTTAAACAATATACATATTATCGCCTCGGCGTTGTGGTGTTGGTGTTTCTCTCTCATGTATTGTACAGTTATCGTTTGCTTTTCGATTTTGAGGTCGCCGGCTTTTCGTCTTTCACTAGTACTCTCTTCTTTTGTTTGTTTGATTCCGTAGAAGTAGGTTCGCTAGGCGAACGAAAGCGAATGAACCGCACGGGGCGATGCAGAACGGGACGGTCGATGTCGTGTCTCGCACCTGCACCTTTCATGTAGGCATGCTTGCGCGAGAGATGAAAACGTACAGTACACATTGGAGAAGGAACGTAATAGGAGGTCGCGTGGCTTCTCGATATCCGCAAAAGGGAAGTTGTGGTGAGTGTGTGGCGAAGATGAATGCATTGGCCACGTTCAGTGACTGAGGTGTCGCACGCCATTCTTTTTTCTATACTAGTTTTGTTCCTGCGTAAGGAAAGTTGTGTGCACGAAGAAATACCGATGAGAGGGCACAACACGCGTTATGCGAGGGCTGCTTTGCTTGCTGGTGTAAGTCAGAAGCCGATGCATTCTTGTCACGTTGCAAGATATTTTGCTGTCATCGAGCGTTATTGCTGCTCCGCTACTCTTTAAACTTGTGTAAGCAATTCAATGTGATGTAGCTATTATCCCTTCCCTCGTTTCAACTTCTTGTGTTCTTTGTTTTCCCTTCTGTGGCGTGCTCTTGTCAGCTTTTGAAGTGGCAGCGTAGAATGTTTTGCTTTTGCAGAAAAGCAGACGTGTTTCTTGTTGAAAAACCCTAACACCAGCTGACCGTCTGACACACACACGCACACACACGTTCCATCAAACAAGAAACCTGCTCGGCGCTTGGTAATTCATTTTTACTGAGCGGAATCCTTTCTAAAAGAGATCCACTGTGTCGCGTAGAAGCACGAACGCATGCATCACCTATCCAGCTTCCATGACACCCCCAGCCTCGACGACGTCGTGCAACAGGCGGTGCAGCACCACAGCAGCAGCGGCGGTGGCGGCGCCAGCACCTCAACGCCACCTTCTTCCGCGCTGCACGCCGCTCTTACACAGCTCACGGATTCGAATTCTTCGCTTTCTAGTGAGCTCACCCGCACCCCCACGGTGCAGGCGCTGCACAAATTCTGCCGCACTTTTGTAGAACGCTACCACACCCCAGACACGTTGTTGCTGGACACCGCGTGGTGGGCGAGCGAGGCGGCACGGCTGCGCGGAGGCGAAGCGTCGAGCTCAAATCGACCTCCTCAACTGCCGCTCTCGGCCACACTCACTACGGCCGAGCGAGAGGAATTGCTGCTTCGCACGGTACGCCTTCTTCGCGCTACGCACCAAAGCAAAAAACCCACGGAGGTGTACGGCGGCGGCAACACCGTTGCAGCTGGGGGCGCGCGGCACTTGGACATCACGGCCGGCGGCTCGTTGTCTTCACACCCGCCGCACCACGACGTGGGGGGTGACGTGAACGTGCTGCAGTTTGACGACCCGCCGCTGATGAATGAACAGGAGGGCAACTGGGAGAGTGTGGAGCTGGGCGGCGGCACCGACCTGCAGCGCAGCGGTGGGATGCAGGGAAGAGTGAGTCAAGAGGGGGAGTGCCTGCACGTGCTGGAGACGTGGATTGAGGACATGTTAAACGGCGATGGCAAGGCCGAAGATGCCAAGGAACACTTGGAAGCGTCCCGTCTGGAGAGTCTCGAGTATTTGCTACACCACCGTCCGGAGCTGGTGACGCGGCATGCGGAACTCTTTACGCTGCAGCACCTCGTGGCTGTCAGCACGTGCAGTAACCCGTCCGGACATTGGGCAGCGACCGCCTTCACGTTTTTCCAGGCCCTACCGGCTCGTGCCCAACTCGATTTTCTGCACCACGTAATCGAAAATCTGCGAGATGGACGGCCGCGAACGGAAGACAGCGATGTACTTCTTATGACTTTTGTGCAGCAGCTGTTGCACGAATTCCCAGAAAACTGGCTGCCGCTGCTCGATAGTGAAGTTACAGGTGTCTTCCTCGGTGTGGTGTCGTGCGTTGTCGTCCCTTTTGCTGCCGTGCTCGGTCAGGTGGATGCGGAGGCGGTTTGGCTTGCGCAGTGGTGCATGCGGCCGTCCTTCATGTTAGCCAGCGACGCCCTCATCGATACGCATCCGCTGGTCGTGCGAGAGCTTTTGACGGAGGTTGCGTCCTCGTCGCATGCGGTGTGCGTGCTGCTGCACCTCCTCCCTGCCATGTGTCGACGATCAGACGGCGGCGACGGTGGTGCACCTGCTGCTCTGACGCCCGCGGGCGGTGAAGCAACGGAGGCGAAAGAACACGAAGCACACGAGCCATCATGGGCCGCTCCGTTTCACGCTCTTCAGCATTTGTTGAGCGAGAGTCCCCCAAGATTTACCCGTGCTGTGTATGAACTTGGTAGCCGCACGCTGTGCGCCTGTGCGACGCAGCTTCCACCTCAGGCAAAAGAGCGCTGCATTACCGACCTCACGGACGTGCTGTTGCAGTGGCCGTCACAGGGAAAAGAAGATGCAGTATCGGCAGCAACAGCGGCGGCAGAAGCACCTTTTCTTTTTTCATTCCGGCTCTACACTGAGTTGTTGTGTGAGACGAGCGAAGCGGAGCCGTGGTGCCCAGATTCGGTGTGGGGTTCGCTCGATGTACCGATGCGCACACAGATGCAACTCGCTGCAACTGCAGCCGCCGCCGACTCCGCTCTGCATCCACGTAACGCAGCAGAGCCGTCCGCCTTCGCCAGCGAGACGTTGGAGGCGTTGCAGCACTGCTGGTCGCGAATTCTGTGTTGCCGCGCGAGCAAACTGCCGCACGCTCTCGCAGCACTGGTCGAGGACGTTGCGGCGTCGTGTGCAGACGTGCCTGATAGCCCTACTCGACTGTTTACATGGAACACACTCATCGCCGTGTCGTCCACACTTTGCGGGTGGTCGGCCCTGCAGCCGCACCTGCCGCGACTGGCGCGTGGTCTCTCCTCCTGCTCCTCTGCGGGACGATGGGCGCCTTTACTGCAGGCAATCCTGGAGGTTTCTGGCAGTGTCGCGCTCGCCTCGGTCACGCCTATTTCACGTACGCATAGTCGCACCCCGTCGAGTTCGCGGAAGTCTTCCGCGTCACGAAGCCCTCGAACGCCAGCGTACCGCCACGTCGACTTCTTGTCTCCGCGCTGCGTCGCTCTTCTCCTTCGCTGGTGCACCTTTGCGGAGGCGCGTGCCGGCCTCGTCGTTGCGTCTCGTGAGGCGGCTCTTTATTTCTACCACTGCACTCAGCGCCCCGACGCAAAGGGCAGCCGCAAGAAGAGCAAAACGCCCACGCCACGCTCCACAAAGCAGTGGCCGCTGTTGTGGCCGGTGGAGGCCTATCCGCAGAGCGGCCACACAGACCTGTCCTGCAACGAGGACACGACGGCGAGTGCGCATCATGTGCGATCGCTCGCATGCTACGAGTCCCTCGCTCTTTTCCTCGCCTGCACCGCGCTGCCTGTTGTACAGAGGGCGCCGTCCGTCGCTGATGACGCTGAGAACGACGCAGAAGCACTGGTGGGTGTTTGGCAGCAGCTCGAGGACCTGTGGCTCGCTCCTGCGCTGCTCCTCCACGAGGGAGAAGTACCGCCGCGTACGACGGCGTTGTCGACTCCCCCTCTCGCCACAGGTCTCGTGAACTATCCTCCCTTTGCGGAGGACTCACTCCTCACGCTGCTCTGCGCGCTGGCGCTGTGCATTCTCATCCGTCCCTCCGCGGAGTACGAGGCGTGGCTGAGTCCTGGTGTGGCGCAGCAACGCCTGCGTCCACTGCGGCGTCTCTGTGTGGCGCGGCGTGGCGTCGATCCGGTGTACTTCATGGTACGCTACATCACATCTGGCAAGGGTCGGAAGCGGCTGCCTGCGATTTTGCTGGATGGGTGTGAGGCGGAGCTAACGGTGGAGACGGTGATTGACGTGAGTGATTTCACGGAAGGCGAAGATCTGCCGGGGGGTGAGGTGGCGCTGTCCGTGTCTGAGGACGCCGTCAACGAGCTGTTAACGGCATCCTTTCTCGCAGTGAAGTCGATGGCGAAGAACTCACCCACTCAAAACGACTGTGCAGGTGCAGACGGCCGAAGCGGCAGCAGTGGGGAGAAGGATCTGCTGTTATGGCCGTCGGAAGTGATGACACTCGCCCGAACGCTGCTGGGACATAAACATGCGCTTCGTACAACACCGACTGCACTGCAGCAGCTTCTCGCGTCTCGTACTGTCAGTGAATGGACGGAGTTCATGCAACACGATGAACGCGCTCTCGCACTGAGTAAAGTTCTTGGGACTTCTCATCCCGCCGTCTTAGCCATTTTGCGCGGCGCCCATGTGGACGTGGTGTATCTGGCTTCGCTCTGTGTGGCGGGCTGGCTGTGGCCGCCGGCGACGCACCTAACGTCAGCGCGTCGAAAGCTGTGCTGGGCTGCACTCCAGTACTTCTCGCATCATGGCATAGCCGCGTACGACGGCTACGTTGCGCGAAATCTTGCCGCGCACGTGGAGCGTGTGTACCACGAGAATCTGTCAGGTGTAAGTGAGGCAGTCATTTTCCCGCAGTCGCGCGCCTTACCCCTGCCCTCGTCTCTCTTTGTATTGCTGCTTGTGAGGCCTTTCACGCTGGCCGTCGCGTGACGCAATGTGGCAACAAGACGAAAGATAGAAAGCACGTTCACGCATTGGGGAGGAGGGGACAGGCTCAGCCGATCACTCCACGGTACTTCCGCGTGTGGGCGTAGTGCACGAAACACCCAGCGCATCTTGTATTTTCCTCTTCGCTGCTGTGCGAGCACCACGTTTCCTTCCATACTGCTGTACACAATCGTTATTAAGGCTGTCCTTGAAATGCGGCACCCGACGAAATGAGGCAGAGAACATATACGAGCCTCCTAGTGCGTCAATGCGATAAAGTGTGGACTTTATTCTTGTGTGTGTGTGTGTGTGCCGACAGTATTGGTGCTGCGTTGGTACTCTGCGGATACACGCAGCTGATGGACCACGCGTTGCCCTTGGTGCGCGAAAGGCGTGATACCAGCTAGCAGTGTTTGGTTTGATACAGAGAGGTGCCATCCTCATCACTTTTTCTCTCTTTGTTCGCTCTCCATCTCGCTTCTCGGGCGTTTCTCCACCGCCACCAGAAACCGGTCTTTATCCGATCCTCGCTGGCTCGCTGTTCGTATACGCTGAAATCAATGCAGGTCCCCAGCCCAGCTCCTTTGACGACATTTTTTTAAAACTCTCCCACGTCTTCTCTTGTTTTCTGGTTGTTGCGTTTACTGCGGTGACACCTCTCGATAGCGCTGCTCTCTTCTCTTTTCCTCACGAAGCTACTTCGCGTTTCTTTGCCGCTGTAACAGACTACAGCGCTACGGTTGGACAATCGCGGGACATATACACAGCACATCTTTCTTTTCCTCGCGCCCACCTGTTTGTTAGGCTCTCATCAATACAGGTGTTTCCTTAGTTTATTATCCTTATGGTGTGGAGTATTGCGGCTGCTGTCGTCTCTCTCCCTCTCTGTCTCTTTCAAAAATTTCATTCCCCTACAGCTGTTGATTTACCAAATTATTGGTGACATTGCACCGTGAGAAAGTCGATCAAGTTACCTGTAGGTTTCTGTTCGTTTGCATTTGAAAAAAAGGTCAAAGGCAGCGAAGCGGCTTTGCTGAGCATCGCCCTGGGCTTCTCTTTAGGCTTCGACAACTTCGAGTCCGTCGTATTCTTCTTCCTCTTATTGTTGCTGCTGCCGTTGTTAATTATCCACCGCAAGAAGCGCCATGGCGCTCTCCTTCCCCAAAGAGGCGCACCCGCACGCGGACAACAACATCGTGAGCGTCCGCGAAACAGGCGACGCCGCGGCCGCCAAGCGCGCTCCCTCCTCCGAGTTGCTGGAGCACGTCAAGATGGCACAGACGATTATTCGCGATGTCTTCGATCGCTTCCCGGCTTCTGAAATTGGCATCTCCTTCAACGGCGGCAAGGACAGCGTGGTGATGTTTGAGCTGATTCGTAGGACGGTGCCCATCGACGTGCTAAAGCAGTGTTGCGTCTTTGTGATTGACTTGCATGACGAATTTGATGAGATCCTCGACTTCCGCGCGCGCTATATGCGCGAGTTGAAGGAGCTTACCCTGCTGCATCAGGAGGTCATCGTGGACATGCGAGAAGGTCTGTGCAAGCTGCTTGAAAAGCGGCCGCTAAAGGTGGTGTTTATGGGCACGCGCAAGACAGACCCGCACGGGCGAACGCAGCAGAGTCCGGTGCAGATGACCACGGCTGGATGGCCTAACTTCCTGCGGGCCTGCCCTTTGTTCAGCTGGTCAGTGCTCAGCGTGTGGGAATACACCCGGCTGAACCACGTTCCTCAGTGTAAGCTGTACGAGGACGGCTACACGTCCCTAGGCGACGTGACCACCACGTCGCGCAATCCGCACCTGCGGAGGGAGGATGGCACGTACAAACCGGCATGGGAGCTGACATCAGCCGACTTCGAACGCGAGGGGCGCCATTGTCATTGCTGATCCCCCGAAGAGAGGCGTACCGCTGACAATCACCGCTGGAAGGGACCAAAATGCATTCATAAATGGCTTCTTCCCTTCTCGATGTGATGATGCGCGGTCTTTTTCTCGTCCGGCGTTGGCCCTCAAAATCTGATGCGGGAACACGAAACACGAAAAGCACCTCTTTTTTTGCCTTAAACAAAAAGGGGTCACCTATTCTCCAACACAACTGTTTTTCTAGTATCTTGGTTTTGGTGATGCAGTTGACTAACGACTGCACACATAACTATCTTGCGATTTCCGTTGATCTGCTTCTTTATGTGAGTCTCCCCACTCTCTTTCCCCTATGGAATGGAGCCCCAATTCCTCATCAGCACAAGTCGCAGAATACATATATAAAGTTATCTGCGACAATGCTTGGTAGTTGTTGAGTGATCGTCCTCCGTGCTCTTCTTTAAATACCCGCCTTTTGATTTGCATCCAGGCGAGTTACGGGGGAAAAGACATCTGTTGTTATTTCCCCTTCTTCTTCCCCACCGTATTTTGCTGATTCCAGTGTGCTGTCGCTTGTGGGTGGGTTTGTCGAACAATTTGTGTGTGTGCTTGTGACTACGCTGCGCCTCTTATCGGTGCCCGATGCAGGCTTAATGCGCGCTACTGCTTCATGTGCGATTTCTAGATGCTTTTTTCTTCCCTCTTGTCTTCCGGTGGTGGGCGTTGCTGTTTCTCTGCTCTGTCCATTTTTTTCATTATCACACGTTTTAATTATTTATTTATTACTTCTTAGAGAAACGCTCCCGACATTGCCGTTGTGGATCGCGCTTTGACCACGGTGACGAGGCGAAGTTCAAGCCTCACTCTTCGATACTCGACAGAGAGCAGACGATCACACCAGCGGCCGTTTTCTTTCTTTCTTATTTTTTGTTTACTTCTTTCGTGTTTGTTGGTGTCGTGAGTGGTGCATAAACCTTGTCATTTGCGACGCCGTCGGCCGAACACGCGGTGGGCGATTTAAGTGCTGAAAGCGAGCAACTGTGCTACTAATTCAAAATCAGCGGAGTTTTCTTTGCAAAAGCAACGTTCATTGCAGCTCCCTCTACTAGTGAAGAAGAAGGAAGAACATCCAGCGGCTTTCATTGCATTCGAATGCGCCGTATTGGTGAGCGTCTTGGCTGGATGCGTAGTTGTTGCGCGCGAATACGTGACGCCCACGCATTTGGCTGTCAGGTTATCAGCTGCTCCGCCTGCACATGGTCTCCTTGCGATGTCATTCACCGCCTTCTCTCTCTCCCTCTTCATTGTTGATCCGTTTTTGTCGCCTTTCTTTTCCTGTCGCACTCATCTTCACAGTCATGGAAAGAAGCACCGACTACGAAGTTACAGTGCTCCCTTCCCTTTTCTCTCGCAATACCTCTGCCTAAACCTTCACGATTCTGCGAAGCAACACACTTCCCTTCGAGCAGCACCCGAAGATAGAAACTGAAGAACCACTCCCCCTCTCCCTTTCGTGCCGTACCGCCACCATGAGCGGGGTTCCTTTCAACGCGATGTGGACGGCACCTCCGCCGCCGTCGTACACCGACACGGTCGGCGTGGATCCGACGGATTACGTGGTGCTGACAACCAGTCACGGTGATGAGGCGCTGGTGCACAAGGACTGCCTTATCGAGTCGCCGGTGCTGCGATTTTGCTTTCGCAAGCGCGTTCCCCTCAACACGGAGGCGGTCACCGTGGAATTCATCGCGGCAGGGGCGGAGGTCGCAGCCACCGCAGCAACGACCGCTTCCGCCCCGTCATCCCTACTGAACACGCGCGCATCGCTGAAGACCGCGGAAGAGCAGCAACCTGTGGCGAACCTACAGGAGCTTGAAATAGAAGGCAGTGTGGAGGAGCAGAACGCTGCGGACGACCACTCCAGAAGGTCCGTCACGGTGGACGTGCAAGATGCGGGGGAGGAGGAGCAGCAGAATCGCCACCCTGTGGTCTTGGCGGAGTCGCTCTGCACGGACAACTCCGTCAAGATAGTGTTTCCGCGGCTGAATCGAGCGCAGTTGGAGGTGGTGGTGGCGTACTTTTACTACAAACACCATTTCAACCGCAGACCGACCGCGATGCGCCCGCACTTCGAAATTCCGTCGTCGGCGGCGTTGGAAGTGATGCGGGTGGCAAACACGCTGAAGTGCTGAAGTGCTGTCGTCCCTTTCCTCTCTTCCAGTTTCCTCTCTGGATGATGTACAATGGAATCCTCCCAGGTTTTTCTTATTTTTAGGGGAGGGGTGCCTTGCTTGTTTGTGCTGTGCAGACATGTACGTGCGGCTCAGAACACGCCACTTAAACAACCGAGGCCGAAGCTTCAGCGAAAAGCATTCCTTCCTAAACAGTCGATCTGTGATGGGTGCGAAGCAACGATCTCTAACGTTTCATTTCTTCTTCGTCTTGTGTGTGTGTGTGTGTGTGTGTGTGGCAAAGCAGCTCCCTAACGCGGGGGATATCCATAGTGTTGATCCGTGATGCGTTCCAACCAACACCGGTAATGACGGGGCTTACTCCGCTTTCTATGTGGCACACCGTCGGTCTCTTTCGTTCTCCCCTCTTCCGCTCTTTCTCCTGTGCAAATGTCTCCACACACTGCTAGGCTTCGTTATTCGAGACAACGCAGCATGAAGCGAAAGACGAACCCAATCGAGGCGGCCCCGCTGCCCACCTGCTCCGCGATTGGGCCGGAGGACATGGTGCTGGTCGCCTGCACCTCTGGCGAAACCTTCCTTATTGAGCGCAACTGTGCCCTTCTCAGTTCCCACTGCCGAGACACACTGATGCTGTGGGAGAACACCATTCGACGCACAGCGAATCTCAATCGAAGTGATCGGAGCTCCGTGACGCCGACGATTACACCCATCGATTCAGGGTCGAATGGATTTCCCGGCTCCAGCAGCGGCGGCCTTCGCGTGCTGGCCGACCTCGCCGAGACCCCAAACACGACGATTCCTTTTATGTCTGCATGGGACGCCGATGCGAAGGATCGGACTGCGGCGGCGACTTCGATAGAGGCTCAGGTGCAGCTCGTGCCCATCCAGACAGTCGCGGAGCGCTATCAGCAGCGCATGGACGGCGTCACACCGTCAAAGGTGGAACGCCCTTCCTCGTCGAAGAACGCGTCCAGCCACGGTGACCGCAAAGGCGTCGTGGTTGTGCCCAAGTCGGTCAGCCCTCTCGCGCCGTTGGAGGACGTAGATGGCTCCTGGCTCTACCCCGTCGTTCAGCTGCCTTACGTGACCCCACAGTTGCTGGAGTCCGCGCTCGCCTACGCGTCCAAGAAGTACAAGATGGACATAGACGGAGACAAGGTGACGGGAGAGTCGGTGCCGCCGGTGAGCGCGATCGCGACGGGGGAGCAGTGGCAGATGATGGCAGCCGCGGTACTCACGGGGATTTGAGCTGGAACGTTGAGCGAAGCACGAGCATCCACTAACGTGTGTGGATGCATTGTCTCGAGTTGTTGTGCGTGTGCGTGTGTGTGCGTGTGTGTGCGTGTGCTTGGATGGATGTACAGTAGTTCTCTGAATGCTTCTTATACCAACGCAAACTCACCAACCAGAGGGCATCGTGGGCGGTCTGGCTAACACGAAATTCGATGGTTTAAAAATAGCAAAGATTACCGAAGTGGAGTGTTGCGGTGGCCGACGCCCACCGAAGCTGTTCGTCACGTCTTCTACCACGAAAACAGATGGCTGTGAGGGGCCTCGTTGTTTCGTGTCGTTTTCATCAGCCGCCAATTATTCGTGTTTCCTTTCTCGTTCTCAATATTGTCTTTTGCTTCTCTCTTGCCTCTCTTGCTGCTTTGCGCATTCACCCCCCCCCCCGCCTGCGCTTCTTGAGGAACACTCGAGAGACGGACAACGGCGACCCCGCCCACAGCAGCACATGGCAGAACAGTACCACGACGTACCATCAGCCGACGACGACGAAGGGGACGCGTGCAGCCGGGACGACTCCGTCGATAACCAGAGCACAGATGGCATAGAGCTCGACAACACCGCCGGGCGAAGCGACGTGGGCAGCCAAGACGGAGTCGAAGACACCGACGATGATGACGGCTTCGACTTTGCACCGCCTCACGACGACACTGGCGCCGCCGCTTCCCTTTCAATTGGCGAAGCAATTTTGAACGACATTAAATCCTCCCAGCTTGCCGCAGAACACCGCGAGAGTCAAAAGGCGGAAGGGAGGCCCTCGAACTGCTGCGTGTGCGGCACCCGTGCCCTCTACACCTGCCCGGGTTGCGGGCGGCGCACCTGCAGCGCGACGTGTGTGCGGGTGCACAAGCAAGATTTTAGCTGCAGCGGCGAGCGCGACGTCGCGGCGAAGGTGACGCTGGGCGAGTTCAGCGATGCGCAGCTGGAGCGCGACTTTCACTTCTTGGAGAATTGCCGGCGCGTTGTCGACAATGTGGCGCGCAGCTTCCCGCGGTCGATGTGGCGGTTCACGTACCGGGCGCTGCCACCGCCGCTGCACGCCCTGCGCGAGGCCGCACGCCGGCGTGGCGTCGTCTGCCAAATCACCTCGGAAGGGATGCATCGCCGGGATGTGAACACGAGTCGTCTCGATCGTAAAACGAACACAATTGTGTGGCGCTGCGAGTTTCACTTCGTCGATGCGCGACAGCCCGACACGGCGGTGACGATCGGCACGAATTGGGGCAGCGAGCGGCATCGTCTGGGCGACGTCATGAAGTACTGCTGGGCAACCAACCCGCCGCTGCTGTGCTACCACATTAACCGGCAGTACAACCGAGCTTCCAGGTATGTGGGGGGCGGTGCCAAGGGAAAGACGGAGGCGGCGGGGAAGGCCGGGGAGGTAGAAGAAGCCACCGGAGCCGGTGCTAATACGGTCGACCACGCTGTCAACGGGGCCGACATGCTCCATGACGCATGGACGGCGTTGTCAAATGTTGATGACGGCGGAGAGGAAGCAAGGGCCGACGTGGTGGCTTCGACGCCGCACGCAGAAGCGATGACACCACCGAAGTCTGACACGGGGGACGCAGTGCAGAACCTCGCTCCACCCGTAGCGGTGGTCGGCACTGACGAGGAGTCCATGGAGAAACACGAGAGCGTCGTTCCTTCGAATGCCGATCAAGCGTCCACACCTGAGTTGGTGCCCCTCCATGCCTATGAAGAAGCGCCTCCGATGCCGCCCATCGAGCCCGTCTCACCCGAAGAGGCGGAGCATCGTGCCTATGTCCATTCATTCCTGGCGCACGAGCGCTACGTCATCTTGTCAAAAGCCGAACGCCTCGGAATGGAGACGAAGTACTTCCAGCTGAACCCGCACGAGACGCTCAACGAGAGCCTGCGGCTTCTCTTTTTTGTCAACGAGTTCCCGGTGTTTACGGTCGTGCACGTCTCGCTGCTGGACCGCTTTCCGCTGGTGACGGAGGAGGACAAGGAAGCAATTCGCAGCAGCTTTCGCTCCAAGAAAACGCGGGAGCCGCGGGAGAAGGCGCCGGTTCGAAAGCGCAGCGACCTCGCCCCGGAGGAGTTGGATCGACTGGCGCGGGTGCCGTGTCGGCGCTTCCTCAACGGCCGCTGCCAGCTCGGGGCGGAGTGCCCGTACTGGCACTGCACCCCCGAGGAGATCCCCGCCTGCCGCTCCTTCTTGCGCACCGGGCAGTGCGATAAAGGCGCACGCTGCAGCTTCCGCCACGACCCGGAGGCGGTGCGCCTCGCGCGGAAACGTCTACGTGAGGACGGCGGTCGCGGTGTGGGTCGCGGCGGTGGTCGAGGCGGTGGTCGAGGCGGCTTTCGTGGCCAACGACGACGCATGGACTGATGCATGTCATCAAGGCATGTCGTTGATTCTCTTGCGTCCCTTTTTTTTTTGCTTCGAGTAAACCTGCAACACTCCGGCCTAAGACGGCGACGTTAATCGTGTAAGTAATCGGCCCATAAAATACTCTAGTCCATGCAAAAGTGTTGTACGTGCGACGAAAGTCGTTTTGATGAGTTCGCAGTGACCACGATGACACACGCGATACACACGGGATTGCACCCAGCAAGCCGCCGAAGGGCTCTGCGAGTTGTTCTTAACGCTTCACGTGCCGTCGGCACACTGACAACACACCCCTGTAAGGAAGCATTTTCGGTTTGTTTGTTTGTTTCCATGCCCATTGCTTGGGGAGGGAAACAGCGCATCGCGATCGTGCTCTGAAATGTCTTTCTTCCGCCTCCCCTCTTTCAAAAAATACACTCCTGCGTATGAACATCTCCACAGTTTTTTTTCCTATTGCTGATTGTTGCGTTCACCGCTGAACGCGTGTTCGCCTCAGCGAAGAACGGCGCTTGCGTTGCGCAGTGAGGGCCATCGTAGCTTATCGATTGGTTTGTAACCACAGGCAAAAAGGATCGTTGTGCTTACCCATTTTTGGAGGACGCTTTGGCTGCTCACGAAGTACATCTCTCTCTCTCTAAATATATATAAATATATAATCCCTATTTGGTGAGTTCTTGTTGCCGCGGTGTTGCTGCTGCAGTTCTGAGTATTCGTATTATCCCAACGTGCAGAGCACACTCCCGAAGGAAAAGAGGCGAAGACCCGCGATGGAAACGGAGAAAACGGAATCGCGTGCGTCTCCAGCTGCGGAGCTGGGCGGCAGCGACGCTGCTGCTGCTGCTGCTGCCTCGCCGCGACCGACGTACACGGCTTGCCCTAAATGGTCGCACGATGAGGACAACACCGTTACGGTGGTGCAGAGCACGCACGACTACACCCAACGTGTGTTTCGGACGAAACCCTCCTCTGCTCGTTGGGTGCGTGGCCTAGCGGAAGGCGAAGACGAGGTGCCTGCCGGTACAGGCTTTCGCCGGCGCACGAACATGCATAGGTGGGAGGAGCTGGACGATACGCCCGACGGCGCCCTGCAGGACGGGTCGTCGCGGACGCCCACAAAGCAGCGTCCGTGGCTCTTTCACATTAATGTAATAGGCGTGCTGTACCTCTTCCTTTTGGCCTTCCGCATGGTGAAGGGGCTGCACAAGTCGTACCGTCTGGACTTTCCATCGACGGAGCGCCAGCTGATGACATTTGGGCGCCGCTATGGCGAAAACGGTATCTCGTTCGTGATGCGCGTGGCGGTCCCTCTGTGCCTACCGCACTGCGTCGGCGCGGCCTACGCGATGGGACTCTCGTACAGGCTAGGCGGAGCCGCGCATAACTTTGTGTGTCTATGGGGAGTGGGGCTCGCGATTATCTCCCTATTCGCCGCCTTCACGCAGTGCTCCGTCCTCTTCAGCTGCTGCAACATCTCCGGTGTGAGTCACCGCTGGGAATGCGACTTACCGTTTGTCTTCCACCAGGTGTGTAGTGTCTTTCGCTTTGTGACGCCGTTGCTGGCGCTGTGGTGCGTGGCGCCGGTGGTGGACAACGTGCGCGGGAGCGGCTGGCGATGGAAGTGCGTGCTGGCCTTGCCGTGTCTCGTGGCTTCTACTTGTGTAGGCGTCAGCGTCTACGCGGGAGAGCCGTCGGAGACGCTGCTCGACGTGGCGCACGGCACGGTGCTGTTGGTGTGGCCCTTCTTCATTAAGGCGTGCTGGAAGCAGCCGCGCTTTTATCGCGTTCTCCCCCCTGCCGAGAAACCGCACGAGGATTAGTATTTGGAGGTCATTGTGTGATTGTGTAGCGCGCGCACGTTTGGTTGCGCCCGTGATGCGTGAAGCGTTTCGGTGCCCTCCGTTGGTGACGTGTTCTTCTTATCATTCTCTCTCTCTCTCTCTCTCCATATATATACTGTTCTCCCATGCCTCAAGACGCTGCTGTTTCGTGCTGTGGTGAAGCGGAAGACTTGTGGAAGGCGGTGGTGCTGGGACGGGGCTTTGCGACGCCCCTCCGTTATTGTATTTTCTTTTCTTGCGATATCGTCTCTGTTTGCGAGCACGACTAACCTGAACACTAAGAAATATAAAATGTGAACGCATTGTGCGAAAAGGTAGCGGTACGGGGAGAGAAGAGAAGCAAGGAGCCGCTGCGTTTACTTACACGAAGCACAACGTCCTTCTTGCGCCTGGGCGCCCGCTGCCCTCACATCTGAACTGTCACAATGCTGGACACTCTGCACGATTGGCCAAGTACACAAGAAGCGGTGTTCTTTTGTTTTGTTTTGTTTTGTGTGCTCTCTGCTGTGCATCAAAGATCTTCTGAAGGAAGGGCAACGCGACGGCCCGCCCGCAGGAAGAGAAAAAAACTATCACTTCTCCTTGACCTCATTCGATGCGTCTTCTCCGTCCTACCGATCTGCGTGCTTGCCTGGTCGTCTTCGTTCCTCCGCCCTCGCTTGCCCTCTCAGCCATATTGTCCTTGCTGAAAAACCACCCACGACGGGGCGTGTGTCGATCTCTTTTCTTTTTAGTTTCGCGACACTCGTTCTACTGTAAAGACGAGCATCACACACAGACACACTCCGTGTGGCGGTTGTGGTGGAAATGACATCGTCCATGCTGCCGCTCGGCGCCACTGCGCAGCGCGTCACCACGCTGGAGTGTGCGCCGTGTGCGCTGCGTCACATCATGCGACGGCGTGGACAGACCGATTGGACACCGCCGCTGGCCGATTTCGCCGTGGACATCGTGGCCGGCGCGCTCACCCTGGCCGACGCTACGGAGGTGCTCGTGCCGTCTTCCTTGGTTCACTACATGGAGAACCAACGAGTACAACGAAGAAGAGGCGTCGGCGACGATGCCTGGCCGTGGCCGCAGTGGGATGCAGCGCTGCACGAGCATAAGCTTGTTACCTGGACCACCGCGCAGGACGCGACGCGTCTGCTGTGTAGCTCCTACGGCGCTCGCTATACCAATTTGTGTGTGCCGGTCCCCGCCGGTCCTCTCGTCTCTCGGATGGACTTCAGCACGCCCGTTGACGTCTTCTACTCATCAACGCTTCCCGCGCTTCTTGACGCAGTCAGTGCGCGTCAACGCGGCAACGGCGACGTTCACCGTCGCGTGCGCTGGCGTGCGTGGATGCGATCTGCCCTCACCTGCGCCTACGAAGGCACGTACGTCCCCCCAATTCGGATGTCCGACTACACAAGTCAGCTGCTGCGGCAAGATGGCGGGTGCGCGGGAGTTATCTGGGAGGCCGCTGTGAAGGGACTGACGCCGCGCTGGCTGGAGACGGCGACGAAGACGGCTTTGGCAGTCGGCGTGGCTTCCTCTGCCCTCTCACTGTCTCTGCCGGAGGAGTCGAGCTGCACTGCCCGCCTGCTGGCGAAGTCGGTGGAGGTTGGCATCACGTCCTGGACAACGTGTGTGCTGTCCGACACCGCGCTCTACGCCCACGCTGACCCGCTCTGTACACCACAGTCGCTGCACGTCTTCACCACCGGCTGGAATGCGTTGTCCGAGACGGCGTTTCCCGTTGTCGGAGAGCCAGCGGCGGTGACCGAGGCGGAGGCGTCGCTGGCGCGGTGTACGGATTTCGCTGACGCTGTTCAGCAGAGGTTCCACTCGCTGCTACCGGCAGACGAGGAGGCAGCTTAGGCGCCCCTCTTCCTCTTTATATATATACTTTTTTTTTTTACCTCGGCTGTTGTTGTTTTTTCTCGGCGATCTTCACAGAGTCACATAACATAGACGTTGCCCTCTTCTCGAAATCCAACGGTAATCTGTGCTGCCTTCACACTAAGATATCTTCACGATGTTGTATCCTTGCTGCTTCTCATGTAAGCAGAGATCACACGATGTGGCGTTGCACCCGTATGCGTGTATGTGTGTCGGTGCGTGTAGTTTTTCCAAACTCTCCTTCATCATTTTCCCTTTCTCTCCGCCTCTGAGCCTTTTTTTAAATGAATTCATCTTCAGCAGAAAGTGCAGCTGTCCGTTTGGAGCGCTGTCTGCTGGCAGCGGCCGCTTTACTAGTGCCCATATTGTCTTCTGTAATTATTCTTCTTCTACGTGCTTCTCATCATGTTCACCAAGAAGCGAGCAGCCATTCACAACGTGCGCAACAACGTCGGCAGCACGCCCAGTGGCGGCGTCGTCACACGCAAGGACATCGGCTGCGGTTTGCTCGACTGCCCGCTGTGCGCCAAGACCGCCGTCGCTGGTGTGCGTGCGGCTTGCCTCACACCGACCGCGCCTATTGTGATTCCCGACACGAACATCGTGCTGCACAACATGAACGCGCTCGAGGACGCGCGGGTGCAGAACATCGTTTTTCTCACCACGGTGGTAAGTGAGGTGGAAAACCGCAACAAGGGCATTTACGCTCGTCTGCAGCGCCTCTTGCGCGACGAGTCGAAGCGCTGCTACGTGTTTGCCAACGATCGGCACGAGCAGACGCATTGCCTGCGGAAGAAGGAGGAGTCGCCGAACGACTTCAACGATCGATGCATTCGAGTTGCCGGTCAGTGGTACGCGCGTCATCTGACGGCCGCGTTTCCCGGCACCGCAGATAGAGCGGAGTCCAGCGTCAGCGTCGTGTCGCACGATCGCGCCTTCAAGCAAGCGATGGACTCGTCGGAGGAGGCGCAGAAGGTGAGCAACCTTCGCTGTGTCTCCCTGCGTGACTACATCAAACAGACCTTCTCCAGCGAGTCGGACCTGCTGGAGAAGATTCAGTTCGAGGAGCCGGACGGCATGAAGGAGTCGCCGGCGACGCGGCAGCTCTTTACGCCGTATTTGAGCGTGCCGGCGATGAACAGCGGTATTCAGGACGGCAGCCTCTTCAAGGGAAAGCTGCGCGTGAGTGAGTCGAGCTGCTTCTTTGGCGAGATCCGTGGCAAGTTTGAGGGGCACGCGTTTCAGCGCATCTTCATCCCCGGCAGGGGCAACATGAATCGTGCAATTCACGACGACGTCGTTGCGGTGCAGCTGCTGCCAGTGTCTGCCTGGCGAGGCCCCAAAGGAGCGGAGGCGCTGCCCGACTCCACCGCCGAGGAGGACGCCATGAAGGCCGGTTTTAGTCCCGCTGGTCAAATTGTTGGCCTTCTCTCCTCCAGCCGCCGCCCGTTCTGCGGTAGCTTGGATGAGGGCGAGCTGGAGAAAATCGGCGACAACACCTCCGGCAGCGTCTCCATCCTGTTCCAGCCAAAGAATAACCGCATTCCCCGTATCCGCATCTCGACCCGGCACGTGCAGGACCTGCTGGACAAGCGGCTGAGCGTGGTGATCGACGACTGGCCGCTTTACAGCAGCTTCCCCGTCGGACACTACGTGGAGGTACTCGGCAAGATCGGTGACCGCGACACGGAGGCGACGGTGATTTTGCTCGAGAACGATGTCCCGCACTACGACTTTAGCGAGGCGGTCTACGACTGCCTGCCGAAAGGGCAGTGGTCCGTCACGAAGGACGAGGAGGCGCGGCGGCTCGACCTGCGCGACCTCTGCGTCGTCAGCGTCGATCCCCTCGGCTGCCGCGACATCGATGATGCCCTGCACTGCCGCGTTGTGAATGGCAACCACATCGAGGTTGGCGTGCACATCGCCGATGTCACACACTTTTTGCGCGAGAGCACGGCGATGGACGAGGAGGCAGCGAAGCGCAGCACGAGTGTGTACTTGGTGGATCGGCGCATCAACATGCTGCCGCAGCTGCTGACGGAGAACCTGTGCTCGCTGGTCGAGGCGGAGGACCGCTACGCTTTTTCCATCCTCTGGGAGTTCGACGAGAATCTCAACGTTGTGCGGGACTGGTTCGGCAAGACGATCATCCGCTCCCGCGGCGCGCTCTACTACGGCGATGCGCAGCGCATGATCGACGACCCGGCTGATACGTCGGAGATCGCCGTCTCGCTGCGGGAGCTGATGCGGCTCAGTCAGCATTTCAAGGCCCAGCGCGAGAAGGACGGTGCGCTCTTCCTTGCCTCGCAGGAGTTCAAGTTCAAGGTGGACAACGACCACGTGAATCCGACGGACATGCAGGTGTACCAAACCTTTGAGGCAAACTCGATGATCGAGGAGTGGATGCTGTACGCCAACGCGGCCGCGGCGACGAAGGTGTACGAGTCCTACCCGCAGTGGACGCTGCTGCGCCGGCACGAGCGGCCGGCAGAAGGCGCCTTCGACGCCCTCAACGAAGCCCTCGAGGCAAAGCTGCACGTGAAGCTGGACGATACCTCGTCGCTGACCTTGAACAAGTCGCTAGACAAGTGCGAGGACCCGAAGGACCCGTACTTCAACAAGCTGATTCGCATTCTCACGACACGGTGCCTGTGCCAGGCGCAGTACTTCTCCAGCGGCGGCGTCCCCAAAGACGAGTTTTACCACTTTGGTCTCGCCATGCCCATCTACACGCATTTCACGTCCCCCATTCGCCGCTACGCTGACGTCGTCGTGCACCGCCAACTCGCGGCGGCCATCGGCATTGCGAGCGTGAGTGAGCAGCACATGGACGCGGAGAAGATGGAGAACATCGCAGAGAACATCAACTACCGCCACGAGCAGGCGCAGCGCGCCGGCCGCGACTCACAGAACCTCTTCACCGGCTTCTACCTGCGCAACTTCGAGAATGGAAAGATCCCCGACGAGGAGGGCTACGTGGTGCGGCTCTCCGACTCGCACGTGTTTGTGCTGGTGCCCAAGTACGGCCAGGAAAGCCGCATTCCTCGCGAGCAGCTGAGCAAAGTGCCGGGGCTGCTGGACAAAGTGATGGTGGGCATCGACCTTAAAAGGCAAGGCGACGTGATGCGTACGAAGCTGGTCTTCCGGTTGATTGGGATGATGCGCGAGGGAGAGGAGGGCGGCGTGCTGGTGGCGGACGATGAGGCCTACGACGTCATTGAGGAAGACGCACCGGAGGATAAGCTCAAGGTGGAGGATGCAAAGAACACGACGGCGACGGCAGCTGGTGCCTCTTCCGCTGCTGAGATCCTCGACGAGGTGGAGTCGGAGCTGAAGCGGCCGAAGCTCGAATAGCAACAGGCGATAATTCTTGTTTGTGTGTGTGTGCTGGTGTGTGCTATTGAATTTTGGGAAGTGATTGTCTTCCTTTCGTTGGTCGTCGAGGATTGTTCTGCCTCTTTGTTTTACATGTGCCTTCGCAACTCTCTGTAAGCGTATAAATCGAATAAGCTGCTGTTAAATCAGGAGAGAATGTATCACATTTGCGCTAATTGTCTTCTCGTTTTTCGTTTCTGTTTTCTGCGTATAATCGCACCCTTACAAGTCAACTTTCACACACACAATTCGGCATGAAAACTTCGTGTCGTGAAATGCAGTTCGATTACAACAATTCGAGTGGGCACGTGAACAGCCGTGGTCTCTGCTCTCGTCTGCCAAAACGCGGGGTTCTTCCTTTGTGCATCTCTTTTTCTTCAAAATGTGGCTCAGCGTTTGGATAAGCGAGGTACGCGTTTTTCTCGTAAGAAAAATAATTTGTGGACACTGTTGTAGACGCTTCTTTTCCTTCAACTCCATGCATCGCTGATTAAAAATTCTCTCCCTACCTCCTTTTTCCGCTTCGCCTTCAACGTTTTCTTTTTCAGGTGTTGCTTCGTTTTATCCATTTTCCTTCCTTCGTGGTGGTTCGTGTTGTCGCTCGTTGTCGTAGACGGTGGTGATGGTGGTGGTCAATCCTGTGCTTTCACTCTCCATTAGTTGCAAAAAAATTCTACACCCGAAGCGGAAATCGACATAGGCGCCTCCCAAATCGTTGTCCTTATCAACTGCGTGACGGTTCAGCTACCGTGGTGCAGATGTCTCAGGTTGTGGTGCAGCTGGTGCGGCGTCTCGCCACCCCTGCTGTGGCGTCAGCGCTCGCCAAAGAGGAGCTCTGTCTTGCTTTTGCCGCCGTGGCGCAGTTAAGGCCCTTCTCTCCCGATGCACCAGACGCCGCTGCTGGCTCTTCCGCCGTCGCCGCAGAGCCACTCGCCCGGCGCAGTCTCCGCGTCATTCCGCACTGCACACCGCAGGAGCTGCGGATGATTGCGCTAGGCGCCAGTGCGCTGCCGTGGTCCACTACCCCGGCGTTGCCGACAGTCGTGGTGGACGCGCTCGTGCAAGGGCTGCACAGACACATCGCAAACCGTAATGTTGCCGCATCGTCGCTTTCGCAACATTTGGCAAAGGCGCAGCGCGGCCATTATGTGCGTTTGCACGACCTTTTAGCGGTGGTGACGCAGGCGATGGATGCTGGCGTCTTCTTCAACGTCACGTTGCATGAACTGATCACGCAGCACACGGAGTCGCTTGCACGTGAAGGCCCCATCCTTTCTGCAGCAGCAGCTGAGGAATTGATTGCGGTGGTGTGTGCCTACCTCGGTGAAGAGGAGGGAGTAGCGTTGGTTCGGCGGATACGCGCGGCTCTGACGGCATCCCCCCAAGCCGCGGTCTCTACAGGAGTGGACGTTCTGGACAGGTGCGTGGTTGATCAGCCACTTCCGTTGACGCCGACGAGGACGGCGTCGTACGCACGGTGGTCCAAGCACCGGTCTGCCCTTCTCGCCTCTCTCCGTCCATCCTCTGCATCGCCATCTTCCATCAACGACGTTGTCGATCCTGCCACGACGCGGCGGCTGAAGGCGCAGTGCGACGTGCTGCTGCTGGTTCAGCGCCTGCTCAGAGGGACGGAGGCGGTACGAGACGAGGATCTTTTGAAGGCGCTGGAGGAGGTGAAGGTATTTCAGATCTACGACCCCGTGACATTGCGCACCCTCGATGACGCGCTGCAACAGCGTTTGACGGACGTCGAGAAGACGCCCTTGACACCTGCAGCCGCCGTGGCCTGCGAGAACGTCGTCTACGCACAGGCGCAGCGGTTACCCCGCACGCTGGCGATGCTGCGCGCGCGCGATGCAGCCTCGGAGAGCATGAAAACCAGCGATGGTGCTACCACCACGACCACTGCGGCTTCTTCCTCATCTGCGAAGGCATTGCAGCACCTCCCTGTTATCCAGAGTGTCTACCAAAAAGCCCTCGCTGGAGCAACTGTGTCCGACAAGGATCTTTTCCTTGTGGGTGACAACACCAACGCCTACGGCGCGGATGAGGTGGCACAAGCCATCTTTGTCTTTGCCCACACTCGCGACATTCCGTCGAACTTTATCGCTGTTCTCGCCACCACGGTGGCAACGTTGACGCTGGACGGCGTGCTGGCGCTCCTGCGCGCCACCCGACACGATCGCGCTGGCGCGCTGCGCACCGTCGTCGAGGCGTGCCTCCGCAACAGCACCCACATGCAGCAGTGCATCGCAGGTGCCTCCGTCGCGTCGCTGGTGGCGCTGGTGGAGGTGTTATCGCAGCCGCCCACACGCCGGACCACGACGCCGAAAGAGACGACGGCGCTGGAGGCGCAGCTGCGGGAGTTGGCGTTGGCGCAGCTGCATCTGCACGTCGAGGCAATGCCGTGGGGGTCGCTGCTGTGCGTGGTGCGTGGGATCGGCAAGCTTCCCGGCACCCAGGACACGGTGCAAGCGGCCTGCGACCGCCTCACGGCGCATCTTGAAGCTGCCAATCCTGGAAAAGGTGCAGCTATGACCCTTGCGACCAATGCGGCGTCCCCCTCCTCGCTATTGGGCATCTCAAAGTATTTGGAGTTGGTCGACGCGCTTCAGTCGGGTGATGTGGTGAACGAGCCGCTGCTGGATGGCCTTGCTGCTGCACTTGCCGCGTATTTCACGGCGCTCAGCACGTCCGCCGCCGACGACGCCCGCCACGCCGCCTTTCTGCGTTTCGTTTTGCTGGAGTTACGCTACGAGTCCCCTGAGCTGGCGGAGGTGGTCGCGGGTGTCGTGCAGACGGTGGGGCGTGCGGACGACTGGGCCGCCGTGCCGACGGAGCTGCTGGTGTCGGCCGTGCTCTTCACCTTTGATCGGTGCAACGTCTCGTCCTTTTCTTCGTCTGCTTTTGCGCTGCCTCATCTGGCGCTGCAGCACATCGCACAGTCGCGTCGGCTGTCGGAGTCGGTGACGGCGGGGCTCGCCACGGCGGTGGTGGAGATACTATCGCGTCTGCCGGTCGCCGACGCGGACAACGCCGCCGTCACCTACTGCGTGCAAGCTCTCCTGCCGATCGGCGCCTCCTTGACACCCATTACTGCAGCTCGGCTGATCAGCGTCGCCTATCGCACGGCATCCCGCGCCGCTTCAGCGCCTGCCGTCCCGCAAGAGTTGTACGACGCGGTCACGGAACACGTTAGAGGGCTGCCGCCGGACATCTTCACATCTCTCTGTCTCTCTGTCTCAAGTCCGTCGTTCGATGAGGCGCTTGCGAATCGCCTGGTGGAGGTGCTCCCCCGCGTGGCGGACCAGCTCACGCCGCGTCAGCTCAGCCGGTGTGTGTTTGGATTGGGTGAGATGCGCGGCGCCGGCCAGCGGCTGTCACACCAAGTCATGTCCGAGGACCTCTCAGACTACGCGGTCGACAACGTGGAGCTCTTCACCAGCGGCCGCGACATCGCCTCTTTGCTGCACGGCTTCGCGAAGCTGCAATGCACCAAGCGCCACCTCTACAGCACCTTCGCGCGGCAGGTGAACAGGCGGTGCGTGCGCTACACGCTCGACTTCAACAGCATCAGCTTCTTGCTGTTCGCCTTTGGCAGTGTGAAGTTTGTGGATGCGGTGCTGGTGAATTCGCTGTGCACTATTTTCGTCGACCACGCAGACGAGCTGGCGGCGCCGGACTTGCTGATGACGCTGCGCGGTGTCAGCCGAATGTGCCTGCTGAACAGCCAAGTTTACTGGAGGCTCGGCATGCAGGTGGCGGAGCGCGCCGACGAGTTCCCGCTGTCGGCGCAGTGCGACTTAATCCACGCCTACGGGTTCATTGAGCAGCAGCATTCGGCGATGGTCGCCGCGCTAGCGCCGCGCATTGCGGCGAATGTGTCGGCGCTGCCCTCTGTGTCCGCCGCCGTCGACGTGCTGTTGTCGCTGTGGCGCATGGACTACAGGGTCGCCGTCACGGAGGCGTCGAAGGTGATTGCGGACCACGTCGTGCAGCACAGCAGTGAGCTGAGCAGCTCGGACCTCGCGAAGCTGTGCTCCATTATTCTCGACATCCACTGGGCGCATGGGCCGCTGTTGGACGCCATCGCGGCCCGCTCGATCGCACTGAAGGCTGAGGATGGTCTGGAGGCGGGTGTGGCCCGCATCGTGTTGGACACACTCGGCTCGCAGCACGTGTTCCACCTGCAAGCCCGCACGGAGCTGTCGCAACTGGCTCGCAGCGCCAGTAAAGAAGCTGTCCAGCTCTCAGGAGAGGAGGAGGCGCAGCTGAAACTGCTGATCAGCCATTAAATTGACTTGAACGGCGGACAAGGACGGTCGCAGGGGCAAGAGCGAGGCGGCGGCTAGCTGTGTTCCATTGTTCTTTTTCTCCACATTTCACAGATGAGCTGCGAGGGTTTGTTGTGGTGACGTCTGGCGTTTGACGGCGGACTATCTTCTGTGTTGTTCTTCTCTTCTGATGATTAAAACGAAAATGCCAAACAGTTTGTTCAGCGTTGTTTCGTTCAGTCGCTGGCTTCTCGGCGTGCATTTTCTTGTCGGCCACGGAGGACCGCTGTCGCGTGAAACCCACCATGCTACATGTAGCTATTCTTCCCTTCGTTTCAGTCATGATCAATGGCGTTCGTCCTCGTGATGGTGTGCTTCGCATTCCGCTTCTTCGTCTCCTATATGTTGCATCTCTTCTCTTCCTTCATTTTCCGTTTTCTTCCGCATCTCAGCACTTTTGCGCTCCCGGGCGTCCACAAACACCCCACAACCGCAGTGGTACAAGTCTTCAGCTCCTGTCATGTCGGCGAAGTTGACGCACCGAGTTCAGTTAGATCTTCTTCTTGTTTCCCCCATTTTATCGTTTTTAAGAATTACAATCGAGACCTCTCCGAAGAGCGCAGTTGAGCTGACATCCCCTCTCCTCTAATCTCCCGAGTGCTCTCGGCAACCGAACATGGCGGCCTTTGACATCATCTACGCGCTGCTCACCTACTCCGCCGGTGCTTTCTCGGTGCTGATGAACGCCTCGCCGGTACTGACGATCCGCCGCGTGCAGCAGGCTGGCACCGTCGGTGCGTCGACCATCACCTTCTACGGCGCGCAAATGTACAATGCCGTGACGTGGGCGTCGTACGGCACGTACACCACGTCCTACCCGCTGCTTGTGTCGAACATCCTGGGTAACGCCGTGGCGACGTACTGCAGTCTGACGTGGCTGACCGTGGGACGGCGTGAGACGAAGGCGGGCCGCACATTGGAGTCGACCACCTACTCGCGGAGCGTCGTGACGTACGTCTTTTTCTTTCTGCTTTCCGTCGCGCACCTGCTCTTCAGCATCGTGTTCATCCTTGCCGGCAGACCCGACGTGGCCAAGACGATGACGGGTTACGAGGGAAGTGTAGCTTCGTTGGTGATGCTCAGCGCCCCGCTCGCCATGTTCAAGCACATCGTCCAGACCAAGAACGCCGAGGTGCTCGCCCCTGTCATGGTCACCTTTGCCTTCTTCAACACCCTCTTCTGGACCATCGCCGGCTTGATGACGGGCGATCCCTTCATCATCTACCCCAACGGTCTCTGCTGGCTTGCGTGTGTGGGGCAGATCGTTCTTCTCTTCAAGTACGGGCGGCATCCCGTGCAGTCGGAGGAGATCAGGGAGGCCATCGCACCCGTTCCTTTCGACTAGAGTGGACGGTATAGAATGCACTGTTTACGTGTGTGTGTGCGTGTGCGGTGGGGGGGGGGGGTCGCAAGCCCGTCATCACGCACCCCTCGTGCGATCTGCTCTTGTGTTTGCTCCTTCCTTTTCGTACACGTCTAATTGCAATTATAGGTGTGAAATATTATGGAAGTTGTACCCAGTTGATTGCATTGCTCGGTCGAAGTTCAACCGTTTCCTTCATTATAACTCTTGCGAGAGGAAGCCGTTGTCCTCTTTACGTTGGCGTTGTTGCGGTTGCCACGCGGCGAGCGTGGGCCCCGCCGTTTTCATCTTATAGCTGTTTCTTGTATATTCGCCCGAGGAGTTGCCCATGGCACGCCTGTCCAACCGTCTATGCGGCTCCTGGACGCGCTCGTTGTCCTTGTAAAGTAACGGGCATGTCCGCGTAGGCTAAACTACACCAACCATTGCAAGTAGATGCGGGGGTATCAGCAATAATAATAATAATAGTAACTGTTTGAATCCAACGCGGGCTGAGGCGCCTCATACGCTGCGTGGTGGACTACGCAATCGGCCGCTCTATGTGTGACTGTCTGAACTTCATGGGCACCCCTACACAGAAGGGAGGGGGGAGGGAAAAGGAGAGGGTGGGGATGCACGCTGCGAGGGCGAGTCCGTCTCGGGAACAAATGGCACCCCTGCGCCGCAATGCTTCGCTTTTTCTCCGTCTCGCGTCTTTTGTTTGCTTTGCCCACCCCCTTCGGCGCGCCCCGGCCCAGAGCCCGCCGCCAAAAAACAATACAAAGTAGAAGAGGACGGTGCGCTCACATTCCGGTGAGGCACTCCACCTCCGTCCCCGTCGCGCACGCCAGCCAGCGATGGGCCTGCTCGTCGGTCTCCGCGCGCGGCGAGCCCATTTGGCGAATGAGATGCTGCGCAACGCACGCGCCGGCAACGGTGGCGCAGACGGCGCCAGCCACACTTGCTGACCCACGCAGCGCCGCCTCCACATCGGCGGCGCAGAGCTGCTGCAACTGCAGGGCGTCCATCCACTCGTAGGCCGCTGCGGCCGCCTCCGCAAACGGCAACCGTGCAGCTTCTCCGTTGTGCAGGTACAAGGACAGGATAACGCGCTGGTAGGCGGCCGGCTTCTCCGACAGCAGCGGCGGGTCGGCCACGAGGCGCCGCCACTGCTCGGCAAGCGCACACGACGTTGTCAGCTTGCGGTAGAGCACGAAGGCGACAACGGTGTTGGCCAACGTGGCGTGCAGCACGAGCAGCGCAGGCGGCGACGCAGCGGCCGCCTCCACACACGCGCTGCCCTCGTCCAGCGAGGCGATGAACACCACCCGCACCAGCGTGTTTGCTTGTTGGAGCTCTGCGGCACTGCCGCACACGCGCACGTACGGGTTGAGGCGGCGCAACGAACGGATGGCCCGGGCAGCTCGTGTACTGCCCGGCTCTCCCTGCATAAGATAGTTTTCTTCTGCATCCACCTCGTCTAGTTCCGCCGCGTCGGCCACCGCGACACCGCCCACACCCGCCAGCACCAGGTTCTTCGCCGCCTCAGCCGCGACACCGGCGATGCCGTCGAAGACGACGTTCGTGTGCATCAGCTGCTGCTGCATCGACTTGCCCCACAGCCGGATTTGGCGGTCATATCGCACCGCCTCTGCGTCAGCCATGGTGGAAAGAAGCAGAGTTATATGAGGCGTAAAAGAAAACCTACGAAGAGCGAGTTATATATGGCTGTAATGTGTTGGTGGATTGAAGGCACCACCGCGACGTGGAAGGTAAGAGGTGTGAAAGAAAGTCGCAGCGCGCGTCATCATCAAAAGTGGAAGCAGAAGAGCTCCGTGAGCAACTTCGATCCGTCGCACATCAGGTGTGCACACCACTCTTGTTCCCATCGAAGATCCTCTTCTTTTGTTGTTGTTCCAAACTTAGCAGACAGAGAGCACGCCCACGGTGGCAGCAACAGCAACCTGCCCGCTCACAAATCGTAGGTCGCACCATCAATCAAATCTTCTACCCATCGGCACGGGTTTGGGCACAGCGCTGCCTGCGCTGCCGACAGCGCCGTCTGCGCGCGCAGCAGCCCTGTCCACGCCTCCACCTCTGCTGACCATCTCTGTTGCAAGTCGCGGCAGGCGGACTCGATATCGTCCGTCAGCTCGTCCTCCAGTGCGGGCGCTTCATCCATCAACCGACTGTACACACTACGAGCGAGATCGGCATGCGTGCGGGGCAGCGAAGCGCAGAGAGCGTAGCGGAAGTACGCGGTGACGGCACTTCGGCCCAACGCCTCCTCGTCGCACACGGCAGACACGACGGTTGCCGGCACAGAGAAGTGCGACTGCAGCGACAGCATCTGCGCGTATTTGTCGGGCGTGAGTTCGCGCCACACCGCCGCGTTGGCACAGCTGCGCTGCCACGAGTTCAGTATCGTCCACGCTTCCTCTCCCCGCTCACAACAGGTGACGGCGACGGTGCGGGGCGTGCGACCGGCCGGGTCGGCCGCCGCCATGATTGCGCCGACAAGCACCCAAACGCAAACGATGGCGCGCTGCAGTCGAACTTGCTGGTTAAGCATGACGGCCCCTTTTTTGTTCTTTGGCGTGGTGAAGCGCTGAGGAGAGGTAAAGGAGAACGAGGGAAGAGGAGAACAGAAAGACGTGTCCAGTGGGTGCGTTTTTTTTTTCTGTTCCACCAGCGGCAAGGTCAGGCGGGCCATCCGTTGCAGCTGCCTGAGCAAACGTGGAGCGTTGCGTCACGGAGAAAGCCGCTGCATCTGCTGCTGAGCACCCTGCTGTTTGGGTCGATAGTGGAGCAGGTTTCACGTTCACATTCACAGTAAAGCATCGAATTGAACCGGGAATAAGAAGGATAGGAAGTCAAGAGTCGAAGTGACTGCACGGCATTTGGGGAAATACATCACTAGCGAGTACCTGGCATCAATGTCCCCATCAAGGCTACTCATTGTTTCTTCACTATCTAGTATCTGCCTCAATTCCGTTCTTCTTCACCTGTAGTGTTTGTCGTCGGACTTTTTCCCTCCGAAAGCAACGCACCGCTCTGGTTCCATCCAAGGCGACTGCCTCACTTCCGAAAAAACAAACGGTCGAGTGAACCCGGTAGCACGTGAGAATTCGTGAGTTCCGTGGCTTTTGGGCCCATGTAGCGAACCGTCGTCGTCGGTATATCCAGAGGGTCTGCGTGCTTCGCGAGAGCCACCACCGAGCGTGGGGGAAGTGCGTGCTCTCGGGCCAGCTGTGCCGCTGACTGAAGAGCTCCTCGCTTGATGGAGTGTGCTGAGTATCCGCGCTCGCGCAGACGCTGTGCGATTTGTGTCGTCGTGAGCCCAGTCAGCTTGCCGCTCTCCCCGACCTGAGCCTTCAACTTTCGCAGCTCCTGGGCCATGGGACCCTGCAACTTCACATACCGATGTGCGCGGTATGGATTGATCTTTGCCGTTTTTGGAATGGCTGCCCAGTCCAAAATCACCGACCCGTCCGGTTGTGGCAGCAGGTTCTCCCCTCGGAGATCCTTCACCTCCCCCCACCGCGACGCGGTCATCCATGCCAACTGCATCACAGTGGCGTCGGCCCACGAAGGGGCCCCTTCCACCAGGGCCCGCATGTCCGCTGGTGTGATCGGTGCTGCCTGACGCACCTCCTCCTTTGCCTCGCGCTTCCGGCATCCCGCCAGGTACGCGTCTACCACCGCTATCTCCCTCGTGAGCAGGGACTTCAGTGTGGTGCCGTACTGCACCTTGGTAGAGTACTTGAGCTCCTTCGACTCCAGGAAAACCGGCACCGCGTCGAGGTTGAGCGGCAGTCCGGCTTCGAGGCAAAACGACTGAAAGCCTCTGAGCAGTGATGTGCGCTGCTCCCATGTGGTCGGCTCGTACATGTCTGCCGCCGCCACTTCGTTGACCTGGCTCCTCAGAGCCGACAGGTGAGGGGGCACCGCCTCCAACCCGCCCCAAAACATTCGATGATCGTTTACCGACGTTCCCGGCGGTAGTGACGAGTGCGGCCGGCTTGCCACCCCTCCGAAATTTGTGTGCGGCACCAACTTTGCAATCTCCACCAATGTCGGTCGCCGAACCTGTGGTCGACTCACCTTCTCCAAGCTCGCGGGGTCCGTCGACCAGTTTCGTACCTCCGCCGCTGCCTTTCGCGGGGCCAGAAGACCCTTTCGTCTTGTAGGCGTCCTTCTTACCCGACAAACGCAGAACGTTGAGGAGCGGGTCGAAGTTGTACGAGTTCTCCTCGCACGCCTGCAGAAACTCAGTCTCCGTCATCTTGTACGAGGATCCATTGACCCTGTAAAACAACGTCAAACCCATCCTGCGCCCAGTGCCCTGTTGATCAGCCCAATACCGCGGGTCGGCCTCCGCCGCCAGCAGCCACCGCAGGAGCGCCTGGAAGGCATCATTCACTGGCGCAGTGCGGGGTGCCTCGCCGCGAAGAAAAATGTGCTTCAACTGCTTCTCAATTTCGTAGGGAGTCTTCCCACGGAACCAAGGACGCCAGGTGCAGACGTCCATTGGGTCGAACTCCACCTTCAGCGACTCAGCCACTGACTCGGCGTCGTCTAAAAAAGTCAACCGAGACTTTTGTGTTGGCGACCCAGGCCCGTCTCCCCTGTTGTCGTGTTCGGTCTCCCATGTAGGGGCCTTGTCAATATGAACCACTTTTCGCTCCAACTGAGCGATTGATTCCTTCAAAGAGGCTTGCTGTCTTTCAATCCGCTCATTGGACGCGACTAGACCACGACCGCGAAAGTCGCCGAGGTCCTGGCTCCCAGCGATCTCGTTGAGCTGGTCGCGAAGCGCCTGCACCTCTGCGGCAGTGGAGCCCATGCGAGCAACCTCCGTCAGAAGCTGTGCCATCTGGGCCCCGTTTCCTTCAGACCCCGCTGTGGTGAGCTTCTCCGAGACCTCTTTTAGCACTGCTTCCATGAGAGAAGCCTGTGCGACGGCGTTCTCAACCTCGGACACCCTGGCGACGGCCCGATCAACCCGCTCGCGTTCTTTTTCGATTTTTTCGTTGTACTCTGTGTTGAGGTCCCGATACTTCTTCTCGAAAGAAGCCACCACTTGCGATTCCAGGTCAACAACGGATGCTTTCAACATCCTCACGCTTTCCTGGTACTCCCCCCGTTCGCGGAGGAGTTGCAGTTCCAGCTCGTGCAGTTTCTCTTCTTGCGCTTGTTGTTTGTCGTCCTGCTCCCCGACGTGGCGCTCCAGACTCCCCATGCGGTCTTCCATCTGGCGAAGCTTTTCTTGCAACAACGCCACTTCCCCCTGCATGCCAGAGGCTGTCAGTGTGTTGTGCATCGCCGCCTCTTGTCGGGCACCGGCAACCTCCGAAGCCGCCTGCTCCCGCAGTAGGGAGATGTCCGACTGCAGGCGGACTGTGTCCACAGCCGTGGCGGACTGTGCCATCCCCATGTAGTACCCCGCCAGCTCCGTCTTTTGGATCAACCTCTCATAGAGGTCGCGGGTCTCGATGCGGAAACACTCAACGTGATGGGGGAACGTGTGCCAATCAAACGTCTCGTATCCATCCCTGAGGCTCAGAGAAGGATTCTCCCGCCTGACTCGGAACGTCACAGGCCGAGAATCCGATCCGTTCGGGCCCGTGATCTGCAGAGTCAACTCGCATTCGCCCTGCTCGGGAAGGTTCTCATATAGATCCGTGCAAACCAAGTTCTACTTGGACGGATCGATGGGTATAAGAGCCATATTGAGGGAAACTACCTAAAAGGGTTTTAATATATTCATGGATCTACTAATTTTTTTTATTTTTATTTTTAATAAAACTTATGAAACAACTGGCGATGATTATAAGAAACAACTGGCGATGAATATGTAAAAAACTTGCGAATAAAACTCTGAGAAGGGAGTTTTCAGCGAAAAACCGGAGTTTCTCTCGATGCTGAAAACAACTGTGCCAGGCAAACCAGAATACGGAAGAACCAGGATTCAGGAGGAAGTAGAAGAGGAGAAGATAGTTTAGAGCATTACCCTAAATGACCGAGATCCGCCAATCTCTCCGCTGCCAATCACATTCAACTCATTTTTTCCGTCCCTTCCATTCCCCTCGCAGGCTCACAGCAAACAACAAAAAAAGAGCTGCGCTGAAATAATACTATAAATAAAAAAGACACGTTGCAGAAATAATAATAGCTACTCTGATACTAACGAACAATAACGCGGCGACACTTCACAACACGATCCAGAGAACCGCAGCAAAAGAGAAGGGAGAGCTTGTGACACTGCCGTCAGTCCAGCTGCTCTCTTCCACCGCAATGAAGCGCACTTGTCTTAAAATAAAATGTTTGCCTCGAATATATAACTACTATTACACGACAGTTGTTGTACGTTTTTGATGATGGTTACAGGAAAAATAAAAACAAATATTAAATAAGTCATCCAGACGCCGGGCAAAGAGTGAGAGAGGGCCAAACAAAGGCGGAGCGCGTTCTTTTTCCTCGTCAACAGTCACACATAAATTGGCGACAGCTCCTTATTCCTTTCTCTTTTGACACGGCCAGCATGCCTGCTATGCGTCCATCTCACTTCTCCTTCTTTGCGCTGGATGAGCCGCCGATAATCACCGTCTCGATGCCCATGCCCGAGTCACGCAGACGGTGCACCAGCTCGTCGCCGAAGGCCGCAGAAGGTGTCAGCACGCCACCCTTCAGCTTTTTCTTGCGGGCGAGCGCCAGCACGCTCAGCGCGCTCTCGCCGAGGAAGACGGCTGTGGCGGTGTAGCAGTCCTCCTTTGCCGTCAGCGTCGTCTCCACCTGCTTGCCAGAGATCGTCTGCCCCACAAAGCTGCAGTGGAAGTTCGAGCGGGTCATCGTCAGATCAGCCGGGCCGACGCCCGTACCGGAGAAGTAGCGGCCTACCAACCAGCGGCGCAGCGGGCCAATGGCCAGGACGATGCCCACTACGTAAAACGCCAGCGTAGAGGCCACAACACGCAGGAGGGAACCCTGCGATGCCTGCATGTACACGGCAGAGGAGCGCAGAAGGCTGTTGCTGCGACGCACCGTGCGCTCGTCTCCTGTGGCGCTGATGAGGAAGCCCGTGAAGCGCCCGTTCTCGAACCAGATGCCCCTACGCGCCGGTGTCGCCGTCGGCTGCACGGCGTCCTTCGCCACCAGCGAGAGCGGGCTGTAGTCCTCCTTCGCCATGTTCTCCATCACAGCACAGACCGAGTTGATGGTGCCGTTCGACACGCCGGCGGTGTTCAAGTCAAAATACCCCTTCACCACCTTCAGCGCCTCTCCAGCCTCGCGGTGGACGACGAAGTTGCCGATGTCCGCCGGCACGCAATCGAAGCCGCAGCACGGCACGATGGTGATGTTCTTCTTTGTCGCCTCGTCGTGGTACTTCTCAATCACCTGCCGGACAAATGTAAACTCACCGGTGGAGTCGACGTAGTGGGTGCCGTGGCGCATGCAGGCTTCCACCACAGGCATACCCACCTGCGTAAAGGGCCCGGCACACGCAATGACGCACGTCGCCTTGCCACATACCGCGTCCACGGTGGAGGGGATCGTCGCATCCACCACAAAAGTCGGCACGTCCGTCGCGCCAATTTCTTTTTTGAGGGCGTCGAGCTTTTCCTGGCTGCGGCCGCCGATGCCCCAGTGCCCCTTCAACTCGGGCTTGCGCAGCAGATAGCGGCAGGTGAGGCGCCCAGTGAAGCCCGTGGCGCCGAGCACGACGATGTCCAGCTTGGAAGCCGCAACTGGAGATGCGGATTTTTGTGTCTTCTTCATGTTGGAATGAGGTGGGAAAGTAAAACCTTTGCTGGTGCGATGGGTGTCAACGGAAGAGGTCGTTGCCACGAGGCGAAGAGACGGAAATTATAAAATCGACCGTACAAGGAAGAAACGTTTGCCGGCGCGGGAACCTGAGGCGACGCGTGTGTAACCTAGGTGAGGAGAAAGAGCGCCCACAGGGGGAGGAACACAACCGAGAACAACGGCAGAGCCGAGACACCACAGAAGAGAAAAGGAAGTGAGCGACTCGTAGGCTTCTCCAATCGGGAAATGCGCAGCGTTCGTGTCAGCACCCTAACTGACGCGGCTTAGCAGTTGCCGTCCACGCCTGAAAGTAGGCGAGTATTTTCATTATCACTTTGAGTCTATGTCAGAGAAAGAAAAGACATGTATAAAGAAGAACAGCGCGAGCATCTAGGCAAACAAACGAAAAAAAAAAGATCGTAAAATAATAGAAATAATGGAAAACAGAATCGCCGCATCCAACAACGGTTCTTGCCGTGCCCAAGAGTAAGATCCGCACCTAGCGCGCACACAGGCAAAAGAAAAGCTACACCACCGTCTAGCAGGAAGATATCTCCAGTACGCACGCCAGGTAAACACCAAAGCAGCAGTGCAATCACGTCATTCGTTCTGTTTCGCGAGAGATCGCAGCGCCGGAGAAAGGAAAGAGAGAAAAAAAAAAAAGAGATCTTATGCCTCGGTGTATTAAAAATACCACCAGGCACACGTTACCTTTTCAACGGCTAAACTGCTTGTGGACGCTGCTTTTGAGGGCTTCGAGTTTCTTCTGCTGCTCTTGCAGCTCCGCCTGCACATCCGCCAGCCGACGCTTCTCAGCCGCGATGCTCTGCTGACCGCGCGCCTTGTCTAGCGACTCGCCGTGCACGCGACGCTCGCGCTCCTCTGCCTCGCGACGGGACGAGACGTCGTACATCTCCCGCTTCTCCTTCTCCGCTGCAAGCACACGCTCGCACTGCATCAGCTTCTTCGATGCGTCTCGCGCCTGCCGCTCGGCGGCCGTAAAGACCTCCATTGCAATGTCACGCTGGCGGCCAACCCGGTCGATCACGGCGACTAAAAAATCTACCGCTGGGGCGGGGAGGACTGCGGTGCAGGTCGGGTTGCCCAGCGTCTGCATCACCAGAGCCCTGCGCACATCGTGCATGCTGCCTCCTCTTCCGCCGCTGGTGTTTGTCGAGAGCGCAAAACGCGCGTCGTCGTCGTTGCTCAGCGCGGGCAGCGCCAGAGGCTCCTCCTCAGCGTAGAGCCGCGCGTCCTCGGTCATGTACGTCTGCCGTGCACGGAGCTCCTCCCGAATGCGCTGTTCCAGCTCCGCAATCAGAGCCAGCTCCTCCATTCGCTGCTCGACTGCCACGTACTCGTACCAGTCGCCGACCTGCTCGTAGAAGCACTGCCGCGCGCCTTCTTCAGCCGTCGTGACGCTGCAGAGCTGCACGCGGAGGGCGGCCAGGGCAGCCTCAGCGGCGTAACGGGCCGACAGCAACATCTTCGTGTGCACTTCGGCCCGCGCCGCCATCTCATCCTGCGCCAGCAACGCGCGTCGCTGCGTCTCTGCGTGGAGGAGATCCATCTGGCACCGAAAGTGGAACAGTTCCGCCGTGCGCCTCGCGTCTTCCGCTGCTCGCGTGCGCAGGTGCGTGAACTCCACTTGCTCGTCCTGTGCAATGCGTGTGAGGGCGTCCACCGCCGTCGACAACGCCCTTGTCCGCTCTTGACGGTGCTGCATCAAACGGTCTTCAAGCGCTTTGGTGGTGAACACAAATCTGCTGCACACCGCCTGCCGGCATACGCCCTCTTGCTGCACCACGAAGCTGCGCTGGGCACGCTCGCCCTCGAACAGCGCTGCACGTGCCACACGCTTCTCCTCGCACCACCGCCGGACCCCCTCTTCGTGGGCGGCCATGCTTGAAAGCAGGCGGAAACGCGCCTGACGCTCCTCTTCAGCGACGGCTTCCAGGGCCGCCTGCGCATTGCGGCACAGCTCCTCCCGTGCGTGGTGTTTGGACGTCACCCACTGCGCCACGCCCACCTCGCCTTGCGCCAGTGCGTCTCGCAGCTCAGCGCGAGCGGCCGCCTCCGCCGCAGCGACGGTCGTTTCCCTCTCCAACACGCATTGGTGCAGCAGCGCAGCTCGGACCGCCGCCTTCGTCTCCCGCCACGCCAGCCGCCCCGCGGCGTCGGTGCGTTGCTCTTGCACAAGCGCCTCAAAGGCGGTGTGCTCTTCGTGCTGAATTGTGCGAAGCGCGTCGAGCGCGAAGAGCAGCGCGGAGTGCCGACGGTCCGCCTTCTGCGCCTCCGCCTCGCGCACGTCATCCTCGTCCGCTTTCATGTCGAGAAAAATGACGTGGTAGCCGCCCTCCGCCTCCTCGCGAATGCCCTGCCGCAGCGATGCCTCGGACTTGAAGAAGGTGGCGCGCTGCCGCGCGAAGATGCGGTGGCACTCTACCAGGTATTCCGCCTCCTCGGTCATCTCCTCCCGCAGGCGCACACGCGTGGCTGCCTCCTCGGCGGCGAGGTCGCGCTTCCCTTGCTCTGCAGCGCGCAGGAACACACACCGCTGCTGCACGTGCTGACCAACCAACTCCCGATGCGACGCGGCTGCTGCGGCGAGGTTCTCTACCGCGGTGTACCACTCGCGACAGATTCCCTCACGGCTCTCCAGGAAGCTGTCGTGGAAACGAAGACGCGCCATGCCGTTTTCAGCAATGAGGCTGCGGCTCTCGACCTCGGTCGCCTGCAGTCGGTGCCACTGCGACGATTCGTTGTAGCGCAGGGCCTCGCGTGTGGTGGCCTCGCGTTGAAGGAGGTGCACCGCCTGTGCTGCGTGCGTGCAGCGCCACACGAAGTTCGCAAATTGCTCTCGCTCGCGGGCGACGGTTGTCTGGCGCGCGGCGGCCTCGCTGGATTGTAAGGCAAGCAGAACGGTGTGCTGATCAGCCGCAGAGACGAACGCACTTCGCACGGCTTGCTCCGACCTACACAACTGCTGTCGATAGAGGGCCTCTTGCAAGATCACGCGCACTAGATGGCGTTCAATCAACTCCGTCGTGCGCAGCCCTTCCAGCCAGGCATCGCCCCTACTAACGAGCCGCTGTCGCTGTCGGGTTTCCTCGCTGAGCAGCTCGTCGGTGATGCGGGTCAACTTCGCGCGTTCGAAAGGTGTGTTCAGGCGGAGAGAGTCCAGCTTCTGCCGCGTTGCTTCAGGATCGACCTTCACGCTGCACGCCTCACATCCGAGCCGGCCACACACAATGCAGCGGCTGCACGAAGGAATTTGCCAGTTCGCAGGCGGCGGCGTTGACGTGTTGGAGCCCCGCTCGCGCATGGACAGCGCAGGTGGGGAGACGGTGGGCGAGAGAGACGGCACGTTTTCTGTTGCCTCGATGCGGGGCCGCGAGGAGGGCCGGGTGCTGCTGGAGGCACTCCCGCAGGACAGCCCCGCTGCTACTACTCCCGCCCCTCCTGCTGATGGGGCACGGGGGCGCCGGCGCAGCCGATACTTGTCGTTTGGGAGTTGAGACATTCTATATATAGTTTCTTTCGGCCTCTACTTCAGGCCGCCAATTCGTTTTCCCTTTTTTCTGAAGGTGGCGGGATGGTGAAAAGAAGAGGCGAGAGAAGACAGAGAAAACTGTGTTGCGACCACCGCCACTCCTCGTTTGGGTTTCTGGTGCTGTGTACTCCGCCGTGAAGCGGGTGATGAGGCAAATCGGGAGAAAGGAGAAGACGACGAGATGAGAGAGAATAGAGGAGACGAACGATTGGTAAGCACGTAAACGACGCACACGCGAAGTCATAGAGCTGTGGGCGCACAACAGCATTGTCTGCTTGCGAATGTGGTGTATGCAAAAAAAAAAAGAGGAAGGAAATCGAGAGAGGAACAGAATTCTTTGTGACGCCTGTGGTTTACTTGTGAGACGCGAGAGAAAAGGAGCTTCCACAACCCCCTTCCCAGCAACACACACATATTTGTTTGTTTCAATGTATGGACGTTAATGGTGAAGTTCGATCTGTCTACAAAAAGTACACGCGTGAAGCAAGGAAAACAAATGGTGTCTGAAAATACGACAAAAGAAAACCAATTCTAAGGTGTATAAACGGTGTGGCACACTGAAAAAACAACAACATAATAGATATCGAGAACGGGCAGTCCCTCTTCCTCATTCTTGCTCCGTGGTGAAAGCGCGCTAAACAGCAGTAGCGTTGAGGAGGCGCTGCGAGTCACATATTCATCTCGAACTTCTGCTTCCATTGCTCGAACTTCTTGATGTTCTCCGCGTTGACGCTGCTCGGCACTTTGCGCAGAGCGGAGAGGAAGTCGTTCATCGTGATGGGCTGCTCCGCCACCTGCCGTCCAATCTCCGCCGCGTTCTCCTTCAGCGACTGCTTATCCGCCTCTTTCATAAACCGCCGCATCGTCATCATGGCGGCGTCGCGCACCAGGTTGGTGATGTCCGCACCGCTGTAGTGATGGCCATCGAGCATCTGCGACAGCTTGCCGAAGTCAACGTCGCTGCTCAGCTTGATGGACATGGTGTTGATGCGGAACAGCTCAATGCGGTCCGCCACATCCGGCAGCGGAATGTAGATCCGCTTCTCCAGCCGTCGTCGCATCGCCTCATCGATGTCCCACGGGTGGTTCGTGGCGCCGAGCACCATCACTATTTGGCCCGCATCGACGCCGACGCCGTCCATTTGCGCCAGCAGGGTGCCCTTTGCCCGCCGCGAGGCTTCATGCTCGTCGCCGCCGCCCCGCTGCCCGCACAGGGAGTCGATCTCGTCTATGAAGATGGTGCTCGGGGCATAGTAGCGAGCCATCTCAAAGAGGACGCGGATGAGCTTCTCACTGTCGCCGCGCCACTTACTCGTGAGGGTGGCGGGCGAGATGTTGAAGAAGGTCGTGTTGCACTCCGAGGCGACCGCCTTGGCCAGCATCGTCTTGCCCGTTCCAGGCGGGCCGTACAGCAGCACGCCTTTCCAGGGACGTCGAATGCCTTGGTAGTAATCCGGCATGAGCACCGGGTACACCACCGCCTCCTCCAGCAGGCGTTTCGCTTCATCGAGGCCGGCGATGTCGTCCCACGTCACGGGCAGTTTGCCCACGTGCATATCACCCTCGATGAGCTGCACGAGCTCCTCCTCGCCGGGGCGTCCGGTAAAGCGGGGAATTGTTTGCTTACCCTTCAGCTTCCCTTTTCCCCCAAGCCCATTCGGCAGCGAGGACGTGGGCGCGGGGGCCCGCCGCCCCACCGGTCCGCCACCGCCGTGGTAGTTGTGGGAGCGGGTCGCAGAGGAGGTGCGCGCTGCGCTGCAGCCGTTGACGGGGGAGGCGTGACCGGTCGACGACGACACCGCTGGCGAGGAGGCTCCGCTGCGGCCGTGGGGACGACCGGTGGGCTGCTGCTGCACCGGCGGACCTTCCGGTGGCCCAAAGCGGTCCTTGTCGCCGTACAGCCGTGCGTTTTGCACGCTGACGTGCGACACGACGGTGGTGGTGGTGGCGCCTCCGCCAAGGCGTGGCTTTTTGGCCACCGCCGCTGCTCGCCGCGTCGGCAGCGGACGGTCGACACTGCCGTCGGGGCCACCACTGCTGTCGTGGTCTACGGTGTCATTCCGCCGGGCCACGACGGGGCCGTAGAAGAGGTTCAGCTCCGATTGTATGTCGCGGACCGCCTGCACTTCCTCCTCAAGCTGGGTTTGCAGGCCGACCCATTGACCGCGCAGCACGGCATCGTCGAGGCCGTGCGTGTACGCGTCGATTTCCTTGTGGACGCTGCCATAGTACTTGAGAGCGGTGTCGTAGTCGCAGTAGAGGGCGTAGTTGCGGGCCGCGTTGATTGCCTTCGCAACTTCCGTCGCGACCGACGCAGGCATGAAAACAGTAAAAAGAAAGAAAAATAGTCGTATGGTCGCGTCAACGGCTGAGATCAAACTGTGTGAAGAAGCAAGAGAGGTGTAAATTTGCTGTGAAACTGAAAAACCGAAAGAGAGAAGGGGGGGGGGAGGGGGAACGACAAAAGGAGCAGTGAGGCACCGAAAGAATGCTCAGGACATACACGTGGAGGCTTTAGAAGCATTCAGAGAACCGTGATCGCCGTGGTGACCGATCCCTTCTGCAGCAGTAAGTTGCGTCAATCCAGTGGCTGGGTTGGCGCTTGCCTCAGTTCTTCGTTTGTTTCTTGCCGCTTAGCGGAGCCATCGCACTGGTAATCAGCAAAACACGGTATCTTTTTCCGCTAACAATCACACAAACAAACACTGACCGTCACAACGTGTACTTCGCACATCTTTGAAGGTCAAAAAGGGCAAAAACGTAAAAGAAAAAAAACTTCTTTGGTCTTCGCGGTCGCAATGCATTTCGAGGAAGAGAGAGAACGAAAAAAGCCCTGCGGCCTCGTGTTTCTCGCGTTATGTCTATGCTGTAGTCACGCCTTCCTACTCCTCTTTTAACCAAGAAGAAAACACCAATGACAAAACAGAAACGTAAACTAGGGAAAAAATATTCTCCACGTTTTTTTTTTTAAGAGACCGTCCAACATAACGATAGGCATGCGGTGATTCAACAGAAGATAAAAGGAATACTATATGCTTCTGCTCATTAAATGTTCCACGTTAATCGCGCTTATTTAAGGGAAGTGAAAAGAAATCATATATAGGATGCTCTCGCTTTCTTGTGCTATTCGTACGTATGAAATTTCGATCAGCCGCGGCGTAGAGTGCATGTTGTAAAAAGAAAAAAAGAAAGCAACGGATACAAAAAGAGAGTTTAGCGTTCGTCGTTCAATTTACGGGAAGGAGAACTTCCGTCGATGAGAGCAGCGATGTCGTTTGTGTTAATACATATATCGTTACATTTACTACCTCTTCTTTCGCATTACACAGATATTTATCATCTGCGAAGGGGGTGGGTGGGGGGAACAAGAGGATTAATTGAAAATGCAATGTCATAGCAGTGCTTTTTTATATTTGAAAGGGAGAAAAAAACCGACAGGCCGCTTGCGTTCGCGCGGGAGCAGCAGTACGAGAAAACATACTGTGGCACAATACTAAAGTACCTACCGTCATACATCTCCTTTGGACTTAGGTGAAATGCTCACAAGTATACATGTATATGATCTGCCACAGAGGTGGTCCGTAACCGGAGAATTCAGAAAAGAATGTCGAAAAACTTTTGGTGGTGCCAACAACTACAAACGAAGGATGCAATAGAGAAGAAGAAAGCTAAAAGTATTTGTGATCTACGGAGAAACTGGAAGAAGCTAAGTAGCAAAAAAAAAAAACACGGCAAAGTTGACTGATCTAAAAAAGCAGCAAACTATGAAGCGAGACCAAGAAACAAACAAATGTCAAAAACAAATCGCTTAAGATCAAAAGGACGCTTCCTTTGAGGAGAAAAGCAGAGGGGGTGATCCACCATTTGAAAAAGCAGCCGAGAAGGTTGCTTTTCAGCAACACAGCACATCGGAAAAACACACAAACACACGGGTTACCAACACATGGCAGTAAAACGTAGAAGCAGAGGTGAAGATGGGCTTCAGACACGACGTCACTCTATCGTAGAAAAGACTGAAACTCGTTGCTGCTGATAGAGTGCCCGCTTACTACAACGAATTTTCCCCTTCTTCATTCACTCGTGTTTTAACTGCTTTAAGGAGAGAAGACGAAAAGAATCTGCGAAGACGATGGGCTTAAGGAGAGGGAAAAGGGGAGGGGAGAACACTTAACAAAAAAACATATGAAGCAAAGTAGATGGAAAGATCCACAAACGAAGGACTTTAGAACAATAACAGTTACGGGGTTTTTTTTTGACAGACTTGACGATGTGGAAACGAGTGACGTTACACAGAAGACGAGGAAGAACCTCCTGTGTAGGCGGGCTGTGCACCTGACAGACATCGTTTAAACTGTACGAGGACAAACAAGAACGAGAAAGAAAGGAAAATAAAACGTGGCGACGGGGAATGTAAAAATAAAAAGGCGAAAACAGAAGAATGGCGGACTCAATTAACAAGAAATAGAAGAAAACAGAATACAAAAACTAAGAGTTAAACGGCTCTTACCAGAGCGCCTGCGTCAACCACTGTTCCATGCCGTAACCGTTTGACGCGCTCTCACACACACACGCACGCGCACAGACCACACCGCGGCGCATTTGTGCGTCGGACGCTGCAACCCGGCGTGCTTCGGTAGCGGCAAAGAGAAAAGAAAACGTTCAGATTAAACAATCAAAAAAAAAGGAAGGAGAAATGAGAAATGAATAGAGCGAAGGAAAACATCGAAGTGAAGTAAAGGTGAGACAGCTGTACGCGTGTACTCCCCCCTCCCCCACACACCCACACCCACACCCACAAATGAGAAAGCAATCATAACAAAAATCTCAATGTTTTTTGGGGTGTTCCTCCTCCTTAAGTGCAGCAATTCTTTGAGGAGTGATATGTGTTGATGATGCACCACCGCTGCCCTTTTACGCTTGACGTTTACCATTCTGGACAGTCAAACATGTGGAAATCAAAAAAAAAAAAACATAATAAATCGATTCCGCAACACGGTGACTACAACTCTCCTACAAGGCTGTCGAAAATAGTGTGTGCGTGTGTGCGGTCGTGGTAACCCACGGTGCAGCTGTGTTCACATGACATGGAGAACCCTTCCGTCTCCCTTTTCGTAGAGTTCGGATTTCTGAAAACAAAACCAAATAGGAAGGAGAGAAAAGGGTGAGCCGGGATGAGACGCAGGCCCCGCGCAAGTTGCTGGCTTCTAACCCCGCCGAGAGTGCGAAAAAAGGAAAAGGAAAAAGAAAAAACCGGTGTGTTGGGACAAAAGACCTGGCAGGAAAAAACACACAAAAAAAAAGATCACTCCGTTCGAATCTGATGAAGCTACCTGTGAAACCACCATGACAACAGCAAACGCCGATACTCCTTCCTCTGAGAGAGAGAGAGAAAAAGAGAAAAGGAGTGCACGAGGAAGAAGACGTTACGTACGGCAATATAACAAAGAAGAACACAAAAAACGTTGGAATGGAAACGATGGAGAAACGAGACAGATCACAAAGCGGAGAGCATTAAAAAAAGAAGACCGGAAGTAAAGAAAAGGACCGCTCCTGACGGAAAAAGGCGGCCAGAAACGTTGAAAGAAATAATATTAATAGACGGACACTGGGGTTGAGAAACGAAGAACTGAAAACGTCGGAGAGCAAACACAGAAAGGTGAAAATAGTGTTACGTGGAGGAAAGTAGCACGATGTTGCTGCAGATGCATTCTTTAAATGCACGTCAGCAATACCAGAAAATTTTCCCTCCTCACTTTTGTCGAGCGGCGGTTTCCGTTCTCTTCGCTGTCTTGTCGGGACGGCAAGTACGAAACTATTCTCTTTTGAGCAAGGGCGACACTCTCAGCAGCAAAGCACGACCAAGTCGACGTTGCCCCCTTTTTGTTTCTCGCCTGCGCTTGCCGCAGATGAGACGTAGCTCAGTATTCGTGGAGAACGTCTCTTCGGTCTTCCTCGCGTCTTGACTGAAGATGAACGGAGCAGAGGAACCGGAAAGAGAGGTACACCGCAGAACTGGCCTCGATGGGCGACTTGAAGAATAGAAAACGTCACAAAGAAAGGAAGAGCTTTTGCTGGTCTCCATGCGAGTCCTCCGACATGGATAACAAGCAAACAAAAAGATATACAATTGAAAGAAAAACACGTCAAAAACTTCCTCCGGAACACTGCATGGCAAAGAGGAAGATGACAATACAGTACAGACGTTAGCGGGCTTTTTTTTTTAGCTGGCTCGCTTTCGATGCATCGCGAATCGAAAAAAAAATTCATTTAAAAACACAGCACACGCGAAACGAGAGGAAAGGAGTTGGCACAAGAGGCGCCTCATTAATTATTTGTGGAATGCTCCACATGTCACAGAAGTCCATGCACACGTGGGCAGAGGTCACGCGTCAATGGAATGGGAATGAGGGAGGAAGGCACGGTAAAACAACACCACTGCCGTTTTTACCTTCATGGTTCACAGACACACACTCGCACACGCGCAAAAGCTTCCCACCGCAACTCCCTCGTTTTCTCGCCGTGTGAAGACCATAAAAGAGGAAAATAACACACGAATAAACGGTTGAGGAGAAACGGGCGTTTAAAGAAAGAGAGAAAAAAGATTATTATGCTTTTCAAACAAACACACGTGCAAAGGCGTATGTGTATTGGTAATCGGACCCCCCTACACACACACACACACACACAAGGGAAGGAAGTCCCGGTGTATCCGCAAACTGAATGCTCACACACGCAAAAACACATACACACGACCTGCAGAAAAAGCCGTAAGAATGACAAAGATAACGGGTGTCACGGATGAAAGAAGCAAAGGCACAACAAAAGGCAGGGAAAAGCATTTTTTGCACGGTGATGTATCACACCATAATCCATGCTTTCGCGGCGGGAGCTGACGTTTCCTGTTAAGAAACAGGTTAAGGCGTCCGTAGTACAAAAGAAAAGAAAAAGAAAGGTAGTAATATGGGAGCAGAAAATGCCATGTAGCAAATACATACAAGCAAAGTTTACCACAACACCCGCGCGTGTTCTCTGGGCACATTCCACTGTCAGAGGGGGTTTGCTGAAGGCGTTTTCATGCGTCGCGCTCGCCACCAACACCTCCCTTTGCCCTTTTCCCGGCTCCTCCTCTGGCGCGGCTTTTTTTTTATGTCTACGATGCAACTCTGTTTTGAGAACCAGCAATTCGAGCACGGCGTGCCCAATTGAACAAGGAGAGCCTTTTCTGTCGTCCGTACGGCACTGATGAAAGAAGGGAAGAAGAAAAGCAACGAAGAAAGATGACGTCGGGTGCAGTGAATGCGTGCAGTTGTACGTCGAACTCAAGAAAGGCGATGACAACACCAACAAAATGAGTATGATGCACACGACGCCTTCACGAACAACAGCAAAGAAAAAAAAAACAAAGCAAAAACACTGAAAAGAGGGATGCTCCGGTAAGAACTAAGGACCCGCAACAGCAAAACACGCAATTAACAACACGGTACGTAGGCCTATCCACACGTAAGTACATCTATAGAGCCCCCAAAGCAGAAGGCAGCATACGCAGGTACATCTGTGAAGAAAAACGCCGAAGTGGAGAGGAGGGAAGGGGGCGGGCGGATGACAAAAGGAGACACTCTAGAGAGCGGGGTACGTGAAATTCTTAAGAAACACAGGGGAGACAAATCGGGGGGGGGGACCTTACTTCCGCGAAAGACTCGATAGGAAACCGCAAGCTCAAGACATCCCGCTATTAGCGCCTTTAATGCTCTACAAGGAGATAGGCAGGGAGGAAGAAGAAGACAACTTTCAACGGTAGCGCTCCATGGGAGTGCTGCATATCGTGAATCGCGCCCGCGCATCGTTTGCAGAGCCACCAACGGGACACAACTGTGCCGCCCGTTTAGCACACGAAGCTGAGAAGCGGGACGGGTGCAATCGGATGTGAATAAGCCAGCAGGAGATGAAACTTCACAATCGCGGGTAAAAACACGTTTAGAAAAACGACAACTACCCTGGAGTACAAATTGAATTGAATTCGCTCAGCTTCTTGAGCCCAGCTGCGGTTCCTCCTGCGCCCTTTTTGCCTTCCTTGTGCGCGCAGCTTTAACTTGAGGGAAAGCAGCGTTTGTCTTTGCTGGCTGCTCTTGTCACGACTCCAGTTTCTGCAGAGCGCCAACTCCTCACCGCCTCCTTTCCTCTTTCTCTTTTAGCTGCTCCCCCCACCCCTTGTCCTCCATCCCACTTCGCGTCTTTTAGCATCGTGCCAACATCAAGCACGCAACAGTTCCGTACGATTTCCCCTTTCGGTCCCACCGGTAAAGCACTTCTGTTCGTATCACCCACCCACATATATATATATTCGTTTTATTTGATTTACTCTGTTTTGCATTATTATTATTGCTTACCATGTTAAATGCCTCTATGACTATTAGATCTGTGAGATGCTCCCACTACCTTTCAGCTTGCCCGGCCGAACCGTCGGCGGCGCTCCACGCACAGAGCAATGTGCAGCTGCTCCTCCTCCTGCGGGAACGCCGTTTCGCAATACGGACATTGAACAAAACCGAAGTGCTCGTGCAGCTGTGCCACGGTGAACTTCGCATGGTAGGTCACCATTGGATAGCTGGTCGGCAGCGTGACCAACGCACTCTGTTTGCTCTCATTCGTGGGGTTGGCTGACTCGTGCTTGATGCCGTGCCCGGACGTCAGTAAGTGGGCGATGAAGTCACCGTAGTGCAGAAACACCTCGTAACAGCCTTTGTGCTGCGCTGGGCACTGGTAAACCATCAGCGTGCGTGGCGCATTCGTGAACTTCTCGGGTTGCGGATCGAGCGAGCCGCCGTAACACGCCGCGTTGACATCCACGAGCACCTCAAGCGTTTCTGGCGATGCAGGAAAGCCGATGATGTCGCCGTGGCGGTGCAGGTGGTCGATGTGCGCGGCGAGAGAGGTGCACCGAACGGCAGCAGGCGTAGAGGCGCTGGCAAACATGTGCCCCTCTGGTGGTAGTTGAGGGTTGTATAGCCGCTGGTGCTGCTGCTGTGCGCGCGAAGCGCTACTTCTCTCACTGGCCGAGTAATTCAGCAGCTCCGGCAGAAACGTGCCGCACTCGGTGCAGTATGTGCGGCAGTGCCCTGTGGCGTGGATGTGTTGGACAATGCGGTCCCACGAGGAAAACAAAAACAGACACTCTCGACACTGATACAGCACACTGTAGGACGGCTTCCGCGCTGCGGAGGCGGAGGTGGATGCGCTGGCGCTCGCGCTCCGACTGTCCAGTGGCAGATTAGCTAGCGCGTGCGCCTCGCTGATGAGGGGGACCTCGTCGTCCGACATGGGCGGGAGCAGCGGACGGAACTGCAGAAAAGCAGTTCCAGAGAAGTTGCGCGCCTCCACCAGGTGTGCCATCGCCGCCATGTCGTCAAGGCCGTACACCGGCGTGTGCGCCCCCTTTTCCTCTAGCGGGCGGCCGTGCCTCGCCATCTCCACCGCGGCCGCCGCGATGGGGTTCGCCGGCATGGAGAGGGGTACCACGGCGGGGTTCGACTTGGCGCCGTCCTTACCGTCCTTGCTGCACCAGCACGGTTCCCGCAAGTGCGCAATGAGCTCCGCAAAGGTGCCGCTCTTATTACAGCAGCGGCACACGGCGCAGTCGCTGATGCACGTGACGTGGTGCACGCGGAGCAAGTGCTCGGCGAGGTACAAGGGATGGAGAAACGACACCCCGCACACGCACTTGTACTGCAGCGTGGACAGTCCTGTGAAGAGGTTCGCGCCGTTGTACACGGTCTGCGCCGCTTGAATGTCGCACTGGTAGTCGCGACGTGTGTAGAAGACGCCGTAGAAGCCGCGGTGGTCGTCTTTGAGCTCGTGCTGCGATGGTCGCAGAGGGCCGAAGCACTTCAGGCGCTGGTTGCACTGCACGCACACAGGAAGGGTGTGTCCGCTCTGCTCGATGTGCTTCGTCACCTGCGTCCAGGTAGGGCAGTAGTTGAGGCAGTCCATACAGCGAAACGGCACTGTGATCACCGCAGGCGTAGAGACATCGTTGGCGGAGGCGAGGGTCAAGCTCGCACTCGCATTGCGGCTCTGCACATCCGAGGCGACGTCGATGTGCAGTCCGTAGTCCCGCGGGTCTCCTTGCAGGATGAAGTCTGCCTTTTCGAAGGAGTGGAAGTTTGGCACGTCCGTCAGGTGCGGGTGCCCGCTGACGGCGATGGAGGTTAACGGCTCTGCCGTGCTGAAGGCAGAAATGTCCGGCAGCGCCATCGGTGAAGGCTCCTCCGTCGATAACGGCGACATTGACTCGACGGTACTGAAAAGTTCAGCGGCAGAGCGCTCGCGACGACGGTCGATCAGCTTCTGCAAACCTGCTTGAAACGCGCGGGGCACGATGTACGTATCGCACTTTGGGCACTTTCGTGCGCCGTGTCGCGTGGTGAAGATGTGCCGGCACATCTCATTGACGCTGCCGCACTTAAAATCGCAGTCGACGCACCCGAGTGGGGTGTTTTGTTTTCTGCTCTCCATCGTGGAAAACAAAAGGAGAAGAGAGAAATAGCTAAGACACACAAAACAAACAATCTATCTATAATGGTATATAAATGTATCGGTAATGGCGATGAAATACACACGAAACTGCGTGGCGCAAGGTACCGGCTACTCGTAAAGGCTCAACACCTGCGTGATGTGCTACGTATCGTTACGGATAATGTATATATATATATATATAATTTTTTTTTTAGATCTGTACGGATTAGAGAAAAAAAAAAACACAGCGAAAGAAAAAGCCAGCAACTCAATGACAATGATAAAAGAAAAAACAAAAGAGGAAAATAGAATCATAAGAAATTACCAGAGCAGCGAGCACAGTGAATCTGCAGGTGTCCTTTTTAAAGCTCGTTGATTTCTTCCTTCTTTTCTTTCTTACACGGGAAAAATACGGGGGGGAATATGACACAACAAATCAACCAAAATAAGAAGAAGAAACACACACGCGATATCACAATTGTAAGCAAAGCAGAAAAATATGTATATATATATATATATATATGTTCGCGTTGCCTTCTTTTCTTTTTTTAATTTTTTGAGCTAATATATTTATGGGAGTCTGAAAGTGTGGTTCGACGTGCGTGACACGAAGCCCCGGCAACAACAACAGCGACAAAAAGAAGAAAAACAACAGAGAACTGAACAAGGCTTGAGATATTTGTTGATGCCTCGCAGGCAAACACACTGGGAGAGCCGTGGCAATTGTTTTCCTTTCACGTTTTTGTATAGGAGGAAGAAGAGAAAAATGAATGCCAAAAAAGAGAAAGGGGCACAGCAAGAAGAGAGTCGAAAGGCGCCCGCAACTCCGGGAACACGTTACACTGCACGGATGGGAGCGATAGCAAGTCGTTGAGAAGAGCACCTACTCTGCATACAGTGTTCTCGATGTCACAGTGGAAGTGCGTAGCTACCTCATCAGAGGGAGAAAAAAAAAAGCTTCGTTACTGCATGATAAAGGGAGAGCACTTTATTAGTTCCGTTTTGCATGGCATCACGATGAGAGAGCGAATGTAACAGCTTAGCGTCCTGATCTCTTTGTAGGTTCACGATGTTCCCATTACAGTAAAGTAATAATAATAATAAAGAGGGACGGTGAGGACGGAACGGAAAGGCTTTCTTCCATGTGTACGAAGAGGACGGGGAAATAGTGCGGAGGCGGAGGCGCGATTAGGCGCTTGCCAGTACACCGTCCATTAGCAACGCCCCATCATCCACGTCCACGTCGTAGTCCTCTCCTGTGAGGATGTTATTCATAAAATACAATACAACTGCCTCGCCGACTGTGTTGTGAAACGACAACCCGTCAAAGTACGGTGTCGTCTTCATGAAGGCGTAGCGGTCGTAGATGTACTCCGTCAAGTCATCGAGGTTCACGTCCAACACGCTCGCTACGTCGCCGCGCTCGCTGCAGTAGCTGTACACCGTCCGCATGATCTCCTCCACCTTGACGCCCGCCTGTTTCTTCGCCGTGACCAACACACTGAACGTGAAGTCGTCGACAACGAGCCGACTTGCACGCGCAACATCGCAGACGTCGCCGTCGCCGTCTCGACCGTTGCTGTCTAGCCGATCGCGGTAGTCCGCGTTGAAGGAGAAGGCGATGGCCTCGACCTGACGCGGCGCATTGACCTCCTCTTCGCCCCAATCTACGCTGCTGACAAGGACAGACTCCTCCACCGCAAGATTGAGGGTCTCGCCGTGCCGGCGCGGCTCTCGCTTTGGCACCCGCTCCCGCCCGGCGGTTCGGCGGGGCTTGCGGGCGGCGTTCTTCTCAACGGTGATCTGCAACGACATGTTCCACAACATATTGGGCGGGGTGGCGATGGGCCGGGTGAACAGCTCTGGCACAAAGTAGACGCGAATGATCGGAAAGAGCGTTTGGTCTACGAAGAGCGCGCGCTGAAGCTGCGACCGCGGCTCGCTAGGGTTGAAGAGCCGGGTTGTGCGGCTCGCCATGCTGCTCGCGGTGGAGAGCGGCTGTGCCAGCGAATCCTCCGCAGGCAGGTATACGCTTTCTGAGACGTCTCTGCGATGGCTGGAGGAGCGGGGTGTGACGGGCGGCTGCGAGAAGGTGGAAGAAGGCAGCATCTCGTTCCACTGCGGACCCGGCAGGGCTGGCCACGTCGCGTGTGCAGTAGAGCGAAGCTGGAGCAGCAGCGTAAAGGCTTCGTTAATCATCCACGTCTGATTCACGAGAACGTGTTCAGGTAAAGTAAGATTTCGCGAGGACAGCTGTCGGGATCGTTCGAAGCATTGGGCCAGGTCCACTGTCACCTTGAGAAGGTCGCGGCCCTCGACCGCGAAGCTGACCACGTCCGCGCCGACGCCGCGCTCGGGTTGACGGCGCACGATCAAGCCTCTTGATGAGGTCGGCAAGTGCGCCACGACTTCGTTTTCGCGCTGTAAAATGAGACGAAACACAATCGGCACGTCTTCGACGGTGCTGTCGGCGCACTGTGCCACCACAGCGGAAGGTCGGCGGAGGTTCATGAAAAGGCTAATAGTCTGCCCCGCGTAAAAGCAGTCCACGTTGTCTGCATTGTGGAGTTGAACGTTGGCCATGCTTTACGTATGCTTGTGCGTGGATGTGAAATTCTAACAATCTAGTTTAGCGGGGAATGATGAAGATCAAAAAGGGAATCTGCGTGAGTTTCCTGATATTCTAGTAATTGCTGGCTCTTCACTGCTCTAGTGTTGTTGCGGTTGGTGTTTGGGCGTTGATGTACGGGGGAGAATGAAGTCACACCGTAAGTGAACAGTTCGTCGAGGAGACAAAACGAATGACGCGCTCAGTACCTTATCCGCGAGCGAAGCAGCCCCGCATAAGGTGTTCGCTCACGAAACGGTTGCGTCACGTAAAATGCCTGACCCGGTATCTCCAAACAAACAGCCTTCCAAAGAAAGCAAAAGACCCACATGGAAGGAGAGACGCAGGTGAGAGGGAGGGGAAAGATGAACGAGGTGAAAGGAAGCAGTTTTCTTAACCTCTTGAAAAGCACTGCCAAATCGTTGATGCCGAGAGAGGGAGAGAAAGCGGGTGAGAATACGTGCAAATGCGCGATTCGAAAGGCAACGCAGTGGTGGGATGACGGGGCAGCGTTGACATCTATTTTAGTGTATGTGTGTGTGCTTTTTATTTTTCCAACTAATGTTTTCTGTGCTGTTTGGCTGTAGCTGTCGATGGGCATTCGCTGATGGGAAGATAGCTAATAAACCCATGGCAACGAACAGCATACAACACGCACTCGCACACCATCACCTTCCTGCCAAAGGCCGGCATCATTCAGAGTAGGAAACGAAAAGAGAAAGGGGAAAGGCTGGTGCTACGGCGACGACACACGCTTCAAGTAGGTCGCCACCTCCCCCTTCACCCTCGCACGCAGTGCTTCCTTCATTGCCTCGCCCGCTCCCAGCTCTCTCATCACCTCGGCAAGCACGTCCTTGAAGGACAGCTCCCCAAGAGAGGCTTCTTCTTTCGCCGAGAGCACTTTCTCGACCGCCGTCGCGATCTCATCGTCCGCGACGGGTGGGGTCGGTCGGTAGCCGTTCAGGCTCACCCGACACACAACCCGGCCTTCGCGATCCACCACACGCTGAAACCCGCCCGTTGACGCGACGGTCAAGGACTTGCCAGAGGAGGAGCGGCCGTAGTTTTTCGTCGGGTCAAAGGTGAACTCCAAATTGTACGCCTCCGCCGCCGAGGTTGGCGTGCACGCCACCACCACGTTGCGGACCTTATCTTCCTTGCCATCCTCCTTGAGGAAGTCACCGTGTGCGCCGGTACTGCCTTGACTTTGCAAGGACGCAGGTGACATAGAGACGCTCTCCGTGCGGGCACGCGCCGCCTTCACCGCGGCAACGTAGAGCATCACGGTTAGGTCCTTTAGGCGAAACGCCGGCATCGATGCGACGTGGCCGTCCGCCATGTCCTCCGTGCGGTAGGTGTATTGAAGAGTCATCTTGTTGGCCGCCACGTAGGTGACCTTGAACCCGCCGTCGAGGTCGGCGCAGTGCCCCACGTGCAGCTCGTCTGCTGGCGATGCCCCTTCCGCCAGCTGCGCGACGGTAAACGTCTCTGATGTGGGGTAGTAGCAGTTGAGGCCGCAGGACAAACCGGAGTCGGCGATGGACCTGTTGCCGCTCGTGGTGGCCAGCAGCATCGACTTCCCAGAAGCCGCCGCGCGTGCCGTGACTTTGCTGAAGTCGATTTTCACACAGAGCGTCTTCTCGTCCTTCTCGATGCGCCACTGGCAGCCATCACCAACAGCGGTAAAGTCATCGGTGAGCAACGCCCCAATCCCTGCATTGGTCAAATCACGCTTCTCGAGGCTTTTGGTGAAGACGTTGAAGCCAAGGAAGGCGCCGGACTTGCCGAGGGGCTTATTGCCGCTGCTGCTGCTGATGAGCACCGACCTGCCGCTGGTGCTCGCTCCGAGACTTCTGCTGAGGTCGCAGTAGAGGTAAAGAACGGCGTTGTCCACCATCATCTGCAAGTTCTGCGTCCCCGGAAAGTCGAAGCGCTGCCGCATCGTTCTCCTTCTTCGTGTCAGGTGGTAGGTGCGGGTGCGCTGCGAAGTCCCTTGACACTGAAAATAAGAGTTAAGGGAAGGGAGGGGAAAGGGGGTGGAGAAGGGTCAAAGGAATGAACGTTTGATCGTGAGGTCCGCTGTGAAATACCACGGACCGTCTCAGGAAGCATTTATTATGATTACTTCTTTTCGAGTGTGTGTGTGTTGGTAGGTACGATGCCCACTGAAACAAAGGTGGAGCATCACGAGCTGAAAGCGGCATACACACACCGCAAACGTGCAGAAGGCGATGCACGCAGCGGCTCGCAGGTGCTGATCTGCGCTCCCAGTGAAGCGGATTGTCGACTTTTGCAACGCTCGTTTTTTCGTACGTATTTCCCGATATGTGTACATCGCTACAGCCGAAGTGAAAAGAGAGTAAGGGACGCACTTCAATTCTGCTTACATGAGGCGAGGGCACGACTGAAAACCCCGCAAAATTCCACCGACACCGGTGAGTTCGCCTGCACGACCGCGTCCACCACACGCGCGGCACTGGCCCGTGGATGCGTCTCTGCTGCCGTTTGTTGTGCCGTGCAGTTGACGAGCAACGCGCTGGCGAGCGCGAGACTCGACACGACGCGGCGCACCGCCGTCGACGGCGCCGCGGTCGATGCGCGTGGGAGCACCGTGAAGGAAACACACAAATCCGCCGGCCGCCTTTCCAGCGCGTCCCACAAAGACGACGGCGATGCCACGGCTGCGCTCGGCGGCTGCGTGCGCACGGTAGAGACGGCGTGCCAGGCGATGTTCAGCGCCGCACGCACTTCCTCCGTGGCTTCCGCTTCAATGCGCTGTTTTGCTGCCGCAGCGAACAACAGCGGACGGGCGGCCAGCACCTGGTAGTAGTGTTGAATGGCGGGAGAATCGAGGGTGATTAAAGTAGGGGCACCGCCGCAAACCGGCTGCACCGCGAGCACCACGCGCGGCCACTCCTCTCCCGCGTTACGCGGAGAGCCAGAGCGACACGATTTGCTTTGCTTCAGCTCGACAAGAACGCGGAGCAGCGACATCACAAACTGTTCTACCGTAAGACCCTTGACTGGCGAGGGGTTCTCCACGGTGGTCTGCGTAGTCTCGGGATCCCACCGCGGTACCGGATAGGGTCGCAGGGGAACGCGATGCTTTTCGGGCAGCCACAGCTCCAAATACTCTGCGAGGCCCTCCTCGCCGACGGGCGTACTGGGGGCTGGTGGGTAGAGTGCGTGCGCGGCAGGCAACTGCCCCGCTGCGGAGTCACTCGGCTTCTCTTCCTCCGCCGGTGTAGGTTCGACAGTAGGCGCAGCAGGACGTGCAGCTGGCAGTGCCATCGCACGGGCAATCCACTCCAGTCCAGCTTGAGAGGGCACCACCACCGCCAACAAGCGCATTTGCCACTGCGTTGTTTGACGAAGAGACACCTCGAAGGAGCACACGCTGTGCAGCCACCGCGCCGTGGGTTCCTCTTCCGTCGTCGTGTTGTCATCGTCGATGCCTTTCAATACGAGTGTGCAGAGACCCGCTTGAAGCGTGTCCAGCGAGTACGCATTCACCGTACTCGCGTCCTGCAGGCGCCGCCGCACGTCGAACGCGTCTTCGTCGTTCAACAAGGAAAGGTTCGCCAGCATCGCCTCCATTGCACTGCGATCGTGGTGCACCGCAGGTGAGGCGCCGGGCAGGGGGTCTGTCTTCCGTAGGTCCACGTGGTGGCGACAGATCGCCTCGAGCCCGCTTGCGATGGCCCCTACGCTGCGCAGCCGGCCATTGTGATCGTCCACGACGCTCAGCTTGTAGTAGTGCCGCCCCACACACACGCAGAGGTGCGAGACGCCAAGGCACGAAATGACGGACATCATGTCGTACCGGCGTGGGCCAGCAGGGGCCGTCGTTTTCTCGGGGGTTGGGTTCGCCGGTGCGGCTGAACCAAATGTGGCATCTTTCTGCTCCGCCGCCGGCCCGCTGAAGTTGTTGTCGTAGACGCTGGTGTAGAGCACGCTGGCAAAGACGCGCGACGGCACGCCCTTCTCGGCCACCGTCGCGTCTCTCCCGCCTTCCTGCTCGCAGCACCGCTCCAGGTACGCCGTGAGCAGACGGTGAAGGACGGCGGCCACCTGGACATAGGCCGATGAGGAGGAAACATCAGCAGTAGTAGCGTGCGGTGCCATCAGCGAAGTGGCATCGAACAGCAGCGTGTGATGAGGGTAGAGGAGCGGGGTGCTGCGGCGGTCTGCCACGTAGGCGAGCCACTCTTCGTACAACGCATCTGCTGCGCGAGGGGGAGTGAAGTCGTCCTCCTCGATCGTTTCCGTGCTGATCACAAGACTTTGGGCGGGCGCGCCGGTGGACGAGATGAGGGCGGTTAAGAAGCGGGAGTACACGGTGCGCTCCAGCTCCCACCGCGGCGAGCTGGGGAGCAATTTCTCTCTCTCGTACACGTGTGGCATCGCCTCGGCGATCGACCACGCATTTTCGAGTTGGGTGGCGCCAAATGGACGGCCGCAGAGGGCGTTGGTGGCGGCGGTGTAGGCGGGCTGTGCGTCCGATAACGCCGGAGCGGCCACCACCGCGGCAGTGCCAGTGTTTGCGCTAGCGGAATTGCTGTCGGCGTGCCACATGGTCGCGCGGGCCGCGGACGTAAACGCACTCTGCACGCTTGCCACGGCCGCCGCTGTCTCAGAGCCGCCCCGCTCCTTTACCACAATCTTTTTCTTTGCTGTCGAGGACATCGCCTTCTACTCCTTTTCAAATGCTTTCTCCGTTTCCCTTTGCGAATCTGTAGCGAGGAGGCCTGCTGCAACAGGCGGAGCAACGCATTCTATCTGCAGATACAGTACCGCGCCTCATCGTAACAAATATGGCCAGAAGGCGGAAGAGTTCGGGACGCATATTTAAAGAAAAAATGAGCGAAAGAGGAAGCGAAATTGTGAAGGAAATACACGCAGTATAGTCGCAGAGACGCTTACCATTCCCACCTCAAAAGAAAAAAAAAAACCAACACAACTAAAGTCGCTCTCTCCTCCTCCCTTTCTTTCACCACGGCAGCCGACCTCTTCGGTGTGACTTCGCAGCTAAGGTGTTGCTCTGAGATGCTTAATTCCTTTTTTTTTTAATGCGACGATGATCCGCACATGTGTATTTTCTATGTCTTCGCACACAAACATAGACATCAGCAGACGCAAAAATTACCCTCCTACAAAGTTTACCCTCATCAGTGCCATGAAAGCTCGCTGCGGTGTCGTTGTGAAGCGCTGAAGCGCGATCAGCGAAGAAAGAATGAACGCGCACGCTGCACGCACAACAAACGAGCGAGCGCCTGTGTGTGTGCGCGCGCCTCGCGGCATCTTTGCTCGCTTTCTCGCTCTCAGGACATCTTTTGCAACATATCTGCTGTTCCATCTTTCGGCCTCCTCGTTACGCTTCCTCCACAATGCTCGTGGGTACCTGTGGACACGCCAGACGGGCGGCCTCCCGCTCCCACGGCGGCAGCACAATCATTTCTAAGCACAGCCGCCCCTGCTTCACCACCGTCTTGAGCTCCACGACGAACTCCGTAAAAAGCCGGAAGACCTCCGTCGTTTCGCTGATGTCGCCGTCTTGCTGGATGTCAGAAGCGGCGGCGGCGTGTGGGGGCTTTCCCCAAGAGAAGCAAGCTGCAAAGGTCGTAGTGACGTTGCTCGACGGGCGCATCTTCTCGCCCCTGCCTCCCTTATCAGAAGACGAGGTCATCGTGCTCTTGCCGCCCTTCTTGCGTGCGTGGGTCTTTGCCTTCAGGTTGATCGTCTTGCCTTCCTCTGTCTCCGGCTTGCCAGCTCCGCTGCCGGACTTTCCCTCTTGCGGCACCATTCCCTGAAAGATGAAGGTCTGGTGCGTGTCCTTGAAGCCAATCTCCACCTCGGTGGCAATCTCGCTGCTGAAGAGAAAGAAGCTACCGTCTGTGATCTTCACAATGGATGCAGACGTACAGATTTGCTGCGGCATCTGTGGGTCCTCCCTCACACGCTTCTTCAGCGCGGTCAGATACAGGCAGAAGAAGAACTCAACGGACATGTCGCCTGCAGCCCTGGAGTTGAGCCGGCATTGGTTCGCGTGCGTCACCATGAGCTCCACCTGCGACTGAGGATAGTACAGCCCTTTCGTCGCGAGCGTGTCCACAGCGATGGTGCGGGTGGCGTCAAAGATTTCTTCACCGGGCTTTACCTGGCCGGACGGGTCTGGTATGCGCGGCACCTCGAGCTGCGCCGCCTTCATGCGCTGCTCCAGCTCCAGCGCCACCAGCAGCTGGCGGTGCACCATCAAGTCACAGTAGCGGCGGATGGGGGAGGTGAAGTGGGTGTACCACGGCGCCGCCACAGCAAAGTGCGAACGCACATCCTTCTCAGCTGGGTCGTTGGCCAAATACTCCGCTGCCATCAACGAGTACTTCAGCAACTCGCACACGGTGTAGTAGACGTCGGCGTGGTCCCTCTTGATGGTGTCCATCAGTCGCTGCAGCTCCTGACCGGTGCTCCCACCCGTGGGCAGGCCGTGTTGGGCGAGTGCGGCGCGGAACAAGTTCATTTTGTGCGAGCTCGGCGCCTTGTGCCGACGCAGCAGTGCGCCGTTCGGTATAAACTGCACCACCTTCTGCGCCACGCGCTGATTCGCAAACAGCATGAACTCCTCCACCAGCCAGTTCGCCTCGATCTGCTTCTGCACGTAGAAGCCGATCGGCGGAGCGTTTATCCTGTCCTTGTCAAAGCGGAAGCCCAGGCGGGTGTTGCCCAGGACAAGCCGACCGTCGTCAAACGACTTCCGGCGCAGCTTCGTCGCCAATTCGAACAGCAGCTTCACACTCTTCTTGACTTTGCTCCGCACCTGCTGCTCCGACAGGCCAAAGTAGGCGGCTGCCCCGCTCACGTCGAGCTCGACGGCGTCGTCGTCGTTCAGAATCTGCTGGGCCTGCTCGTAGGCAAGGCGGCAGGAGCTGCGGATCACACTCTGGCCGAACCACTCAGGAGACTCCCCGGTCACCGCCTCGGAGATGAGGTCGCCGGCGCGGTCAAACTCGAAGAGCGCCGAGAAGGCAAACTTGTCCTCGCTTGGGTTCAAGCTGCAGTACTGCTCACTCAGCCGCGACGGCAGCATCGCGATGACGCGGTCAACCAGATAGGTCGAGTTACTGCGCATCTGCGCCTCCTCATCGAGGGCGGTGCCGGGCGACACGAAGAACGACACATCCGCGATGTGAACACCGACGTGGTAGCCCCCATCTGGGCGTCGTCGGATGCTCAGTGCGTCGTCGAGGTCGCGCGCGGTGGCGGGGTCGATGGTGCAGACGAACTCCGTCCTGCGCAAGTCGCGTCGGCCCATTCGCGCTAGTTCCTCCGGCGACGGCATCACGAAGTCCTTCAGAACGCAGTCCTCCGCTTCAGCGGAAAAAGGCTCGTTGCGGACTTCACAGCTGGCGCAGATCGCGTTGCCGGCCACTTCGGTCGATGTGGAGTCCCCGAGGAAAGAGAAGACGCTACTCAGGAGAATGTCCCTCGTCATCGGCGCCTTCACCACATCGCCATGTTCGTCTTCCATCAGCGCGAGAGAAAACAAGGAGTTGTTGATGTCGGCCTGGTACTGAGGCAAGATGGCTTGTCCGTAGACGGCCAGCTGAGGGAGCAGCGGGTTGATGGGGCGGAAGCGGTAGTAGTAGTCGCCGCGCAGCATCTGCCCGGGCTGCACTTGGTTTTCCGCGATGCGGGCGACGTGGTGGCGAGAGAGGCAGCGCGACAGGATGTGCAGCACACGGCCCGCCGCACGCAAGCCGGTCGGCCACTCGTACACGCGTGGCGCGTCCATCTGCAACGATAGCGCAACTTCCGCGGAAGCATTCTTCGCGAGTTCCTTCGATGTCTCAGGGGCGATGAGTTGAATGATGTGTCGCCCATCCGGCAGTGTCGTCGGCATCGCTCGGGGGCCCACATCGCCGCCCGTCACCGTTGCCGTCGCCTCCTCCCCGTCGTCTTTAAGAATGGTCTTCTGCGGCTCCGACGGCCACTCCTCCCACGGCAGCAACTCCACGGCGACGACGTCGTTGTGCAGAGCCGGCCCTCGCTGCTCTGCCGTGTTGAGAACGACGTCGCACGGAAAGCGCGTGTTGCGCACAAAGCAGAGTTTGTTGTTGTAGCCACGATACACGTACAGGCGACCGATGACGACGCTGCCTTCCGCGACGCGGGCCTCCAAATCGGGCAGGCTGCCCAGCTCGTAGTTGATCTTGATGAAGCTCATTGAAGGAGCTCCTTCGCCGGTAAGAGAGAAAAAAAAAATGCAAAGGGCAACGCAGCCCCCGAATCTTGAAACGTATGTGTGAAAGAAGAGGAAAGAAGGAAACGCCTGATGTAGACGAGCTGGATCAAGAACAGCCGCAGCTGTGCTTAAAATAGATGGGGGAAAATGTACGGCCCGATCGTCGCGCAGCACGGAGCCAAGAGGGAGAAAAGCCCTCCGTGAAAAGGGCAGAAAACAAGGAGGAGAAGTGAAGCGAAAGAGACAGACTGCTTGTGTGTACTTGTATGCTCGAGCACGCAGATGCGCGTGCTTCTAACACTAAGAAGCGGCCGTCTACTCAAAGGTGACTTGTAGTGTCCATTCAGTGAGAACGTACACCGTTGAATGATAATGAAGGGGTGGGGTGGGGCGGGTAGCGCAGAGGAGGTACGGAGGCGAGGTAAAAGAGAAAATGAAGAGGTCGAGAACAGGGGGGAAGGAGGCGGTTTCCGGAAAGGAGAGTTATTGTTTACTGCAAGAATACCTCACGCTAGTCCCTTGGTAAAAGTCATCATGGGTACAAAAGTTTCTCTTGGAATTTGACGTTGGTGTTGCGCGATATCATGCGTCCGTGGGCAGATCGTTTGGGGTGGAGGGGTGCGTCAGCCCCAGTGTGAGAAGAAGCTACAGCAAAAAAAAAGAAAAAGATATCAGACAGAAGCAGTAACGCCGCATTTGTGAGGGCGCCGCCTTCCCGCTGGGCCGTGACGTTTCCTTCTTGATTTCGCCAACTTCAGCCTTCGCCGTCTTCATCCGAGGAGCTTTTGGAAGACGTGTTTTCGTGAAGGAACGCAGAGAGCGAAAACCCACCGAGCGGGGCATCTGCTGCGGCACCAGCAGAATAAGGGTTCCCCGCCACGGTGCCGCTGTCGCTGCCTTCGCCCGCCCCCGCCAATTGTGCCGCCACCGACGGCGCCGAGTCGCGAAAGAGCAAAACACTCGACGGGCCCTTTTCCGGTGTCGTCGGCTTACCCAACGCGTCAAAAAATGTCGCCCCGTTGGTGTCGTCACGCAGCCACGCCTCGCCGCGCAGGCCGCGCTCCAGCACCTCCAGCACATGCGCGCGCAGGTGTGGTGCCATGCCGGAGCGCACGCCGCCCACCAAATCGGCCTCCACATTGCAGATCTGCAACGAGCTCCGCAGCATTCGTATGCCATCCGGCACCCGCTCCTTCTCCGTCACGCTCATGAGCGTCTCCAGCGTGGCGGTCGCAGCGTCTGACGCGGCGGGCACGATGTGGTGCACCGAGTAGCCGGCAGCAGTCGTCCACATGGCGCGCTCCGCGGCGAGTTGCTCTCCTGTCGGCACAAAAGGTGGCACCCCGCCTTTGGAGGCGTTGTGGCGCCCGCCCAGCTCCACCTGCAGCACGTAGTCCACGACCTGGTGCACCATTCGAGCGGCGGCCTGCTCGGAGAGGAGGTCGGCCTGCACCCGCTGCTGCTGGGCGTGGGCGGAGGAGCTGCCACGCTCCAGTGCGAGGGCGTCCTGCGCGGCCTGAAGGTTGAGCCCTTCCACCGCGCCACCACGACGAACTCTCTTTGCGGCTACGTCGGCGGTGGTGGCCGAGGCGGACTCTTTGCTCTCCGCGCCACGCTTGTGCCCGGCGAGGGGAACCTTCACGGCAGCCTTGTCCTCCTCTGCTGCCGTCTTCGTGTTGCGCAGCAAGTCGTTGAAGTCCATGATGTCAGTTACAGAGTTTTTGTTCCCCGTTGTGCTCACTAGGGTGAATGAATGCGCCACCTTGCGATCTCTTCGCAACGGTGCGCGTCCCTGCCGTCGTATACGTCGATGTACCTAGTGACAACAGAAGAAAACGAGAGAGTGTGTGCGTGCGTGGAAGGATTAAATGCGGATGGAGGTACACTTTACTAGTACTCCGGCACATCAGTCTCTCTTTCCAAGACAGCTCAATAGCGCCACAGAAGATGCCAGTGTTCCTCGTTCCGTCTCGCATGCCGGTAAACAGAACTGTGCGTTGCGGCAAAGAACCGGCCCCCCTCCCATTCCTCGTTCTCTCTGCAAATGAGAAAGCGGGTGTTACCAACGACTGTTGCCGCAACAGAATTTTTCATTCGCACCTGAAAGACCCAGCACGATATGCAATTAAAGAGCTGATGTGTTTCCTGTTTTGGTCTCTGTCTCGTTGTTGCTGTTGTTTCTTTTTAAAACAAAGATCTTACACGTTTGTTTGCTCTTACCATCGTTGAAATCGCACGATTACTTATCGCGTTACGCATCACCATCATCGGTCGAGTAAAAAGCACCGCCACATCACGGAGCAACACGGAGAGATAGTTTACTTCTCGCACACACACACACACCCACACAAAGTTTATTCGCCCAGAATTGTTCCTTCAAGTCGAACTCGCCTTCTTTGTGTCAACTATTTTTTAAAAAAGCAGCACCTCAGTCGTGACGCCATCCACGCGACACAACACCAGCTTTTCCGAGTCATCGTGTTGCGTGGAAACTCACCTATTAAAGATTAAAACACGTTACATAAATTCCACGAATAGAACTATTACACGTTAATTAGCAATATATATATATAAAGGACGAAGGAGGAGAGGACAGACGCTGTCAGCGCCGCATTCAGCCTGCAGGACACCCGCAGAGCCAGTTCCGGTGTGAAAAAGCTTTACGAGAGACGCTGGAGATAGGTTGACAGCACCGCGCTCATCGGTGGCGCCGTGTAGGCTGGCTCACCGAGCACCTCTTCTAACCACTTATCCGCTTGGATCATCTGCTGTGCCGTCGCTAGTGACCCCTGTTGCCCAGCCGCCACGCCGTTCTCGTAGGAGTCTTGGATGGACGTCATGTCCTTAAAGAAGGACTGCAACTGTTGCTGCCGCTGGCGCCGCGCCGCGCCGTCCGCACTGTCACCCTCCTCCTCCCCTCCTGTCCACTCGAACGTGGAGGACTGCGAGGCGCCGGATGGAAGATGCAGCACCTTAAAGCCCGTCACCGCGTCCACTGCAGCGAGGCGTTGGCTGTTGAGGTGCAGGGCGGCCATGTGGCGCAGCGGGAAGCGCGACGCACGCGGCACACGGCGGACCACCTCTCCCAGCTGCGGCACTTTCTGTGCGTCGTCGTCGCCCTCCGCCGCAGCAGAGGAGGCAGCGCAGCAGCGCAGCTCCACCAGCGAGGTGTCGGACAAGGCGGCGACAACGGTGGTGTCCGAGAAAGCGCAGAGGGCGGTGATGCGCCCCCTCGCCACGCTGAACACTGTCGGCTCCTCGGCCGCTCCGTCCAGGGCCCAGAAGAAGAGCTGACGAGCTCCGGCGGCGACGACGTGACGACAGTCCGGGGCCACCACCACCTGCAGCAGCGGCGCCGTCTCCGTGTACTGCGGCAACATGCGCAGCAACGGCCACGGCTCACCGGGCCGACATGCTTTGACAGAGTAGACGTGCAGGCAGTCGTCGGCGACGAAGCAGAGCGAGCCGTCGGCCGACAGGGCCATCGTCCGCGCATTCTGGGACGGGGTGGCGATGGTGGAGTGGGTGTGCCAGCCACCGGCGGTCGTGCCGTAGGTGTCGCGGGCGGTGTACGCCGTCTGCGCCCAGCACTTCACGGCATCCCTGCTCAGCGTGAAGACGCGCCGACCGCGCTTGTCGGCCTCCAGCGCCAGCACGGCAGACCGGTGGGGGGAGTACACGGTCTGCGTCTCCACGTGCTGCTTGCGTCGCGCGTCGTACTCCCAGAAGCGCAGCAGAGGCGGCAGCACCGTCGAGGAGAACGACTCGTAGGTGACCAGTGAGCGCCCCTCGTTCAGCATGCCCACCAACTGGATGCCGTGCCGCGGCGGCGTCGCAATCGTCTCCATCTGCGACGACACGTGTAGCGAGTAGATGGACTGCTGGGTGTAGGGGTCGCACACACGCAACACGTTCGGCATGCCCGTCAGCACCACGGCGGGTTGGCCCCGCCACTGCTCCACCACCAGACCCGTGCAAACGTCCTCGGCGGCCCACTCAATGCCCTCCGCCGACGCGGTCACACGCATCTGGAGCAAATCAACGACCGCCAGCGTGGACGTCCCACACGACACGAGCAGCTGCGCACCGGCGTCGCGCAAGGGCGTGATGGCCCGCATCGGTCCCAGGTGGCACTTAATCTTCTTGTGGCTGAAGGACACGAGGTCCCACACCAGCATAACCGCCTCTCGTCCTCCGGTATACACGGCGCTGCCATCCACCGCGAAGGCCAGCGCCGTCAGCGGCGTGTGGTGCCAGTGATCGGAGAAGCTGTGGGCCTCCTGCACGTCCACAAAGATTAGTAGCTCACCACGGCTACCGCCGACAGCGACGGACATGTGCACAGGGCTGCAGGCGACGCTTTGGATCTCGACGTTGACGGAACGGACTCCGAGCGGAGGGCAGGACGATCGGCGCTGCGGCTGCGGCTGATGCGCAGCAATGCGATCGGCGAAGGCGGAGAAGTAGAACTCACGTGCCTGCGGCGCCGCCACCGCTATCAGGCCCGTTAAAAGCCCCACAGCGAGGTGCGCGTGCTGCGTCGGATGCTGAAAAGCATGCACTGCCACTGCGGTCGGCGCAGTAGACGCCGGTGCCTCACTCAAAGCTACCTCCAGCACCGCCGAACTGGTGAGCAGCACCGCGTACAGCTGACCGCCCGGCTGGGTGTGGAAGTGGGCGGACACCACGACCGCACTCGTTGCATCTTCTGACGTCTGTGGGTTTCCAGTTGCGGTATCACTACTCGCGGACGGTGGCGCCTTCTCGCGTTGCATTGGCGACGCCGTCGCGTTGTCCGACAATGACGCGGCGGAGGAGGAAGAGGCGGCCGCCGCGACTTCTGTGGTGGGGAGGACGATGGCGCTCGACTTGGTGAGGGTCGGTGCACCGCCCTGCATCGAGAACTGATACCATGTCCCCTCCGCATCAATGACATGCAAGGTGGCCGTGGCGGTCGAGATGGCCTGGAGATGCATGCCGCACACACGCGACCCGCCAAGGCGCTCCACGCGAAACTTCTTGAGCGACTTGGGGGCGTAGAAGGAGACGGCGGTGTCCTCGGCCACGCAGACCACCTGCGAGCACGCGGCAAAAGAGCTCTGCATGGGTGTGCTCCTAGCTGCTGTTCGTCCTTTGCTTCTGCTGCTATTCGCAAGACACAAAACTGTGCTCTCGAACTCTGACGAAAACTACCGTGCTTGTGCACTCGGCATACAACTAGATGAACGCGCCAGGTCAACAGAAAAATCGCAGCACAGCAGGCGACGATAGCGACGCACAGAAATCAAACGTGAAGTCAAGAGTGTGACGAGAACGGAGAGAGGAGGAGGAGGAGGAGGAGGAGGAAAAAATGATAATCATTGAAGTGCGCTTTCAAAGATAAGAGGGAGAAAATGGCGTAACTAATTTTGGGACGCCAAATGAAATTTGGAAGCACGGCGCCACACAGAGGAAGCCGCCGACAGAGGTACTCTTACAGTGCAGTTGCAAAGGCAGGTCATTCGGATATTCATGACTGACGAACAAGCATCACTTTGCACCAAATCTAAAACTATTTCGCGCTTTCGTTTTACTTGCGTGCTTGAGAGCTTATGCTAAATCAGAAAGAAAAAATGTGATACTAAACAAGAAGAGACACAACTGGTAAATACAAAATGGGAGATTCTTTTAAGGAAAGAAAAGCAACGATTCGTCCTACACACGGACTTCACACTACGCAACGACGCGACGGGTTTCCAAGATCAACAAAAGAAAAGAGAGGGCACCTGTGTTCTCCTTCTTTGGTGTTGCACACCCTGAAAGCTAGCGGGGAAAAAAACCTTTACACTTTAATACGAAAAAAAAAAAACGGCAAAGAAAAGATGTTGCCGAAAAAGGTCTTCCGTGACGTGGTGATGGCAGGTAGGGGCGTCGCATGAGAAAAGAAGAACGAATTAGCTTCATGTTTTTTGTTGTGGTTTTTACTGTAATTATTATGAGACGTGTAATTGCCACCGCGATACCGAATTCGGCACTTTCAGAGCACCTCTTCTTTCCTTTGTTGTCCAGCTACGATTTGGTCCCCGCCACACGTTTGCTTTTCCTCCTTTAACACACACGTTGGATTCCCTTACTCTGCGATTTGAGATCTCTCTCAGGAGTTCTTTATTTTTAGTCGGTTTACGCCGTCGGTGGGTTTGCCGAGGGCACTGCAGCGGCACCGGTGCCGCCGTACTGGCCGAAGGCCGTATTGGGGTGCAGCGGCTGCAGCTCCCGTGGGTCAATCCCCACGACGTACACCGGCGACTTCCACCCACGAATGCAGGTGCAGATCAAGTAGAAGAGGACCAAGTTGGCCACGCCGATGAGGGCTGCTCTGATCGGGTGGTGCTTCACGTACGTCACAGTCGTTGGCACGGCACGCGCGACGAAGTTCTTCATGCGGGCCCACGCACTCGATGCTGTGGCGTTGATGGACTTGGTGACACCAGCAGCGGTGTCCGACGCCGTCGCCGTCTCGGAGATGTTCTTGGTCGGCGAATGATTGCCCCTCTTGCCTTTGCGCGGCGCAGGTTTCTTCGTGGTGCTGGTGGAGGACGTGGTAGAGGTTGTGGGCGTGCTGGTGGTGGTAGTCGTCGTAGCCTCAGCAGCAGCAGCTTCCTCGGCAGGCGCCGGAGTGCTGCTGTTGCCGCTGCTGTGGTTCGGTGCGGCATGCGGGTCCATCGTGGTGTTCCTCGACTCCGCCGCAGCTTTCGACGCGCTGGAGGCCGCCTTGGCGCTCCTGTCGTCCGGCTTCGTCGTCGTGTTGTGCACCGCTGCCGTCTCAGCGCCGCTAGAGTTCGCGGCATCCGTGGCGCTCTCCGTCATTCCCGGCCCCTGCGTTGTCGTGGTGGACGTGGAGTTGAATTCATCCGCGCTGAAATCCACGTCGACAAGGGTCGAATTCCCGGCGTCCTCCTCCTCCTGGGCGCGAAAGATGTCATCGACGATTGTTTCGTTGTTCACTACGACGGCGCCATTCCGCTTCATCTTCTTCGTCCACGCGTCATCGAGGTTGCCCTCGCGACGGTGGCCGCCCTGCGGAACGGAGGTGTCGTCAAAGCGGTAGATCCGCCGCCCATTCAGCGCCTGCGGTGGGCGGGCGTTTCCGAAGCGGTGGAAGTCGTTCGGCAGGAGCTGGTGCATCGAATCCCGTAGCTTGCCCACCGCCACACGCGAAATGAGAATAGGGGATGTCATGACGATCCACCGCACGTTCTCGCGACACGGCGGGTGCGTTAACGAGCCGTCGTACAGCAGGTAGCTCTCCCGCGGCGGCAGGAGAGAAGTGATGGACATGTCCTCTGTCAAGAAGCACGTCGTCATGGCGTGGCGGCGCGGCAGCGAACCGTCGACCAAAATGTGGCGCAAGGCCCGTACGGAGGTGCTGTTGATCGAGGTGGACGCCTTGAGCATGACGGCCACCACCAGCATCTCGCGCTTCTTCTCCTTCGCCTCGTCGGTGACAAACGAGATGTGCATCTCGACGTCCGGGCGCAGGCTGCGGAACATGTGTTCCGACGTGGCGTGGAAGTGCAGCTCGGAGAAGTAGAAAATGCGCGACTTGTTGAGCGGATCCGCCAGGGTGCACTCACTCAGGTCCTCCGGCAGACGCCCTTGCCGCTCAAAGCTCACCACGTTCACCGCCCCCTCGTTGACGATGCGCATCTCCGTCTTGTCCTTTGGGAAGAAGCACTTGGAGGAGAACTGCAGGCGCTTCAGCGGGGCGTCTCGCACTATCTCTCTCGGGTCGACGTTGGTGAAGGAGATGGGGCTTTGGCGGCTGCCGGTTTGGCACAGTTGGGGCCACGCTTTTAGGTCGGCGTAGTCCCAGCTGTTAGCCTGGGAGCCAGCGAGGTCGGTGTGGGGCAGCCCTGCGGTGCCGTAGTTGCCCTCATGGTAGGGGTGCGGGTCCGCACTCTGCACGAGAGCGGCGGCGGCCAGGAGGAACACCACGGCCAACAAGCAGGCACGCACGTGCGCGGGAAAGTTCATCTTCTCTGGAATGACGCGACTGGCGACGTAGGCGCAATGGAGCGGCTGACCGCCTGTAGGTCTGGCCTGCGTCGATTTGTTTGTGTTTCGTGTTGATGTGTCACTGCCACGGCTCCTTTGAAGAGGCACGCAGAGAACAAGAAGCAGCAACAACAAAGGCTGAGTGGGCGGGTGGGATGAATGGAATTTGCAGAAAGTCCAGTTCAAGCTGAATAGTTTTATTAAATACGTTCAAAGAAACAAACAAAACAAAAACTGTGTAGGTCATTTTGAAAGGGTAGACGACGAGGAAGAGGAAGCGGTGGTGAAGGAAGAAGCTGAGTTGCACTCCAGTAGCACTCTATCACTAGTAAACCGCTCGTTAACATCGAATGGCATTTCAGCTCATGAGGGATTAGCACTGCCCCACCACGAGATGAGGCAATAGGGCAAAAAGAGCACTATGAGAAAAGGCGTAGCACGCGACCTGTTCGACCTTCCTTTGAGAAACTGACCATCCCAATCCATGAGGAGCAAACAGAAACCAAGGCCGTTGTTTGTTCATGCCGGGGGCCTTTATGTATGTAACGAAGGAAAAAGTAACGCTTGTACGTATCGTCGTTGGGCAGCGGCAAATGAGAAAATGTGGCAATATCGATCGATGTCCCTCGCACGCACCGGCACCATTGCAAAAGGGTAAATACAGCTCCGCGCATACAAAAGAAACGACAAACAAAAAACAACGCGTGTGAACATGCCTGCTTTCCAGGAAACACACACACACACAGGTTTGCAAGGCGACCAGGCAACGCCAATGGAACCTGAAAAAACGAAACTGACGCCTTCTCCGCACGTTTCGACATCAATCAACAACAATCAAAACCAACTGATTTTTGATTTCACTAGCATATCAACGTGGGGGCAAAGAGAACGAAAAGACAAGAGAACACGAAGAGAAGAGCCGCGCCTCGGGGCTGTAAGTCGGGGAACGTCTGAAAAGCCCCCCGTTTCGCTCGAAAAAGAAAGAAAGGTCAAAAGAGGCTTGTTGTACACATCGAAGCGATACGGGATCCTCAATGACCAGGAAAAAAAAAAAGCAGCAACGCTTTTATATGTGCTTGGGCTCTAGTACTGCCTCAGGTTCAACAAGCAGAATGGAGCGTGAGGAGAACAGCCACCATCCACACAAACAAAAGACGGGAAAACAGAAGATCAAAACGCCACAACAACTGACGCAGGAATGACGGGGGACGCATTTCTCTTCCTTCGTGTCTTCTTCACGTCCGCCGTATTACGTCGTACCTGTGCCGCCGTAATTCTTGGCATTCCCGCCTGTCTTGCGCGACTCGAGGAATTGCTGTCGTGCTAAGTTGCCACGCGACGCTAAGAGACGATTCGAGGACGAGGACGCGCTGCTCGGGCCTTCCGCTAGCGTTCCCTGCGTGGACGACGTCGATGGAAAGACGAACGCCTTTGTAGGCATCTCTTCGTCCTCCTCTTCGCCACGCGCGTCCGCAGCAGATTGGCGGCTGCGCAGGACCCAGTTGAGCAGCACTACTGTCGTCATCGTCAGCGTGGAAAAAAGCAAAATCCACGCGAAGAAGTGCAACAGCGAGAGGCGCGACGCCCGCTCCGACACGGACGTCGTCGTCATCCTGTTGAGCTCTTCAGACCACCGAATGCCGGTTGTGGTGGTGGTGGTTGGTGTGGTGTCAGACGCCGTCGTCCAGTTCCCACTCGGCGCTGCTGACGCGGTCTCTCGACTGATTGCCTTCGCGGCGCTGCTCACGGCGGAAGTCACCTGATGCGTGACGTTGCGCATGGTGACGTTGACAGCATCTGCCGACGCGTTGAATGCACGGGCCGCTGTGCTGGTGCTCTTCTCCGCGTACACAACTGTGGGCTTCACGGACCCGAGGGTGGGCGGTGGCGGCGGCGCGGTGTCGACAATTATGGAATGTCGTGGGAAGGAAGGATTCATTGATCGAACGAGGGACTCGATGGTGTGTCGACTGTTTTCTTCTTTTTCTTCTTGATTGGTGAATGCAGCAGTGAACTCAACAATCACACGCAAATAAATCTAGGATGCACAAGTCGGAAGAGAAGGAGAGAAAGAGAAAGAGAGAAGGAAAAAAGAAACGGAATGCCAAGTGAATTGATTCGACTGCTCAACACGCAGACTTACAACGCAAAAGAAGTCCCACACAAGCGCACAGGTTATAGTCTCTGCGTGGTAAAAAAAACACTTGGCGAAAAGCCTTTTCGAACCTGTGAACATCACCACCGGGGCCGTCTTCAAGCGGGAACCTACGCAAATCACTTAGGCGATGGTAGACGACGGCGAAATACAAAGAAAAGGGGGACCGAAAGGCAAGACTTCCTTCAAGTAGGCTCCGCTTATTGGCCCCGCCCTCGCCCCTTTCTTCTTTCACCGCTGCTCCGATCCTCCTCTAACGTGACTACTACAGATTTGCAAGTCGAGAAAACGTAAAGAACCAAAAGCAAAATAATTGAATGGAGATTTCAAATGCGTTAACCCGAGAAACATTTTCTCAAAACAAAGAAAGAAAGAAACGGAAAAAAGGACTCGAGTCCGCCTTTTCCAACGCCCCTTGAATGGAGGGGGAGGGAGGGAGAGGGAATTTGCATCCAACATTTTATTTTTGATCGTTTTCTTTGTCGTTTTCTTTCGAACATAGAAATTGGTATTACAGACATGTGCATTCGCTTTATCTTAGGTACGAAATCAAAGAAAACAGTTCCCCTTTCTCTTTCTTTTGATGACCCCTCCTCCGCGCCTGTAGACGACAGCAAACAGGATTGAGAGAGAGAGAGAGAGACTAACAGGAGGGGGGACCCAGGTTTTGGAGCACGCGGTTTTCGATGCTTCCTCCTCCTTGTCTTTACGCCCCCGCCTTTCACACACACACACACGCACGTCAAGATGTCTACCACGTACCTCTGCGATTGCGCGCAGCTAAACATCACGTCAGCCGACAGTTCGGCAGGACAGAAAAAAAAAGGAGAAAGAGAGAGCGAGAAAAGAGGAGAGAGAGCACTTTATATAAAAAGCGTTCACGTGATATAACAAGAAAAGAAGAAGAAGGGAAATAAAGAGAAGAAAAAAGAATCCGCCTTTATATAAAAAAGGAAACACAAAAATAACATCTGTGGCTTAAACAAACGGAACGCGACTCCGTTGAGGTCAAACAAGTAAAGAAATGGAGTCGTGGTTTTGAGGATTTCTCCTCTGTCTGGATTAAGGAGGGCAGGGTGGAAAGGTTTGTTAGGTTTTTTCTTTTCCTTTTTTTTTGGCGAAAGCCATGGAAGGAAAACAAAAAGGAGAGGAGGGAAGAGATTTAAGACAGGACAAGAAAAACACTTAAGCAATGAAAACTGAAACGTGAAATGTATTACTGTTTTTTAAATTGTTTTTTGAAGGTGGAGAGAAAAAGAGGAGACGCCCCCGACAATGGTGAGATGCACGGTCGTAGCCTCCTCATTGCCGATCAGAGTGGAGCGGAACCTCTTCTTACAGTATTCCCAGAAAAGAATGAATGCTCTGCTTGTGCGCATTTTTTTTTCGCGCAGTCTATCGACAATCATTGTATCCGTTTTTTTACCTCCTACTTTCTCTGAAGAAAAAGATGAGAACAAAAAAAGAGCACCGATACCCAAGCGTGTCAACGCCCCGGATACGGGAAGTCGACAAACTTGATGGAGAAAACAAAAAGAAAAGAAAAGAAGAATAAGGGCACTAAAGAACGAACGAACCCATCCATATAGCAAGCTCCACGTCCTCTTCCTTTTTCGTATATTCTTCAGCGCTGCGCAAAAACATCTACTGCTGCTTGCTCTAATTTCAACCCAACTTGTCAGCTGTGCATCTCTCTCTCACACACACACAAGAAACCGTAATCGTTTTTGTATTTCTTCTGGTCACACCACACGAAAGCTGTCAAAAGCCCGGCAATCCAGTGACGTGTGCTCGACCTACATGCGTTGATGGCAATTCGATCTCAGCCACAAAGTGCCTCCGCAATCCGCATGTGTCAGGGAGAAGCGTGTGTTTGCGTCCTGTTACATTTCACAAGCAACATCATCTTCTGTCTTCAAACAAAGAGTGAAGACGAAGGAGAGGCAAAGCAACGGCAAGAAGTGTTCGTGAAGTGCACCCTTCCCACGCACAGGCCGCGATAACGCAACGACGTGGGAAGCAACAAGAACACTCTCTACGTCACCAACCTGACTCGCGAGCGAAAAAAAAGAAAAAAGCGTATATGAATTCCAAGACGCTGACACAGTCAACCCGCACGCGGAAAGTGCACCCGGAAGCAAAAATTGGGCTTTCAAATGGACTCCACAACAAAGCCAACACGGCAAAACACTTGGTGAGAACTACCGTTTTCTTTTCGATGGACTTCGACAGGGTGAGTGTGGCCGGTGGGAGAAAAAGCTGGAAACGAGGGGTGAAGCAGACATCGGTAACGATCTGCCAACTCACACAAGCGAGCATAACTGACCGGCAAAGGTATGAAACCAAGAAACAGACTTAAAAATAAAAAGTGTGGCGCGGACACTTTCGGCCAACCGCTCGAGGAGTTCGTGTAAAGAGGGGAGGAGGGAGAGGGGAGGGCGAAGAGGCATGACATTCTACACGGCCGTCTCCCTAGCCGCCATTCACCCCGCTCACCCTGGTCAGGCGGTAGGCACAAGTCACGGCGCACGGCGGGAATGCTCGGGCGCGGAGGCGTCACATGTGAAAAGAAAAACCCTGTCCCCAAAGCTTACAGCGGGATGTTGCCGTGCTTCTTCCACGGGTTGCGCAGCTGCTTGCGGGACAGACGCTCCAGATCCTCGCACACACGCAGGCGGGTCTCGCTGGGGTCGATGACGGCGTCGACGAAGCCCTTGCGCGCCGCCGAGAGCGGGGTGCAGAAGGCCTTCTCGTATTCCTTCACTCGCTCCGCCTGCTGCTCGGCCGACTCCTTCGAGTACAGCAGCTTCACGGCGCCTGGGGCACCCATCACGGCAATCTCCGCGCGCGGCCAGGCGTAGTTGCTGTCACCGCGCAGGTGCTTCGAGCTCATCACATCGTAGGCGCCACCGTAGGCCTTGCGCGTAATAACCGTGATCTTCGGCACCGTAGCCTCGGCGAAGGCGTAAAGCAGCTTCGCACCGTGGCGGATAATACCGCCATACTCCTGCTGCACACCGGGCAGGAAGCCAGGCACATCCACGAAGGTGAGAATCGGGATGTTGAAGGCATCGGCGAAGCGCACCATACGCGCGGCCTTGACGGAGGAGTCGATGTCGAGCACGCCAGCCTGCACCTTCGGCTGGTTCGCGATGATGCAAACGCTGCGGCCCTCGACGCGGGCAAAGCCGCAGATGATGTTCTTGGCGAACTGCGGCTGAATCTCAAAGAAGGAGTTCATGTCCACCACCGGGAAGATGGCATCACGCATGTCGTACGCCTCCTTCGCCTCCAGCGGCACCACCGTCTTCAGCGACGACACATCGCGCATGCGGCTGTCCACCGACGGCACGATCGGCGCTGCGTCGCGGTTGCACAGGGGGAGGTACGAGTAAAGGCGGCGCAGCTGAGACATGGCGACGATGTCGTTCGCGAAGGTACCGGCCGACACACCGGACTTCGTGGCGTGCACGCGCGGGCCGCCGAGCTCCTCCTTCGTGACGAGCTTACCGCCCACGGCGCTCACCACCTCGGGGCCCGTCACGAACATGTACGACGAGTTGTCCACCATGAAGGTGAAGTCGGTGATGGCGGGGGAGTAGACCGCACCGCCGGCGCAGGGCCCCATAATGACGGAGATCTGTGGAATCACACCGGAGGAGAGCGTGTTGCGCAGGAAGATGTCGGCGTACCCGGCGAGCGAGTTCACACCCTCCTGAATACGGGCACCGCCGGAGTCGTTGAAACCGATCAGCGGAACACCAATCTTGGCAGCCTCGTCCATGATCTTCACCACCTTGGCGGCGTTTGTGCCGGAGAGGGAGCCGCCGAGCACGGCGAAGTCGTGCGAAAAGAGAAAGACCGGGCGGCCAAAGACCTTGCCGCTACCCGTGATGAAGCCGTCGCCGGCCACCTTCTTCTTCTCCATGCCAAACATGTAGCACTCGTGCTCCACGAGGGAGTCACGCTCGCGGAAGGAGCCGGGGTCGCAGAAGAGCTGAATGCGCTCCATGGCGGTCAGGCGCTCCTTCGTGTGGCGCTTCTCCTCGGCCGACGTCGTCTTGTGCGTGTGGCGGTTGAACTCCTGCACCATGTCGGTGGTGCTGCACCGAGCCGCGCACGCCGTGGCGGCTGCCGCAAATCCGAGACGGCGCATCATTGTTGTGAACCGACGGAAGTTGTAACAAGTAAGAGGGCGGATAAAAGATAAAACCGAAAGATAAAAGGTATACCGTTTTCTTTTAAATCAGGTAAGCTAGACTTTTCTTCTTATTAGCTGCCCGATGCAAAATGTGTGTTGTTATTTTTAAACCAAGAGAGCGTCGGCAAATGGAGATCAGGGGAGAGGAAAGCGAAGTGGTGGTGCTGCAGCCAAGGCGAGGAAGGAAGACACCGTTTTCTTTAGAGAAGTCTAATGGGCATGTCACACACATCACTCTTGACGTCCTCGTCGAGGGTGTGCGCCTTCAGAAGTGAAGGGGCGCCGAACGGAGCATAGAAAACAGGAAAATTAAAAAAAGACATTCGTATTCCTCTCTCGTACGCATTCGCACATATGTTTTCTCGGTAGATAAATGGGCGCAACAGGGTGGCGAGAAACGAAGTGACGAAAGACAGCGTCAGCGTCGTGGTAGAGCTCCTTCCAACGGCCCTTCCCCGAGGAGGGACTGGGAGAGAACAAGTGACTCCCGCTTTTGTGACGATGCGTTTTCTTTTCTTTTTATTTCTGTCGTTGTTGTTGCTGCAATAATCCGCGGGGAAAAGAAAAAACTGAGAAACAAGACGAAACAGGGAAACTAGCCAAATCAAAACGGTAGTTGTTGTCGAGGGGAAAGAGTGAATATATATGTGTGTAAGAAGACGGAAGGCGATGGTGCACGGAGTCACGGAGAAAAGAGAAGTAATTAAATGGAAAAAGACAAACACGGCGAAAAGAGAGAGAAAAAAGTAATATGGTGAAAGTAGAAGAGTCGGAAAAGAGAACACAAAAAATGACAGCTGAGATGGATGGGCGCACAGACAACACAAAAAAAGGAGGAGGAAAAACAAAAGCCGGTAGGACATACCCAAAATTCACAACGTTGACATCGCGAAATGCAGCAGCACAAAAGCCTCGGTCGACAGCAGCACCGCCATACAACAGAGCAAAAAAGAAACAACGGGGGGAGCTGAGCGAAACAAACTCTATTTTTTAGCAAGAAAGCACACTAGGTAAACAAACAAGCAAAGCATAAAGAAGAGGGGGCTGTTACATCAACAAAAATAAACGAAAAGCGTGATAGAGAAAGAGAAGAGACGATCCAACGAGCACGACGGCGTGGCTCTCAGCTCTGCTTTTTTTTTGTTTTTAAGAACCACATCAGAAGCCGAATCAAGCCCTTCTCGCAGGCGTAACAAAATCGCTCCAGTAAGCGTGAAAAAAAAAAGAAGCGGTAGAAAGTAAGAAAGGCGGGAAAGAAGATACCCATCACAGTAACTTGATCTCTTCAGACAAGTTGTGTTGCATCATCGCGGCGCGGAGGCTGCAGCACTGCAAGTCCATGGTAAATGCAAGGAAAACAAGAACGAGGCACATTTTGCTGCTGTGATCTCTCCGCACCCACACTTCAATCCTACCTCCCAAAGCTGCCGTAGCCTACGTGAACGTTCTTTAGCACCAATAAAGAAAAATACCACCTTCTGCATATCGCAGAACACCTGAACGACACCGTTCTCCTTTTGATTTGAGCATGGCAAAAGCATTCAGGTCACTGCACCCGCTGCGAAGCACTTCACTCAAGAGCGGAAAAGATCAAGAAAGGGGGGGGGGAACGAAAGCAGATGAGGAAAAAAGAATGTTTGTTACGAAGGACGTGCATGTGTATTGTTACCTTGAAATGAAAAATAACGAGACAAAAAAAAAGCTGACAGTAAATGATTTCCCGGAAAGAAGGAAAGCGGTGCCGACTTTTTCTCTTGAAAAAAAAAGGGATGTGCAACAAGGGAGGCCCATCATAGATGAATCTTTGCAGCATCAGCCACAACAAGCAAATGAGTTGAAGTTAATCAAGACATTTAATAGTTAAACTTATGTGTAGTCTTTTTTTTTTCGCACAACACGCACGCGCGGTGCATACGTGAGTTTTACCACACACAACAAATGTGCAGACCAGAGTGAACTGCTCGTAGAAGATAACACGGAAACACAAAACCAAAAATGAACGTATTGTATTTTTCAAGTTGTTCGCTGTCGAGGCACCACCCGCGAGAGCGGGGCACCGGATAGAGAAGACCGTTTTTATAGGCGCACGGGGACAAGCTCACGGGCAACACGGCAATCACTCCATCTTTTCTTGCTGTTGACCTCCCCTTCTTTTCAGTTTCTATCCCCGATGTCTGCGTCGGTTTCTTCACACAAACAAACAAAAAAAGAAAAGTATCGCGAGCGTGACACACCGTTCACTCCGTTCACAGGACACCCTTCGCGATTAGACAATACTAGACAGATCATCACAAATCCGCCAAGCCGTACACTTTAAAAAGGAAAGAAAGAAAGGGATCAAAGTAATACATGGATACCAACAACTCTAGGAAGAGAAGAAGCACAGAAACAGAAAAACCTCCATTAAGATGAGCGACTGAAGAGCTAATTAAAGAAGGGAAAAAAAAGCCGTTTTTACAGCTACAAAGCACATCAAAGGGAAAAACAATTATATATATTGAAAGCAAAAGTTTCTGACAAGCGTCAAAACCCCAACTCTTTCGGATTATATCAGCAGATCCATTTCTACGATGAAATGTGGCGCCGAGTAAACATATAAAGAGGAATTGGTTTAAAAAAGATCGGACAACATTAACAACAACAACAACAAAAAGAGAACACCTACTCAAACGACAACACCGTCCGTCTACACCAACATTTTCCCAACTCGCGATTGGCTGCGTCACTTTACGTCCATTATTGCCGTTGCTGCCTCCCCACAGAGTTGCAGTCCGTCGACTACGTGTGCCTTTCTCCGCCACTGCGCGACCGCACCTCGCTATTCCAGTGTGGCGGCTTCGGCGTGGAGTGCAAGAGAACAGAAAAAGCGTAAATGAGACGCCGCGGCGTTGTGACGAAACAGCAGGAAGAACGAAGAAAGCCGCGACCAAAAACACACGCGAAAGAAATAACCGAAAGAGAGGGGGTGGGGGGAGAAGAAACGGGGGCACGCGGCCAGTAATTTCACGCTGGGGTGGGCAGACTGCACACAAACACATACACACACACACGCTTTACAAACCGAGAAATCAAAAAAAAAAACAACGGACGGCTGCAAGTTCGCGAGGAAGTAGAAAGAGAGGGAGAGAGAGAGGAAGTAGAAAGGGAGAGGGAGACAGGGCTAAGGCGTTCTCAAGGAGTCTTGCTTCGAAAAACAGCCAAGCCAGCTCAACTCTACCAACGCTCACCGCTGTTGGAGTCGACATCACGTCCTCGCGTTCACGGCAATGCAGAACACGCCAGCGCACCCACGTATCGCACACAGCGCAAAAGGCAAAAAGAGGCGCGGACGCTACGCCAAGTCGTAGTGAGGCCAGGCCATCGACAAAACTTCCTTCTTGCCAATCGGCCGCAGCGTGCGCAGCCGCAAGTTGGCGGCGGACTCGGTGAAGGTGCGCACCGCCACGTTCGGCTTCGACGCCTCCGCCGGGGTGCAGTTGTTCGGCGTCATGAGCGAGGCGAGCTCAAAGAGGGAGACGCACATGTGATACGTGCCCGGCACACCGTGGCGCGGGGCGTTCAGCGTGTGGTGCAGGCATGACTGCAGTGGCGAGTCGTTGCTCTGAACCCCAATTCCAGTCGGTCGATCCTCGGCGTTGACAAAGTCCAGATGGCTCTTCAGGCGCTCCACTATCTTGGGCCACATGGAGCAGCAGATCATCAGTGAGTTCGACTTGGCCTTCTCGTAGCAATCCTGGAAGACATCGAAAGTGAGCTGCTCCGCATCTTCAGAGGCAAAGCAACGAGCTAACGTGGTGTAGCAGGTGCGCAGCAGCTCACTCATCTCGTCTCGCTGCTCGCGCACCGCTGGTGCGGTGGAGAGCCACCGATACTGCTGGGCCGCCTCCGGCGAGGGCAACACGCTACTCACCATGCGCGACATCATCCGCACCGCGATGCGGATACACGCGGCTTTCACGATGGGGCGCACGTCGTCGGCAGCGCATTGTGGCGCCGGCGAGACGTTCTCCTGTGCGTCGGCCAGTGCCGCGTTGGTGCGCACGTACTGGTCCAGCAAGCGGTGAATCGCTGCCGTCCCTTCGCGCCAGCGGCCACGCTGCGCACACTCGACCCAGTGGTGCTCCACCCAGGCCTTCGACTTGCAGCTCTCACTGCAGTAGAGCGCGTTGCAGTTGTTGTCGCACGGCACAGGAGTGGAGGAGACGTGCAAGGAGTGGAGGATGGGCTTCGTGAGACCGGGAATCTGCTCAATGACCATGTCTTCGTCCACAAAGGGACGACCGCAGTGGCAGCACAGGGAGCACCGCTTGCGACCGCAGATGACGCGGTATATAAAAGAGGAGAGCGGGAAGACGGAACTGGAGCCTTCCTTGAGGATGACCTCGTTGGCGTCGGTGTTCTGCGCGGCGACCGCGACGGCACGCTTGATGTGCTCGTCGTACGCGATGCGCAGCTTGTTGTACCGCTTCGTGCGGCCATCGTACAGCATCGCCACCGAATTTCCCTCCAGCAGGTTACGCACGACGCCGTTCGCCGAGTCGTACTTCATCGCCGTCGCGTACATCTTCTGCGCGTCCACAAACTTCTTCATGCTGCGCAGGACGTTGCCGGTGCGGATGTACCCGACGCTCTCGCGTGGCACGAGGTGCACGACGCGGTTGGCGTCCTCCAACGCACGCTCCTTCTCCCCCGCGAGCAGGTAGGCCACGGAGCGGCTGCTACGCACGCGCGCCTCCTCCTCCGGCATCTCCTCCAGCGCTCTGTTGTAGTACCGAAGTGCGGTCTCGCAGTTCTTCTTGTTGATCTCCGCCGTGCCTTTCCTCATGTAGGACCTAAAAGTGCGTTGCCGGGCGTCGTCGGCCATGCTGACGTTCGCGCCAGTGCTGCGTGACGACCGGGTGGCGCTGAGGAGCTCGCCGTTCGCATTCATGGTTGAGGAGCTCTTCACCGAATCCAACGCTGTATCACCACTCTCTCTCGCACTCGCCGACGCCCCGGGCTGGACCGGCTTACTAAGCACATCCTCCGCCTTGTCGTCCAGCTCCAGTCCCGAAAGACCGCTCCGTATGCTAGAGTAGTACCGGGTGGCCTTCACCTTCGGTTCACTAAGGCAGGCGCGATACAGCGTGCAGCCCACCCGCTCAAACCCCTCAATGTCGTTACACAGAACAAACGTGTAGTCACCCGTGTGCCTATCAACCCGCACGCGCCGCCGCGGGGTGGCAAAGAAGGCCTCCATTATCGGCTCCCAATGCCTGCTCTCCTGCGCAATCCTTGCGAACTCGACATCGCGCAGCTCCACCTCGCACCCCAATGGGTAGTCCTCGGCGGCCGGCGCCATCGGTCGGTCTTCGAGGTTGCTCGCCTCAAAGAACGGCATTTCGGGCACCTCCTCGCCATCATCGCCACAGAGGGAGATGAGGTTTTCCTCCTGTGGCGCTTCCGCGAGGTCCATGAGCATTAATAATAGTGATAATCTAATGGTGTCCTTAGAAAGAAAAAAAAAAGCAAGAAAAACCTTCTCGTTTACGAACTGTTTGGGGAAATAGTATTGAATAGGGTTGCTGTTGGAATCGATGCTGACCGAGGAGGTCCTTTTCCCTGAAAACACCGTCTAGTGTACGTTGAGGAAAAAAGAAAACGCTCACGCAGCTGCGACGAGGCCCAACAGTAGCCACGGAATGAACACAAAAACCGTAGCACTCAGAAAAGAAAAAGAAAACCAGCAAGAATAGTAAAGAGGCGTTTACGCGCAAGTTTTCCTGTTTTGTCACTAAAACAAAAGGAGTGTCTAGAAAGACTAGCAAAGACGGACGCGCACTATATATATATGTATGTATCGAAACAGGAGCGTGCTCAATGCTGCTCCTTTGCCTTGTCGTGGGCGGCAGTTGCAGCAGTTACTTCCAGCGAGACAGCAAATAGAGATCGAGAGCGCCGAGTTTGAGAAATAATAAAGAAAAGGAAAAACCTGCTCTGACAGCTGCTGCCACGTCTTCGGCAATTGGGCGAGACAAGAGGGAAAGAGATACGTGTGCTGCCGGAACAAAGAAACAAACAACAACGACGACGACGACACACAGAGTGAAAATGTGAGAAGGAAAAAAATACAAGATTTCAGGATTTTACACGAAAAATGTCAAACGAGATGGAAAAGAAAAAGCCAAGAAAAAAGAGAGAAAGAAAGAAGAAGAAAGCAGAGGAAGAAAGAAACACAAAAGGCTGCACTAACAGTTTACAATCACAAATCAGCTTTTAAAAAGGGTGTAAGGATAAATATATTATTTCTTATTTATATTTATTTTCAGATACATATATATATATATATATATATATATATGAGTGTCACACGGCCGTGGGGGGAAAGAAGAAAACAAAAGATACAGAAGTGCTTAAGCACAACGAAGAACACACAAAGAAAGCAGGAGAACAACAACAGAAACAAAAAGACTATCGGCCAGTAAATTGAAGAAGAAAAATGAGAGAGAGAAAAGAGGTGTAACTGAACTGTAGCTCAAAACAGCAACAACACAAGGCAAAATAGGGGGAAATCAATGGTACCGTTTGCAGATGGGTGTTCTTCGTTCCTCGATTACTGGTATTACGCCGCTTTTCTTTTCCTTCCTCCCATATATGTATTTATGTGTAACTGGTGTTCTGTTTGTAGTGGTACAGGTGTGTAGGTGAACGCACACTGCCCTGTGAAGCGTGTGACTTTATGGATATTTATTAGGCGTTCCTCTTCTTCTCCGAAATGAGATGTGGACTTTTCTTGCTTGCGAGCTGTCGTGAATTACGTCAATGTCAAAGCAGGAAGAAGGAAAAGCAAACTAACAGCGAAGAGACAGATTATAGCGGATGTACAATCGTTGACCTCAAGCGCGTGTATTACGTGGAGAGAATGGATTATCTCCCACCTGCTACGTGTTTGCGCGGAGCCGTGGGGCAGTGTAAAACACGCCCCTTTTCTAACGAAGGGGGTGGTGGTGCTTGCCAAAGAGGCGGAAAGACAAAAGAGCTTTGGTATTGTTTTTTTTTTTGGTGTACCGTTGCGCACACATGCAGACACACACACACACACACACACACCAACAACCAGAAGAGTACCTGTAATGAAAAAGAAGGGGAGGGGGGACCTCTCAAAGGTCCACTTTTCAAGTCTGGCTAGTTTTGAGCACAGCCTGTGAGAGCTCACTCGTTTCGCGTCCAACTCGGGTGCTGTCGTCCCCTTTTCGCTCTCGCTCTACTTTCTCCTTAAAGGCCGTTAAATTATGTTGCAGCGTGTGTATGACGAGCACCCAAAGTCGTGGCTTCCGTAACGCATCGAAAGGATGTGAGAGAGGGAGAAAGTGTGTGTGAAGATCAACGCAGGAAACAAAACAAAAAAGCGCACTCACCGAAAGCAAAAAAATAAACACAGCAGTGAAACGCTCGTGGTGAGAAACTTCAAGGTCAAGTCTTGGCGGGGAGGGGAGATCGGCCGCCGAGACGAGCGCGTCCGTTAGGATCGTGGGTAGGAAAAAATTAATACGAAGGAAAGGAACAAGCACTCGCTCGTCTGCGCGGACACAGCACAAGCGCCAATCGCACACTCACAAAACAAAAGAGAGCGAAAAAGTAAAAGGAGAAAAGCAAGACGACCGAGTAGGCACTAACCACCGCTTCTCACTTACCCTTTGGCTTAGCGTGAATGAGGTGCACGTCTGTTGTTCACAATCCCTATTCTGGGAACCGAAAATTAAGAAAAGAAAAACAACAAGAAAGAGAGAGAGAAATTTACTACCGTTAGAGAAAATAAACGAATGAAAAGAGTGAGGAAAACTTATTGGGAGATGCGCCTGTAATGAAAGCACGCTCTTGCTTCCTTCCGCGGTGCACGTTACAGGTTGAAAAAGACGAAGATGGTACAAAGAAGGAGAACTAGAGTGGAGGCAGTTCAGAGACATCTTTTTAAAAGACAATTGCTGTTCGTCAAGTGAGAAACAGCCTGCGGTAGAAACGCGCGGTCTCGCACACAAACCCATCATGAAGCTCCAGCACAACAGATATCACCGATGCATGAAAAGTTCCCCCCCCCCAGAAAAGAGAAAAACCCCACTGTTCGGCTTCCATTAATGCGGTATCAGAACTCTACCGTCAATCAAGCTACCGCATCTCGAAGCCGCTTACTTGTCTTCTCTTTCCGTGCGTATTTCCTTTCCCCACCCCACAGAGTTAAATCAGCAATTGAGCTTGACAACACATCCACATCAATCACACAACAACGTCGGCTTGAAGCGGGGTTCATGCGTGCAGACGTGGTTGACGACTGCGCCCACTAATGAATTTTGGCTGGTCTTCACTGGTGATCCGCAAACATGAGGTCGAACAGGTGCGACATGCGCATCGCATCGCTCACGGCTTCACTGCGATCCGACAACAGCCGCCGCATCCGCTGCGCCTCCGCGGACCAATTCGCCGACGGCGCGTCTATGGCAGACATCAGCCGCGGCACCTGCTCAATAATCAGCGTGCTCTTGAACTTCTCCTCAGTCCCGGTGGGCGGCTCCATGAAGGACAGCTCTTCCAACGCACGTTGCACGTCTTGCAGGGAGGGAATTTGATCCAATAGCGTCTCGTTCAGCAGCGAGCGGACGCGCAGCAGCGTGGCCTTCTTGTGCTGCGTGTACGGGTACTGCCGACGGCACTCCGCGTCGCACAGCAGCTTGTGTAAGCAAAACCACGCATGCGCCTCCGGCACACACACACGCTGCACCTCGTTGCCCGGCGCCGGCGCGAAGGTGCCGCTTTGAAACTTCTGCGCCTCGCTGCCCGAGCGGCGCAGCCACGGCTGGAGCAGCAGCACCTCTGCCACCCCAACAGGGATGTCGTTCTTGCGCAGGACGCTGTTCATCGCGGAGAGTGGCAGACCGTCCAGGCGGTCCACGACAAACCACAAGAGGGAGATGCAACTCATGGCCCGTGCAATGCGCTGCTCACGCAGCTGCTGCTGGAGGTGGACGACGGGGTCTTCTGAGCCTGGTGTGCGTGCGCCACTGGCATCTGTCGACACAACCGGCGGTGCCAGTATTGCATTGATATCCTTTTCAGAGAAAAGACGCGCCACCTGCCGCCAGCAGTAGTCGATGAGCTCTAGCACATCGTCGCCGAAGCCTAGCACGACTTCCTCGTAAAAGCAAATACACTCCAGCAGATTTACTAGCACGGACTCGTACGCGCAAAACATGTATGTGGCAGTGGGGTTGTGCGCGACCGCCTCTGTGATGCTCGGCAGCACACGCTGGCGCCACACCTCCATCACAAGTAACTCATGCAACACGTCGCTCAGCTTGTCGTGCTCTAGCAGAAACGCCTTCACAAAGTCGTCCGTTTTTTGTACGGCGTTGCTGTGCGTGCACATGTTCAGGCGCTCCAGCGACTCCCGCTGGTCCTTCCACGCAGACGTGCCAACTTCTTCCATTGGGAAGGAGCGCAGCTGGCGAATGCTGATCTCGGCGTCAGCCGGTAACATCACGCTGCCCTGGTACTGCATGGTGGTCAATACGGCGCGGAAGAAAGCGGAGGAGACGAAGAAGGCGGCAAAGCAAAAAATGAAACCTATCGCTGCTGAAAGGCACGCGTAAACACACTGCTGTCAGGACAGCCGTGAACTAAGAACAGCAAGCAGGTCTATGTGTGTGTGTGTGTGTTTTGGCTGTTTACGTTGAAAGAAGACTCTCGCAAGCACCAGATGAATAGAGTGAAGTCGCCGATGTACCGAGGGCTGTTATGAATCCTCACAAACAACAACTGGTAGGTGATGCCACACTCAAATGAGACCACAAGAAGCGCGTTGAAACAGTAAAAAAAGAAAATGAGTGGAGAAAGAGTGGGGAATGACAAACGTGAGGGTGACTGCGCCACAACCTATCGAAACACGTTGCATGGCAGCTTGCAGCAGCATCTTTTTCTCTCTCACTCCACTTCGCGTCCGAGAGCCATCAGAGAACGTAAACAAAACAGTCCCCCTTCTCGTCTTTTCGAAGGAATGAAACCCCCAAGTCTATCATCTAAATTGTTGCTGCACAAGTTGCGTGAAGAAATCTAACGGGGTAGGTGGAAAAGAACATCACAACAGGATGAAAAAAACGCAAAACAAATCTAAAGGGAGAAAGCGATGATGCGGAGAAGCGGCACAGAAAAAAAGTCTAAAAAATTTGATAACGTCAAATCTAACGAGAAAACGGAGAGGAGCATCCAGAAGAATAAATCCTGGGTGAAACCGGAGCTGCTTTTTTCTTTCTGTTTGTGTGTGTGTCGTTGTTAACTGCGGGGTCGCTTGCCAGTGGGCGGGGTAAGGTTGTTCGGCGTGTAGTAGTACTTCAATAAGAAGGGATGGTTCAAGACGCGGTGCAGCGCCATCCGCTTCGAGCCGTCGCGCACCAGCAGGTTTGCGATAAGATCCTTCGCCTCGGGTGGGATGGTGTCTGGCATGGTGTACTGCATGGCGTGAATCTTCTTGTAGATCTGGTCGTTGTCCTTCGCCACGAAGGGGGTGTGTCCAACCAGCAACTCGAAGCAGAAGATGCCGAGGCACCATAGGTCTGCGCTGTTGTCGTACGTCTGCCGACTCACAATCTCGGGAGGGAAGTACTCCGGCGTACCGCACGATGTCTTGCGGCGGTTCAGTGGGTCGTGCACCGACCAGCCAAAGTCAGCGAGTTTAATGTTCTGGTTGTGATCAAGTAGGATGTTCTCGGGCTTGATGTCGCGGTGCAGGATGTGATGCTGGTGGAGGTACAGCAGCGCCTCGGCCAGCTGCGCCACGTAGCGCGCTGCCGTCGGTGGTGGGAACAGCTTCACGCGATTCAGCTCACTGTACAGCATACCGTTGCTGCAAGGCTCTAACACGAGATAGATGTCGTGCTCGTCGTAGAAGTAGCAGTAGGTGCGGAGGAGGTACTTGTGACGGGTGTTGAAGGCAATTTCGATCTCGCGTCGCAGCTGATTAGCTATGTCGAACTCCGCCAGCTTCTTGATGGACAGCTTCTTAATCGCCACGACGTAGTTGCTCTTGCGAACCGAGGCCAGGTAGACGTCGCCGTAGTTGCCGCCGCCGAGCTTGTGGAGAAGCTCGAAGTCTTGAATGGTCCACTCCGACTTGGGCGTTGCCGGCGTGACTATGAAGCCGTTCACCACGCTCTCGTCGGGGCCAACCTCCGTCGCCATGTTCTGACGAAGGAAGGAAAAATAGATAGATAGAGAGACGTGACGGGCGAGCTATCACCACTAAAGTAACACTGAAAAAAAGGAGACGGAAGAGCCGGTAAAGAAAGATGAGTCACCAAGAGCGCACACGAGAACAACATACGAGGCAAACGAAAACGGTATTTGAAGAAACAACCCCGCGCAAAGAGAAGCATAAGATTCACTGAGCTGCCTCCGATTAATCAAGCCACGTTAGATATCAGAGCTGTTTCTCCTTGCTTATTACTATTGTCGCTTACTTTCACGGGGACATCATTATTGACGGAACACAAACGCGCAAAAAGCAGGCCGGTCAGGTTTGCGGTTTCATTCTACTCTACAAGAAAGAACCGTTACCTTTTATGTAGCTGCCTTGGGAAACGGCCCGCCAGTGAATACGACGTTTCATTCTATGACAAGGCATCAGCCGCTGCCTTTCAATCAATGTGCGCCGACGGTGTAAAGCCGATTCCCAGACATTACAGCACACACAAGCATAGCACGTCGGTGTTTGAGTTAGGCAAAGAGTTGGTCAAACGTTCGTTCCTCAATGACGGAGAACGCGCCTTCGCGATCTTTGTGGATGTAGAAGAACTTGTCTAGCGACTGCCCACCCAGCGCCCGCACAAACTGCTCGTCGTGGGTAATGACAATCAGCTGGAAATGCTTCACGGCCCGCCGGGCTTGGATCAGCGTGCGCAGGGCGGCGGCCAGGCTGCGTGCGTTGTCGTCGTCCAAGTTCGTTGTCGGCTCATCTAAAGCAAGGATGCCGCAGTCGCAGCAGAACGCTTCGCTGAGGGCGAGACGGATGACAATCGATGCAAGCACCTTCTGCCCGGCGCTGCACCGCCCACGCATGTCCATCTCGTTGTTGCCGCGCTTCATCACGACGCGGTAGTTGAAGCTGCGCCGCGCCGCCGTCGTCGTCGTGCCCTCCGTCTCCGACCGGATCTCCACCGTGTCGATGTCGCTGCCGCGGTACGTCTGTCGCCACAGCTCTGCAATAATTTGGTTGATCTGCGCAATTTTCTCTTGGTGGTACGACTGCACGGCCTTCTCCAACGCGCTGTAGTACTTCTCGATGTCCTGGATGGAGATCTCGGTCGTTTGCACCTTCAAAAAGGTGGAGCGGTAGCGCTTCTCGATGCTCTGGTACTTATCACTGCGCAGCTGCTGCTTTAACTGGGCGACGTCGAGCAGCATCGCCTCCATGTTGCCGTCCTGCTGCGCGCGGATCTTCTCCAGGGAGGTCATCTTTGCCGTGATCAACTCGCGCAGTGTGGAGAGGCTTGCCTGGCGTGCCTCCTCCCCCACGAGCTGCTCCACGCCCTGCAGTCGATCCGTCTTCAAGGAAACGAGGATTTGTGCCGTTTCCGCCAAGTGCGTCTCGTCGAGCGCAATGGACTGCTGCTGCTGCAACGCCTCGATGTGGCGATCCATGTCGGCGGACCGGCGGTGCTGGTCGCTCAACGTGCGCCGCGCGTCCTCCATGTGCGTCATCAGCCCGTCCAGTTCTTGCACAGTGGCCGTGCAGGCTTTCTCCGCCTCGCGCAGGTGCACGCGGAGCTCCTCCAGTCGCTGGGCGCCGCCGCTCTGCACGTAGCTCAACACCGGTGGAACGGCCAACTGCAGTTGGCGCAGCCGCGCCTCCGCCTGTTCGACGGCGTGGCGCTCCGCCTCCTCGGCCCTCTGGCACTCCGCACGCAGCTCCTGCACCTTGGCCTGACGAGCGTCGACCGAGGTGCGCAGCGTGGCGACTTGGGCGGTGAGCTCCTCGAGACGTCCGCGGTGCTGCGCCGCCTCCTGCTGCAGCTCCGCCGACGTCTTCTCTAAGTCCTCCAGCTTCGCCACGGAGACCTCCGCTTGGTACATGGCCGCCTTGCGCTCTTGCAGCTGACGCTGCGCGGCGTGCTCGTCCTGACCGCGCTCCATCCGCTGCGCCTCGGTGAACAACTTGTTGAGCTGATGCAGTCGGTCCGTGGCCGCCGCGTAGGCCTCGGAGAGTTCATCGAAGGTGCGCCGCGAGGACACCTGGTCGTCGCCGTCCTCGCCAACAGCGCCGATCACCTCCTCCTGCGGACTGGCTGCCTCGACTTCCTTCTCCCGTCGCGTCAGTGTCGCCTTGAGCGCCGTCGCCTTTTCCTCCATCATGCACAGACCCGCCAAGTGATGACACACGCCTTCCAGCTGCTGCACGGCCGTCTGGGCCGCATCGCGTGCCGCACGCGCTTCCCCCTGTGCCGCGGTGTTCTGCTCCATCTGCACCACCAGCGACTTCAGCTCCTCCTCCAGCACGGGGATGCGACTCCGATGCTGACGCACCGACACGACCACACCCTGCAGCTTCTCCAGGCGTTGATAGGCCTCCTGGGCGGTGTCCGCTGCGCCTCGCACGGCCGCCAGCGCCTGCGGCGTAGCGCGCTGCTTGTCCGCGTTGATTTCCAGAAACTTCTGCCGAACGTCGTGGTCAGCGAAGGGCCGCTCGCACACGGCGCACTTGTTCTCCGACATGGCGACGCTCATGAAGTCGTGGTAGCACGTGACGAGTGCCTCCATCGCGTGCCACTTCTGCGTCGACGACTCCGCCGCCTCTCTTGCCTGCCGCAGGTATTCCTCGTACGTGTCCAAGTCCGTCACCGAGTTAACGCACTGCGCTAGCCCGTCGGAGACCTCTCGTTGGCATTGAACCAGCTCTTCTGACAAGTATGCGGACTTTTGCTCCTGCGTCGCACGTGCCTTCTGCAACTCAAACACGCGGCTCTGCAGGGCCTGGAGTTCATTTGCCTTCGCCTGATGCACCTGCGTAGCCTGCGAGCGCAGCGACAGCAGCACCGAGGGCGAAAAAGCATCCGTGGCTACTACAGGCGCCTGCACGCCGACAGCGCGGAGAAGCGGCAGCACGTCATTCTGCAACGCTGCAGCGACCGATACGTTCGACTCCTCCACCTGCCGGCGAAGGTGCTCCGCCTCCTGCTCGCTTCGCTCCCGCTGCTTCTGCCGCATCATCTCCTCTCGCAGCGTCGCCACGGCGATGTTCTGCTCCTCCAGCTCCTTTAAAATGGCTTGGCTGCGCTGCTCGGTGGTGTCTTTCCTGCGCAGCTCCTCGGCGGCGGCCACGCGCTGCTGCAGCTCTTCGATCTCAGCCTGAAGCTGTCGCAGCTGGACGCGACGCGAGTCACCGCCGAGGCCGGCGATGGCGCGGGCGTTGTCCTTCACGCGCTGCCGCACCGCGTCGAGGCTCTGCTGCCGCATCTGTGTCTCGGTGAGGTTGCCGTCCAATAAGCGAAGGCCACTTTGCACCTCGCTCTCCTCTGCGCGGATGCTCTGCTGAAGACCGGCGGTGGCGCTCCGCAGCTGCTGCCGTGCCGCCGCTGCGTCCGATTCTGCCTTCCGCAGTAGCCGCTGCAGGCTGCGCTCATCGACATCGTTTTCGCCGAGGACATACTCACTCGACAACTCGCTCAGAAGCTCGCGCAATCGGGCCACGCTCAGCTTGTGCTGCTGATCGTCGCGCTCGAGCAGCTGAATGTTGGAGCGCGTTCGATACAACTCCTCCTCTTGCGTGCGTCGTGTCTGGGCGACAGCGTCGTGCCGCTTCGTGTTCTGCGCGAGCTCCTCCTCCACATGCTGTATCTGTGCGCCGAAGTTGGAGCGCATCTCCTGCATCGTCTCCAGTGTTTGAGTGCTGAGGGGCAGATCGGCTCGACGCACCGCCTCCCGCCGTTCCTCCAGCCGCGCCTGCGTCACGGCCACCTCGCGCTGCATCGACTCGATCTGGTCCTCGACGCTGCGCAGTTGGGTAAGTGCCTGGCGCAACTCCTGCAGTTCGGGCTCGATGCCCGTGCTCCGGCCCTGGATGGCGCGGATGACGCTGTCTTTTTGGTCGATCTGCTGCTGGAGCTGCTTTGCCTGCTCGCGGTGTTCGCGCAGCGCCATCAAACTCGCCTCGTGCTCCTTCAACTGGCGGCGGAACTCTTTGCTGTTATCGCGCAGACGGTCCAGTGCAAGCACGTAGCGCGTGGCGGCGAAGATGTCGTCAAAAATGCGTTTCACGTCCTTCGGTGGTCCCAGGGGCCAGTTGCAGTCCTCCTGGTGGCAGAAGATCACGTGCGCCAGCACCGCCGAGGACACCCCCAGCATCTCCGGCACGACTCGGTCCACGTCACTGGCGCGGTAGGTGCTCGAGATCACCTCGCCCGTCGCCGCATCTTGGAAGGCGACCGTGTTGTCGAGAGTGGTGAAGGTGACACGGTTGCTGGAGCGGGTGGCCTGGAAGGAGCGGATGACCTGCATGAGCTTGCCGCCTTTACCCGTAAAGATGAGGCGAATCTGCGCCTTCACCTCCGTCTCACCCACCACCTTTGGATCGTACACGAAGGAGCCTTTTTCGGTGCCGCTCCCGGGTGGCATCGCACCCGTGCAGGCGTTCAGCAGTGCCTCGATAATCGTTGTCTTACCAGCGCCGTTTTTGCCCAAAATGACGGTGAGAGGCTTCTGGAATTGAATAAACTGCTGATTTGCAGGGTTGGGGTCGAAGCTGCGGACACCGCAGATCTGAATCTTCTCAATGCTGGTCATGGTGCAAAACAGAAGAATGCTAGCAGGTGATAGCAAATAATTAAAAAAAAAACGGTGCTCTATTTATGGTTTATTGCTGTGTGTGTGTGTGTGTGTGTGTGCAGCAGTGGGGATCGGGGGAAAGCGGGAGGAAGTGTGAAGAACGCGTTGAGAATCGAAGTGTTTGCGTCACCTTCCGTATGGCCAGGTGCAGTGCTCAACAGCAGATGGAGAGGAATTACCAGTCTGAGAATGTGTTTACCGAAACGTGCGTATGTGTGGCGCTTCTATGGTTTCGTTTTCTCTTTACTTTCTAAGACAGCGGAAGTGACGCCTGCATAGTAACCGCACCTTGCCGTGAGTATTTGTCTCGTCACGTAGGAGGGGGAGGGGGGAGGGAGGAAATACAAAGAGGAGTGAAAAGGGCGGGTACAGTAGAAGAAATGCGCCTCGTGCGTTAAGCGGAGAACGACGAAACCTCCGCGGGAATAGAGATGAGGCTTGCTTTCCGTTACGCATTCGAGAGGAGAAAGAAAGCACATTTGGCGCTCACCCTGCGATGTGAGTTACCATATTAAGGTGGCGCAGAACAGCCGCTTTCACGCAGGCACGAACACCACACACAGGCCGTGTGCTCCACTGCACATGAAATGATGTGCGGCATTGCCATTGCACAGACGGGGGATACCGCATTCAGGCTTCTATTATTATTATTTTGGCGTTTTTTTTGTTTTGACGAAAATGATAAAAAGGAAAAAGAGAAAGAAAGAGATGTCAACGGCAGAATGAAATACAAGGCGCGACTTCTTCACAACGCTAAAGGCAAAGAAACCGTCTCTGTCAACTTCACCTCGATGCACTGCGCTACGCGTGATCCGGCCGAGCCGGGACTTCAGCATTCAAACGTTGACCCGACAAGGGCAAAAGAAAGGTAAGAAAAAGAGAAGGCAGATAAAGAGGCATCAAGTGCTTTTAAAGGGGTTCGAGGGTAATCTCCCAAACCTTCGCACGATGCGCATAACGGTTGCCATCTTATCTCTCCGCTCTTAGTTCTTCTTTCCGGCCGGACGGTAGGGCACCTTCTTCGTGTAGCGCGTCTTGCGGTCCCCCACGGGGCGGGCACGCACGGTGCGGCTGTGGATGGCGCACGCGATGCAGAAGCGCTGCTTCATGTACAGCTTCGGCATGGGGAAGTTCGCGCCGTACACCGGGGACGCCTCCGCCACATCGCGGGCAGAAGCGGCATCCAACATGCGGCGCACCACGAAGCGGCCGACCGCCTTGTCCTTGGGCGTCAGGCGACCGCAGTTGAAGCAGTGGACCGGCTTGACGCGGCCGCGGCTGTGCGGGGGCTTCGAACGTCCGTGATTGCGGCGCTTGGTCGTCATTTTATTCGCCCGTATTTATTCCTCTGTGTTGGAACGATGACGCGGGCAGTAGCGTTTTGTAAGCGCACGTGCGGGCACGATATAAGAAATGAACAAAAGGAGAGAAGAACATGGCGAGGGGCAGAGGACGGAATGGAAGAAATGTAAGGCGTGGAGTATTGGAACTTCTCAGTGCCAAGCGACGGCACGAGTGCCGAATGACGACAGAGCGTTTTTTGGCAGTAACAAAAAACAACAACACAAGCACCAACTTAGAAAGGCTGTCATTGAAGTTTGCGGCCAGATGTTGCAAGCAGTTAACACCGTCTTCGTTTCACGCAAGTGGTAGCGTTCTAAAAGCGCACAAAAATGGGTCATGTTTTTTCTTGTTTCTCTTCACCTTCAACTCATCACCAAAAAAGAAAAGAGAGCCGCGTGTCGATAGACGCAATCGCTTCCTGTCTCCTCGTAAAATAAGAACAGAAGCACCGAGAGCAAAACGCCTCCTTCTTTTTATTCTCAGAGAAATGCATCGTTTCATGCGTATGGTCCGCAAACCCTCTGCTTGAAAAACAGGATTCTCTTTTTCCCTTTTTGTTCCTCCTTCAAAGATTCCGTCAGCTGCCGCGTTCATGACACCGAAGAGGACAGCGAGCAGTTTTTGCTGCGCTTGACGCCCGAGGCAGGGAGGACGCCTTGAAGAAGTAGAAGAATGTTTTCGTATCGTTAATGGTAAAGCATCGATACAGCTGTAAAGGTAAAAGCACACACACACACACACACACATACCAAAAACAAAAGGGCAAGCACGGAAACGAAGACGTAAATAGAAGCCGTGCAGCTGACGATGCGCCGGAACTGTACAAATGCGGGAGGGAAAGGGAAACAGACGAACTTCGTTTACTTCATTCATCGAGTGTCTACATGTGTATAAATGAGGAGGGGAACAATAACGCATTCAGGCTCGTCCAGAGAAAACAAAACGGAGACGCATACGCAGAAAACAATGGTACAAATAGGAGGCAAAGCACCGCGGGAAAAGATATCAAAAGTAAAGGAAAAGAGCAGGTCATTTCGCTTCCTCCGCTATGCTAGTCACGTGCATCGCCGACGCCATCGTCGTAAATGCCAAAGATGGCTTCGGCCTCCGCAAGACAGGGCGAGTCGTACACTTTAATAATGCGCTGCTCGCCGCGGCCTTTGCGCAGGCTCAACCGGGTCGTCGAGGCATGCGCCATGATGTGTCCCCCAATCGGCTTCTTCGCATCCGCCTGAAACATCTGCGCCGAGCCGTCGACGTTCGCGACCACCTGGTTGGTCACCACCACCGCCACACCGTACTCCTCGGCGAGGTTGTGCAGGGAGCGAAGAAACTTGCCCAGGTGCATCTGACGGGCGGCGAGCTCGTTGCGTCCGCTGTAGTCGGTGCGGTAGAGCGCAGTGGCGGAGTCGACGATGATGAGAGCGAAGCGGTTTTCTGCCATCATGGCGGAGGCCTGAAGCAGCAGCTGCTGCTGGTGGTCCGTGTTGAAGGCACGCGCACACGCCACGTTGGCCAGCACGTCCTCCGGGTCCAGCTTGTAGCGCTCCGCCACCGCCACCAGACGTTCTGGTCTGAAGGTGCCCTCCGTGTCAATGTAGAGGGCCATGCCTTCCGCACCGCCCTGCGAGATGGGGAGTTGGCACGTGACGCAGAGGGTGTGGCACAGCTGCGTCTTGCCGGTGCGGAACTCGCCAAAGAGCTCTGTAATGCTGCCCGTCTCCACCCCGCCGCCCAGCAACTTGTCCACTTCCTTGCTGCCGGTCGTCACCATGATGATCTCCTTCCGCGCTTCGTGGTAGGCGACGGCGGAGGTGAAGCCCATGGGCACCAGCTTCGCGCACTCCGCCATGATCTTCTCCGCCTTGTTCTCGCTGATGCCCTTTACCGCCAGAATGGCCTTCTTCGGTGCGTAGGCGATGGACTCGACGGTGTAAAAGCCGTACTCCATGAACTTCTTGATGTCGGAGCTGGCGACGCCGTAGTTCTCCAGAATTTGCACGACACGGAAGCCGCCGGCGTTGGGGTCAGCGACCTCTGCCCCTGCCTGCTGCCGCTGCTTCTCCTGTTGCTGCTCTTCTTCGTTTTCCATCCCTGGCTGGCTCTCCACCACCTCCACCTCCTCCGGCTGTGCGGCGGGGCGACCACGTCGAGTCTTGGCCTTGGAACGGGTCTGCATGGTTGACGCGTAGAGAAGGGAGTTCTTTTTTTCCTTTTGAAGAAGATGAGAGAGGAAGAAATACACGTTTGTTTGCACCTTATACCCGTAAAACAAGGGTAGTGCTAAAATATATATAGAGAGAGAGAGGGAAGAAAAGGCTAGAGAAGAAAAAGGCTAAATTATCTAAGATGAGTGAAGAAAGACTTCTTCGCGGTAAAGCAGAGGAGAAACAAGGCGACAGGCGCGCAGAGAACGAACCATCAAAGAGCAGAATTGGAGTGTGTCGAGTGATGTAAAGATCTGAAAAATATAAAGCATATATGAATATGAAATAGTAACGTCGTTGCCTCTAATAATAACAGTGAAGATTGTTGTTGTTGCTGGTGGCGTAGCGTGCTTGATTGTTTGTTTCTTTTGATTTCAAGCTGTGAATCCTTTAGTGTTCGCTTTTCTTGTCGCCCGTGACGACAGAATCCAGAGTGAAAGTTTTATGTAGTGCTGTTGAGTGGTGCTTCTATTTTGCTCTTCTTGGAGTAGTGGTGGTGGTGGGTAATTGCGCTTCAATGGCGGGAGGTATTTCAGCAAGATGCAGTGTATTTCGGCGAGGGAGTTGTGTTCAGAAGGAACGTCAAATGCGTGCCTGAGGATGCTTCAAAGCATATATATATATATATATATATCTTTTATTTTTTAGGTGGGCACCAGTGTGCGGTAGAAGTGGTTTCGACGCCGAAGTATACCACTCAATATCGGCATTTGAGATACGAAAGAAAGTCATACGGAGCATTGAGAGGGATGAGAGAAGGCGTGAGAAGCAAAACCAAAACAAAAGGCGAAAGTAAAAATTGTGTCATCCGTACTTTTGTAAAGTGAAAACGACAATAATATTAAAAATAACGAAAGTAGGAAGGACGAGCGTACCGCGCTCGTGCGGCGACGCTATCGGGGTGCAAAGAGCTCAGTCGACCCTCCCGCTTTTTTTCTGAACATGAGACCATTTGTGATGCGCGCTGGATATTCACGGTTGTCCCAAACCGTCTCGGTCGCCACTTTCTTCTTTCGCCAACATAACTTGAATAGTTGCTAACAGATATCTTATATATCGCGTTCTTTTCGCAGGTGGAATTTATCAGAAAAAACCGTTTCTTTAATTCTTTGGCACATATGTAGATGCTTTCCCTTTTTCTCTTTGAGAAAAAATCTCCGCGGCTAGTAAAACGGTTTTAAAGAACAGATTCGGTTCGTAAAACGCGCTTCGCGGCATTATTAACGCTTAATTTCATTGTGCAAAACGGGGCTTTTAGTTGTTTTAAAGAAACGATCGTCAGCCGCTAAGCGGACTTGAATCAGCTGCGAATACCTTCACCTCAGCAAGCGAAGAGAAATAAGGCTGTAAAATTGAGTCGCTTATCTATTTTCATTAAAAGTTTGTTTTTCTGGTTAGGCATGTTTACTACAAATCAGAAGAACATCAAAAGAAAACAAAATAAAAACTGCCGCCGATTCGGCGGGCAACACAGCCGACACAGGGGAGGCAGACGTGTTTTTCCTTTTTGGGTTTCACCGGATGTCGGCCTTTGCTTATTCTTTGCTCTCTCCGGGACGGCATTGTTTAACAGGAAAAGGAAGACGTTACATGTATTGAGGAGAGAAAAGGTCGCCGTAAAATAGAACATATATATAGATCAGAAAAATAATTATGGCCAGTAACGCTAAGAAAAGGAGCTCTTGCACTGTTTTGCTTGAACTAAAGTGATTCGTAATGCAAAAAAAAAATTCCTGTCCATTTTTTCTCCTTTTATGGTTGAATGTGAATTTGGCTCATCTTCTGAACGCAAAATCTGCTTCTGTCCCTGTTGGCAAAGGTAGCACAGCATTAAGATGCCGCGCTTTACGCAGACACCAACCACAAAAGGACAAAACAGAGATAAGAGGCTTCCACGTCCTCCCCTTGCCCGTCCACGCGTGTGTGTTAGAAAGCTGCTAAAAAAAAGAACAGAAAACGCAACGCGTCCTCGACGGAGATAATAGGAGTCAGCTCAGCGAAGCGCCGCCTCGAAGGGTCAAGTTTTGGCACGCTCGTGTGTGTCGCACAGAAGAGAAACGAAGATACAGAGAGAAGAGTGCGACGTGCGCCGTTAAAGGAAAAGACAAAGCCACAGGTACGACCCAAGGCGTTGGCGCAGCCTAGAGCGCCTGCGTCACCACGATCAGACTGACCACGGAGCCAAAGGTCATGCCGATAAGCAGGGCAAAGCACAGGCACGCGCCAGCGATACCGCGCTCCTTCGGCGTCAGTCGCGGGTCGCTGCTGCCGTACGCCATCGTCAGACCGATCAGGTAGCCCTTTGTGATGCCAAGCACCAGAAACATGACAATCGGGTTCGCATTCGAGTCTATCACCTTCGGGGTGCACACGCCCAGCGCGAGCGGGATCACGCAGACGATCGTACGAACCACCACAATGAACGGCACCCACGAGCGAGGAGCCCACACGCAGTGGAAGTTAATCGACAGACGGCCAATCGCATCGCCGACATTGAACATCAGAACCACAATCATCGGCATCATCGCCTCCGAACCCCACGTCGTGCCATCACCGTGCGTCGTGGTCGGTTTCTTGGACACGTGCATCGCTTTCAGTCCAATGCCGGGGAAGAGCACCATCGTCGTGAACAAATCGGCAATCAGGCAGACCATCATCACCCAGATCTTCCGCACCACGACAATCACGCTCGTCTGGCCTTCCTCCTCCTCCGCCGCGGTCGCCTCCGCACTGTCGGGGGAGGTGACGCAGCTGCTGTCGCTCCCCGACCTTGCGGGCTCGCCATTGTCCCCCACTGCGACCTCCGCGACTCCCTGCAGGGGAGCCACCGTGTTTTGATTCGACTTCTCGATGCCTTCCGCTCCCGCAATGGGCTCCTGTACAACAGGTGTGCCCACGTTGTCGGCGTCCAGACGCAGCCGCCGCAAGCGCGTCTCCTCGGCCGCCTGATCCGCCTCCGTGTGGGCGCAGCGCGCCACATCCTCGGGACGGCGGTAGTCCGGAACGTACGAGCGCACAAACGGGCTCAGACGCAGCAGGAGCACGATGGCGATGGTCAGCACCATCAGCGCCATGCCGATAGTGAAGAAGATCACCGCACTCGCCTTCACACCGCTGAACGTCGGGGGCAAACCGACGGAAATGACGATACGAAGAACGGAAGTGATGGCGCCAGAGATACCGCCTCCCGTCACGAAGCTCGTCATGTACCGCGTGGGCAGCGCTCCATAGAAAGCGTACAACGACGACTCAAGTGCGGAAGTGGCTGCACCGCACAGCAGGCACGCGATGATCAGGACAGCCATCGCGGAGCCCTCGCTCACGCCACCGCTGGCAGCGGTCACGGGCACCAGCAGCACGGAGACCAGCGAGAAAAAGGCACCGATGATCATACGAGTCTGCACATTTTGGCGAAGCACCCAAGGCGAGAGCATTGCGAACTGCATCAAAAACATGGGCACCATCATCAGCACGGTCACCCAGGTTGAGATGTTGTTCCAGAAAGACGGCGTCTTGGCATCCGGAAGCGTGCTGACATTGTCGTTGGACTTGACAGCTGCGAACTGGAAGTAATGCTCCAGGTAGGAGGGCGAAGAGAGGAAGGAGTTGTAGGCAAACAGGCAGCAAAACCCAAGAATGATCGATGCCGTGTGCATCATAACAACTTCAAAGGTCACCGCCATTTTCTTCCCGTTTTGCAAGGTGCTGTGTTTTGTTTCCCCACTTGAATAGACAGAGCGCACCCCCTTTTCACAGAAGGGTGCGCCTTTGGAGAGTTGATGATAAAAAGGCTGATATCTTTGAGATTCTCAAAGAGGTTAAAAAGCTTTTCTTGAGGGAGAAAAGCGCGGCCTCCAAGATATCATCTGTGTACTTACTGCGCTCAACAAAAACGACGGCAAATTTGGCTTTGCTCAGTCTCGAATCTCCACGTAGAAGTCAACGACCAGCAAAGTAGTATCGCAGTGGCCAACGGTTAGGTAAGAGCGTAGATAAAGCAGATCGTATCAGAATAGGTCGCACCAACGGCTCACTGAAAACTCAGAAGGCAAATGTGTATATTTGCTTTTTTAGTTTTGATTTCTCACGAAGACAGTCAAGTTAGATAAGAAAAAGGAGAAGACAAAACACCTATTGTCACCCGGTTGTAGCGCTTCTTTCTGTTTTTTTAATAAAGGAGTACCGCTCCTTATCGTGTTTTTCTTCACTAACAGGGGTTTTTGTTTTGTTACCGCGAGTCTCACGTTGCCCACTCAACGAACAACGAGATGTGGAAACGAAAAGTACGGAAAATAATGATAATAACTTTAGGGTAATGTGGGAGAGGAATACCTGATCGCAAATGAAGACTAATGAAAAGCAACGAGTGCTTGTTTTTTTTTAATTATTATTCGCCTGTGCGGTTGCAGAAAACAGCTAAGAAATAAGGATATAATGGTCTTTGTAGTTGAAACCGTCGAAGAAGGTAATTCAAAGTTTTGAAAAAAAAAATAATATGGGAGAAGAAATGAAGAAGTGGCTTGGACAAATGCGAAAATAGAGATCAAACGTTAAATGGGGTGCTACACAGCCCTTTTCGTTGTCTTTGCTTGCTTGCATTCCTGAAAGCCACCTGCTGTCATTACGATTCGCCATGCGCACGCAATAGGCGATTCCACACCAGCTAAATCATTCCCTCTGTTGCTGAGAATAGGCTGCAACCAGAAGAGAAAGAAATGCACGAGAGACCGTCGCGTCGGGGAGGCGCTGTGCGCACCACCGACAAAACTTCCAAGTAAAGCGTGAGGCACACAACCCCTCCGAGTTTTTGTTTCTGTATGACGAGCGATTGCCTCCAAGTGCGTTGCAATTGTTTTTTCTTTCTTTAGGGGATCCTTCCTTGTCGCTACTTTACCTTTTTCCCAGTAACGATCTTGGGGGTTTATTTGCAGATGACTTTTGTTCCTTCAACGCCTCCATTTCCTGCGCGCAATAACAACTCAGGAAGAAAAAGAAAAAGAAGGAGTAAGAAGACAGTGGAGCAATGCGATGCATTGCGGTCTTTACGGCAGACGGAGTTGGCGCCAACTAGCAGTGAAACGGGGGAGAGAGTGAGGAACCAAAGACACTTGAAAGAAGTATCAGTGACAGCCTTTAAGCACAAGTGTTTTACAAACACACAAAAAACAATCAAACGAGTAAAGAAGAAAGAAGTTATGTTTTAAAAAAAGGGTGAACTCATTCACAGAAAAGCAACGTCGATTCTAACCTAGGACTAGCAACCCACACGTTCCCAACTCTAGACCAGGCACGACGATAGAGCGAAACACATCGTTCGATTCCGTTTACAATTAATCATAAACACCTCTTTAGAAAAATGCGAATAATCAAAACCCTCCTCGTGCGATGCTGATGCGCCACAACGGCAGGGGAAGTGTTGTACACTCCCGCGCTCAGTAGAGTAACATTCTGTATAGTGTGAGGTACTCGTCGGAGCCGTAACGTGTAGACAGCGGGCCGTGAGACCCACGGTGAACAACGACCACACATACGTCATGAAAAACAGTACGAGAGAGAAAACAAAAATGAGCCAGAGAGAAGAGAAAACACTGAATTCAAACAGGGGAAAAGAACGATGCGAACAGAAAACCCTGAGGGATGATTTGAACTTTTGTTGGTAGCCTCCATGGCGACGAAAACAGGAAAGGCGTTGTCGAAGCCTAAAACGCCTGCGTCACCACGATCAGACTGACCACGGAGCCAAAAGTGGTACCCACAAGCAGGGCAAAGCACAGGCACGCGCCAGCGATACCGCGCTCCTTCGGCGTCAGTCGCGGGTCGCTGCTGCCGTACGCCATCGTCAGACCGACCAGATAACCGCCCGTGATGCCAAGCACCAGAAACACAACAATCGGGTTCGCATTCGAGTTGATCACCTTCGGGGTGCACACGCCCAGCGCGAGCGGGATCACGCAGACGATCGTACGAATCACCACAACGAACGGCACGATAAACCGAGGAACCCAAATCGTACGGAAGTTAATCGACAGACGGCCAATCGTATCGCCGACATTGAACATCAGAATAATGATCATCGGCATGATTGCCTCCGCACCCCATGTCTTCTCATCACCGCTCGACGAGCTCGACGACTTATTGGACACTTGCATCGCGTTCAGACCAATGCCGGGGAAGAGCACCAGCGTCGTGAACATGTTGCCAGTCAGGCAGATCATCATCACCCAGATCTTGCGAATCACGGCAATCACGCTCGCCTGATGTTCCTCCTCCTCCGCCGCGGTCGCCTCCGCGTTCGCGGGAGAAATCACACGGTTGCTGTCGCTCCCCGACCCAGCCGGCTCGCCGTTGTCCCCCACTGCGACCTCTGGGAGACCCTGCGAATCAGCCATGGCATCCTGATGCGTCTTCTCGATGCCCGCCGTTGTCATCATCGTCTCCTCGGCGTTCATGGGGGTCTCATGAGCACCGGATGTGCCCACGTTGTCGGCGTCCAAACTCAGCTCGTGCAAGCGCAACTTCTCGGCCGCTTCGGTGTGGGCGCAGCGCGCCACATCCTCGGGACGGCGGTAGTCCGGAACGTACGAGCGCACAAACGGGCTCAGACGCAACAGGAGCACGATGGCGATGGTCAGCGCCATCAGCGCCATGCCGATAGTGAAGAAGATCACCGCACTTGTCTTCACACCGCTGAAGGTCGGGGGCAAACCGACAGTAATCACAATGCGAATAACGGAGTTGATACTGCCAGAGAAGCCGCCTCCCATCACGAAGCCCGTCATGTACCGCGTGGGCAGCGATCCGAAGAAGGCGTACAACGCCGATTCGAGCGTAGTGGTGGCTGCACCGCACAGCAGGCACGCGATGATCAGGACAGCCATCGCGGAGCCCTCGCTCACGCCACCGCTGGCAGCGGTCACGGGCACCAGCAGCACGGAGACCAGCGAGAAAAAGGCACCGATGATCATACGAATCTGCACATTTTGGCGAAGCACCCAAGGCGAGAGCATTGCGAACTGCATCAAAAACATGGGCACCATCATCAGCACGGTCACCCAGGTTGAGATGTTGTTCCAGAAAGACGGCGTCTTGGCATCCGGAAGCGTGCTGACATCGTTGGTGTACTTGACAGCCGCGAACTGGAAGTAATGCTCCAGGTAGGAGGGCGAAGAGAGGAAGGAGTTGTAGGCAAACAGGCAGCAAAAGCCAAAAATGGCTGCTGCCGTGTACAGGAGAATATTTTCAAGGGTCACCGCCATTTTTTCCCCGTTTTGCAAGGTGTTGTAATGTATTTTCGTTCTTGAAGATGCAATACACGGAAGCTAAATATCCTGCCTGCGCTTCTGTTGGTACGCCAGTTCTACGAGAACAGAAGTGAAAAAGGGATCTCTCTCTTAGTAGCTACTGTCTGTTGAAAACAAGTAGAAAACAAAAAGAGAAAGAGAAGAAAAAAAGATCACGTTTTACTGAACCGTTCGAAGCCGAAAGAACGATGTTACTTTGTGTGTTGCTGTGGTGCAAAGTTTTCTGCTGCTCGAGTTCAAGCTTTACTGAGGAGAGAAGAGGATTGTGATGTCCACAGTCTGAAACGAAAAGAGAGCGGCGTAGTTTCTGTTTTATGTTTTCCTTTCTTTATGGCGTCTTTCTTTTCCCTCTCAAGAAGAAAAAGGTCGGTGTGGGTAAACGGAGCGGTTAAAAAAAGAGAAACTTCGCTGCTCGATCGCAATGAAAAGAATCGGGCACAAATCGAGAGGAGAAAAAGGAAAGTAGGAAAACCAAAAAAAGGAAAACAAGAAGAATTAATTGTCGAAAACACTTTTATTTTTTGAATAAGATATTAAATAAGTGATGTCTTGGTAGTGTGATTCAAAATCGTAGATGTTAAAGAAATCTGTGATGTTGGGTGAAACAGTAACAAGAGAGACAGTTTTCCTAAATATTGTTATTTGTTTTGTTTTTTTGAGGGAAGGTGTGTTTAGGAGGAACGAAGACAATAATAATAATTTAAAAAAAAAAACGTTTTGTTATTGTGAATGAGGTCACCGAAATGGTTTGCAGACCCAATTTACTGTTCACGTCAGACAAGATCTAATGTAGGAGCTGAAAGTAGGTAAGAGTTTTCAGTACAAAACGAATGTGGAAATTCTTAGTCACGTGAGGCGTGTTAGGCTTAGGTGTCAAGGAAAACCGCACGTTTGATGCATATATTTCTGTCTTACACTTTCTGAGAGAGACTGGGCACAACAAAGTTTTTGTTGATCAACACAGTATCGATCTTGAAAAGGGTTAAAAGAAGCGTGGAGTTTTTTCGAGGGGATAATTAATGATTAGAAGACGTTTGATACAAGAGCTATTTCACAGTAAAAACAAAGGAAAACGTAGTTAAGACGAAGAGAAAAACCGTAGTTTGAAAACTGTTGGCGAGGGTAACGACCGTAAGCACGCGAATGGTTCGAAGAACAGCAGAGCGGAGAGGAGCAGGGAGAGTCGCGGAAAACACTTTTCATGCGGCAGGAGCCGAACGAATTGCCCTTTTTAGCGGTTGCTGTAGTCATTCGGAGAGAGCACCAACCGGTAAAACTGTTCTTTCGTGTTGTTTTTTTTTTTGAAAAAGCGACCACAACACTTTGGGAAAAGCCAACGTAGCCGCATGCTCATCATTCTCTTCTCAAACGCCATTCACACGCGAGAAAAGCGACTTCCAAACAGGTTTTTGAGGGATGTTGGTTTGTTGGTTTCTTGCTTTAACTTCAGTGCGCGTTCCATTTTCTTTTTTTTTTTAGTTTCTGTTGTTGTTGATGCGGAATAGATATCCTACATGCTGGTCTATCCGTAAGAGTGAAGGCGGTGTTGTCAGCGGCGTTAACGACACAGTTTACCACGCAGGAGAAGAAACATAATGGCGAATGAGAGGATGAGAACAATCTCTTCCGTTCTTAGGAGTGGTGGCCGTAATGACAGCAGGAGAGAAGAAAAACTTTTTTGAGGAGTGTCTTTTGGTTACTGTTTTGATTTGTTCTAACGTCTTCACCAGGCCACGTTCACGTACAGCTTTGCCGTGTCACACTGTTTTGGCACTTCCCTTGGTTTTTGCAGTTCAGCAAAAACAGCTAACGGGGAAACTGCGTGAATCGCTCACAACAGCAGCAGCTTCGTTTTGTCCAGTACACGCCTGCGGCAGCGTCCGTGCGAGTGCACAACGGAGCTTCCCTTTGGTTTGCAAAATAGCGAAAACGAAAGAAAAGCTTGAGAAGAGCAGGAGGAGGACGCGCGACACAACGAGACTCCAACTTGTGTCTTCATGAGTGTGAAAAGAGTAAGAGCACATTGATAAAAAAAGGGTTTCGACTTTTAAAAAATGATTTTTGAGAGAGAGGTGTTTACAGGCCGAGCCTCTCGTCCACTCGCAGCGGCCCAGCTGGACGTCGACATCATCCAGGTGTACTGCAACACGAAGTCGTATCGCTTTACCTTCGTACGCGGGTCAGTGCAGCGTAAAACTGGCCACATGTCTTGCACTTCCCACCAGACGCGCATTTCATGGCACACGCTTTGCAGAAACACAGGTGATGGCAACTCTCCGTCTCGAACTCAATCGGCTTCAGGTGGCACTTCAGACATATCGTTTCGTGTGGCGGATCGCTCCCTGAGTCAGAAGATGAAGAAGACATGCCGGAATGGGAAATCGGCAAAGAGTGTTCGCTTAACGGTTTGGAACTGAAAACGGCAAATGGGAAACCTTGTGTGTGTGTGTGTGTGACCACCAAATTCAACAGCAGTTGATACATAGATGAACACACACAGTACGTTTAGAAGTGGGAGAGAGAGAGACGGTTTGCGAGAGGAATTGCCGAAAGGCAAAAAGCAAACGGGACGCCAACGGCCCCATTTAGGGGCGAGCCCACGCCTCCCACGATACGCGAATACCGCCCGTTGTGCGATGAGAGTGGGCCGTTCTTTTACTTTTTGTTTCTCATAGCGTGCTCAATCGCTGATGAAAGCAGACTGGCGCAGCGCTCACTCCGAGACACCGATGAAACTTCAAAAAAAAAAAAGCAACGACTCGAGAAGCACGGTGGCGACAGATACAACGGAAGTCAAAAAGTCGAAGAAGCAAACGGAAATACACAAGACAAAACATACACACGAACCGATGTCGAATTCGCTGATATATATATGTTTCAAATGCATTATATTTCTTGCTAGAGAAGTGAGATCTAAACTAGAAGAAAGCAGCGGCCAAGTCAACGTTGCACGTGCGTATGATTGTGTCAGTTTGCCGCACACTGCGCACGGTACGAGATACGCTTGAGGTCTAGCATGTGCATCGCCTTGGACTGGGACTTGTACTGCTCCAGTAGATCTTGGAAAGAGCCTTTGTCCGTCTTGTACGCGTCAAGGGCTTTCTTTCCTATTGTCATGCAGTCGCCATTCATCTTACGCACGTCCATCTCCAGCGTGCGGATGAGTGCCTCTGGCGTGCAAACGGACGTCAGCAGCGGGTTCTGCCCCAGTCGCTGCAGCTGCGAGACCTGGTCGCTCAGCTGGTGCTGCATCGCCTCCACCTTCTTCTCCAGCGTCTCCACCTCGCTGCGCAGAAGCGTATTTTCATTCGCCACCCGCTCAATCACGCCGATTGTCTGGCTGCTCGCCTCGCGCATCTGCTTCACGATGGGCAGCTGGTAGCAGTACGCGTCCAGGCAGTTGGGATTGCTGACCAAGTCGCTCAGGAGACGATCCGTCTCGCCGCTCAGCTGCAGTGTGACGCTGCGCATGCTGGGCGGCTCCACCGTGCCCCACCGATCCGCGGCGTTCTGGAAGGCGTTGCGGACTGCCTCGACGAGGGTAGAGGCGTTGCTCTCCCATTGGTAGGCCTGCGCCTCAGACGGGTTGATATTGGGCGGTGTAATCGGGACACTGTGGCAGCAGTACGGCATCGTCGCTTTCGGCTCCGACTTGGGGAAGGAGGATGGGAGGGAGACGAAGAGGGACAGCGCGTACTCGGTTGTTGGGCTGATGCGCAGGACGTGGTCTACCTTCAGCACCGTCTCTTGCGCCGACTCCGTCACCACCGTCGTGGAGGGGAATTGCTTGCGCAGCTCCGCGAGCTGCGCTGCACGGTCCTGAGGCATGATGAAAAGGAGATGTAAAGAAAAAAAAGATAAGCAACTGAGAAAAGAAAGAAAGAAAGCGAAGCAACGATCCGCAAACGGCCAATTGTGATGCACGACAGTGAGATAATCAACAACACCAAAAAGGCCTAGACTTGTTGGGATCATCAAAGTTGACGTGTGTGATATCAAGGCGAGTGTGCACGCAAGAAGAGGACGCAACACAACGGGAAGGCCGCAGTTCCAACGAGGAAAAGGAGAAAAAAGGGGAGAAGAAAGCTGCGATGATGAACGCGAAAGTGAAGTCTTCGGACACGGTGCCGTTGCGGGCACGTTAAAAACCATTTTGAGGACGTCAGCGGAAGGCGACCGGTTGACGAAAGTCTGAGTGTTTGGGGCTCCGTTTGGAAAGGAAAGCGCCTCCTCCACGATGCAGACACGGCTGCAATGACCATTGGTCTGCACGGTTGACTGCTGTCCGTCAGAGCTTCGGGCGAGTCGGGAAATAGTAATAACGAGAGATTTAAAGTAAAGTCGCAAAACGAAGATAAAGGGGAAAAAGAGGGAGAAAAAGAAACGGCAAGAATACATCGGGTAAACAAAAGCTAAAAAGTGTATGAAACGAAGGCCTTCAACGTACTTCCTCAACCACTACTTTTCGCCCTACCTCACCCCTTTCCAGAGAAAAGAAGAACAAGTCTGTACAATAGGTGCCCTCTCACCGCAAGTGAAACAAAAGACCGCACTTGTATTGAAGAGTAAAGTCCCGCCATCGGCATTCGGAACAGCCTAGAGGATGAGGCGGTTCTTCTTGCTGCTAGAGGCGGTATGCAGACTGGGCCCGGTCTTCGACGAGTCTACGTTCACCGACACACCGCCCAACACCGGCTGTGGTGGATGCAGCGCGGGAAGCTGTGTCTCACTCGGCGGCTCCCCGCTGTCGCTGGAGAACGGCAACAGAAAGGGAGTGGTCTGTGTCCTTTCCTGCAGTTCATCGCCCACCTCGTCGCCCGCGCGTTTGGGGTTGCGCTGTCCACTCGTGAGGGGCGTTGTGTTGGCGCCGGCGTCGCGCGTGCCCAGCAATTTGGCGGCGGAGACGGCCCCGCGCGTACGACTCCCCCACCGCGGTGCTGACGATGCGGTGGTGTCGTCGCTGACGGAGCGCTGCGGCGTGATGGTGGAAACCTCACTCGCGGTGCAGCCCGACATTGCTGCGGTGGTGCCGCTACCCCGCGAAGACGACGTGGGCACGTGGGGGCTGTCCGCCTGCCTTTGCGTTTCCTGGGGAAGGTTTTGCGGGGAGGCGCGGGGCGTCTCCACGAGCACCTCCGTCTCCACCTCCTCCACGTTGGTGGTGGGGGTGGGCGGCGTTGAGACAGCCACTGCGGTCATCCTTGGAAGCTGCTGCGACGTCCGCTCTTGACTGCACCGGCTCAGCGGTAAGAAACCCGCGTGGGTCAAGTCGCCGCTGACTGAGAGGCTCATCGATGTGGTGGAAAGGCGGCGCTGGTGCGGGACGTTGGCCGCACGCACGTCAGCAGGTGTAGAGTTGTTCTCCACCGGCTGCACCTCTGATGGCCTTTCAGAAAGGTAGCCGGCGCTGATTTTGTGAACAGGCAGAGAAGAGGACGCCACAGGAAGGCGCGGGGAGTCGCCGTGTGGGGTGCGCGAGGTGCCAGAATTGGGAGCGGTGCTGATGCTTAGAGGCTGCAATGCGCTCTTTCCCTTTCCTCCCCCTGACCCTCCTCCTCCGTGGACTCCGCTCGGTGGATCCATTGGGAAGGAGGGCGTTGATGGCTGCGAGATGCTCACGTTTGGTGGCACATGACGCAGCAGGGTAGGGGTCGGCCGCCGGCCAGAGGAAAATGAAAAGGAGGCGCAGGAGAAATGAGACGGCGCCGACGCCGCCGCTGCTGCTGCTGCTGCGACTGTCCCTGGCACAGACCCTTGTTGGGAGAACGACGACGACGTGCCCTCTGTTAACGTGCCCGCCCCCTCGAACCCACCAACGGACGGCTGCGAGGAGGAGCTTCCTTGGGTCATGTGAAGCGCCGCCAGCTTTAACGGTGTTGATGCGTTGCGAGTGGAGCGGAAGTACAGACTGGGCGGCGCGCGATGAGAAAGGGAGTTGGTGCCGCCTTTGGCCGTGGCGGCGGCGGTGGGGAAGTCAAAATCCGCTCGTGGCGGTAGACTCTGCGCTGCTGCCGCGGTTGGTGCTGATGGGCGAGAATCAACCGCAGCCGTAACAGCAGAGAAGGCCTCATCACTGACAGGAAAAGCCGCCAGGACGGGAGGCGGCATCGCCGGGGAGTCCCCAAGGCTGGATGCATCGGACAGCAGCGGTGAACGAGATACGTTTCCGCTGTCGAGGTCCTCCACCACAAGCTCGTCGTCGCTGTCGTCGTCGTCCACCGTCAGCTGCGACACGCCAGCGTCCCTTGGCAGCCCCATGGCGTCAAGCGCAGATGTCGACGTCGAGGAGTCCACCTTATGGCTGACGCTGTCCTGTTCCTCCTCGCCCGTTTCCGCCTCATCCTCGGCCGATGCCTGGTCATCCGCTTTTGCAGACGTCGAGGAGCGCGCGGGCACCATAACTTCTACAGCGCTTGGTGCCTCGACGGGGCCGTCCAGGCTCTCAATTTCTTTTAGGAGAGTCATGCGCTCGCGCGGCTGCAGGGGTTTTACAACGCGGGGTAGCTTGGGAGAAGCGAAGCGTGACTTGTCCGCTGCAGCAAACGGAGGCTTTTTACGGCCCTTTGGTGTTGCGTTCGTCCCCGTCGAACCGTCAACAAGCACCTGACGATGAGCGGGGTGCTTGTGCTGTGTCTGCTTGTCAGATGGGTTGCGCGCAGACACCAGCGCGGCGGCTGCTGCTGCTAGTGAACGATGCTGCGCCCGGCGACGTGACTGTGAGGTGTCTTGTTGTTTCGTGGAGGGCCGCCCCGTGGCAGCGGCGACGGCAAGTTTCGTTGCTTCGGAAGCCGTGTGATGCTGATCTGCACGGGACGCGTGCGCCGTTCTGTTCGTCACCGATTCGTCCCGTGAGGTCGACGGCGTGTGTTGTGGAAGAAGACCCGGTCGCGGCGGCTTCCTTGGGTCTCTGTTGGCTTTCCTCGATGCTTGGTCTTGCTTGTTCTGCTGAGCACGACGCGTGGTGGAGTTGTCCGTGCGCTTGTGCAGGGACTCCTTCGCCACTGTCTGCCTGTCGCCGCCGTTGTTCAGCGCACTCCGCCACAGGAACGTCTCCTCTGCCTCCCTGCCAGGACCCACACCTATCTTGACAAAACCGGTGTTATCGGTCTGTGCCACGGCATGCATTTTGCTCTTATTCGCTGCGCTCGCTAGGTGAAGCTTGGAGGCGGTTGGGGAAAAATGCAAGGAGGTAGAGCCGCGACGCGATCCCGGTTTTGCCCTTTCCACCTCCGCATCGTTCGACAACGTTGGTGTCCTGTCCTCGCCGCTGCGACGCCTCAGCAATGGCGCGAGAGTACTGCTGCCGAGCGCTGCGGTGGCGGCGGTGGGGGAGTGGGTACAGCGGGCACTAAAGGACGCGCCACTGGTGCCACTACCGTCTGCGCTTTCCTCGCTTTGCGTGGATCGACGGCGGGTCAGCATCGACTCCGCGACAGCCCGGCCTTTTCTCGCCTTGAAGAGCAGCGTCGACACGTGACTGCTACCACCTTGCGCGAAGGCGTTGGTGACTTTGGTGGCTGCGGATCCGCTTGCCCCTTCGCTCGCGGCGTGTCGTTGCTGTGGAAGGTTCATCTCTGGAATGGATTGCTGCACCACCGGACGCGGTTGAGGGGAATTGTCGTCGGCGTTGCTCTCGCGGGCGTCGTCCTCCCTCCCCGCTTTTAGTTCATCCGCCACCGACACGGCGACGGTGGACGCGTCTTTTCCGTCGAGCGACGGAAGCGGAGGACCGGGAAGCTGCAGCAGCGTCGCCAACCTCGGCGAGCCGGTGGCGGACTGCCACATCGAGCCGGAGTTCGCGGTAGGCAGCGAAACATCCATCGAAAACTCCGTCACAATCCTGCTTGCCGCGTTGCTTGCGTGTGCCTCCACGTCGACAGCACGAGGCGGTCGACCGGTGTTCTTGCCGAGCTCCGCGTGCTGAGCAACACGGCTGTTCCCATTACTATTTGTTTCGACCGCAGTTCTCGCAAAACTGCCGCGATTGCCGGCGGTTGAAACGGGTGGCATCATCGGCGGTGACAGCGGCGGCAACGGCTCGGCCGAGGCGGTGACGTCAGCCGTGGAGCTCGTTGTCGGTCGAGTAAGGGTCGGTGTCGTCGCTCCCCGCTCCACGCCGTCGTCCTCGTCGCTTGAGATTTCAGTGTTTTGCTCCGTCTCTGAAGCGTCGTGGGGGGCGAAGCGCACATCGTGTTGAAGCGAATCGAAGTACGGATGTGCCAAGGCCTCCTCCACCGTGGGACGGCCGTCGGCGTCGACGCACAAGAGCTGTGCGAGCAGATGCATCCCGGTCTTCTTGATCCGGCCACCGTAGCGCATGCTGAGGTAGCTGCTGATGGTGCAGCCGTCTTCATTCGCGTCGCTGCTTTGCTCGCCGTCCCCGCGGCTCAGCTTCACGCGTGCGGTTGCCTGCGACTTGGCGAGCGCGTTGGCCGACCGCAGGTGCAACATGCCGCCGTGGCGTTTTCGCACCGCCGCCTCGTACGCCGCCGGGAACTCGCCGACGCGGGATTGGATCAGCGCCAGCTGCTCCAACTCCGTCTTGCCTGGGAGGAGCGGCTCGCCGTCGATGGCCTCGGCCATGATGACGCCGACAGCCCACATATCCACCGCGTAGCTGTAACTCGGCATCCCGAGCAGCATCTCCGGGCTGCGGTACCACCGCGTCGCCACATAATCCGTCATAACGCCGCGATGGTCCGCCAGGACGAGCTCGTTTAAGAACGCGGAGGCGACCGTGGCGGCGGAGGCGGGCGGGTAGGCAAGGGTGGACGCACGCGTGGTTGGCGAGGACGACGAGGTCAGTCCAGAGCTGCAAGACGCCTTGCGGGGATCGCCGCCGTCGCCTTGGACCGAATTCGATGCCGACGGCGAAGATGCCGCCGGCTGCAGCACTGGCCGACAAAAGCCGAAGTCGCAGAGCGACGCTGCGCCGTCGTCTCGCACCAGAATGTTCTCCGGTTTGATGTCGCGGTGGATGATGCCATTGCGGTGGCATGACCGGATACCGAGGAGCAGGGTATAAAGAAGAACGTTCAAGCTCTCCTCCGACAGGCCGGAAGTGTGCTCCTCCAGCACGTCGAGCAGGCTGCGTGGGATGTACTCCATCACCAAGTACAGTCGGTTCTTTTGCTTGAAGGTCTCTAGCAACTGCGTCACGTTGGGCTCCCCTTTCAGGAGCTGCTCCACCCGCAGCTCACGCAGCATCGTACATCGAATGTAAGGATTGATCTGAAAGTTCTTGAACTGCTTCACCGCGACAATGCGATTCGTTCGTCTGTCTCGGCATTTGTAAACGATGCCGTAGGTGCCCTCACCGATCACCTCTATCAAGTCATAATTATTCATGGCGTGGGCGACAACATGCACACGCGTACGGCAGCAGAATAAAGCAGAAAGACTACTCCCCGCACAAAATGCCCTGGGCAAGACACATACACAAAGGAGCTGCGCTGGGAACTGAAAAGTACGAAGGGAGCGGTTTTCTTTTCGCCTATCGGGGTGGGAGCTCAATCACACGTACCACGTTGTGACGAGGTGCTGATCAAGAAACAGCTCTATTTGGGGGAGGGAGTTTGTGCTCTAAGGTGTATGTTGACGTATATATGGTGAAGACGCATGCACGAGAGGAAAGAAACGAAAGAGAATCGGAAGATGTTCACAGCGGCGGAACTCACGTGCACGGAATAAGTGGAAGACGCGGGAAAACCCACACAGCAGCGGAAGAAGAAGAAAACAAGAACTCACAACCGTTTTGACAGCAGCACTACCAAAAAAGGGTACAAAACGAAATACAAAAAAAAACTTCCGTGTTTGGTATTCGTGCGAAAAGGATAATCAGAAGAGTGGAAAACGTGCGTGGCACAGCAAGAAAAGAGAAGGAGAGCAGAGTCGCTATAGGTGAGCCTTCTTAAGTCGAAACGAAAGTGTGATAACTCGTCAGCGCGGTCACGTGAGTCAGCGTCAGGTGATGCGTGGCCTTTATTCTGCAGAAGCTTAACGATGTGAAGAATTGCGAATTAATCGAATTAGACAATAAAAAAAAAGGAACTTGCAACTGATCCAATGGAGGAAGCTTCCTGCGAACGCTTCTGCTTCCTTTGGTTTACAGCAGAAAAGGCAAGAGTGCTGCGCGCCCGCGTTCGATTTTCGAGTTTTATCGGCTTTGAAACGCAGAGGGCATGAATGCCAAAGAAAAGGTACGTGAAATTCAAAGGCTCTAGCAAGTTGTTTTGGAATACCGTCCTCGTCCGCTGTTATCGTACGAGGAAACCAGGAAAGAAAGAACAGAGAAAAATATGGAAAAAATGAAAGCCGTGAACGGGCTCCTCACGAATTGAATAGTCTGCGCGAGGCGTGTACGTACATATCCATGCGTAATCCACTGCATTGAAGCAAAGAGCGTTTAAGTGAGAAGCAGAGGCCAAAAGAAGGCGGAAACAAATGGGTAGACGTGATAGAGGGGTAGCGCTCTGTTAAAACTACATACGGCACAGAAGTGGATGAGGGGTACTTTCTACATAAACACGAGATGTGCCCACGCTGTTTTACCCCATATATGTACATATAAGTACTGCTCTTTCGTTTTCCTTCTACACCACGACCACGCTAACGGGGCGGATGAGAAAACTGGAGCGATGGGGCTCCACCATAATATATGTAAAAAAGGGGCCACGGCATTCTTGTCGAGATCAAGCGGAGCTACTTTGCAGCGGCGTGCCAAAACGATTTTGCACTTCGTATTCTTTTTGATGCTATCACCACCTCTACACAGGCCTGAAGGCGCTGCACAATGCCAAGACTGAGAGAAGAAAAATAGGCAGTCATCATCAAACATCAGTTTTCTTTTATCAACGCCCGTCAAAGACAACAATAAAAGGTATTCTAAAGGGTGATTTTCAATGACCGGAGAACACGGAAGGAGAAGGAAAGAAAGTGTGCATCTATGGAACGCAGTCGAGGTGGACCGCTGTCAGCGAGCTGACAGAAATGCGGCAAGTCCACGACCCTGCAGGAGAACACTTTCAGGCGCTGAGAGACTTCCCCCTTCGCCTTTGCATGCGTTAGATTCGCAGGCGGTGTTTAAAAAAAAAAGGCTCAGCATGTAGTGTACACGAAATAGTACAGAAGGAAAACGTCAAAGGAAAAAATCGTGTCGCACAACGTTGCGATGCACGCCACTATCGATCTTGTAAAAAAGGAAAAAAAAAGTGTAAGTGCGTCTAAAACGGTGAGGAAAAAAGAGACGGAAGAACCGCCAAATGAGAATTTTAAAAAGAAAGAGGATTCGAGATGAATAAGGGTAGGTGCGCAGAGCCGGTCATCAAGTAGCGTTGAAGGAGCCCATCACAGACGTGTGCCGGTTGGACAGGGTGCCGTAGCTCACTTTGGTCGGACGCATCACGGGACTCTCCGCCGTCAGGCCGCCCGTGAGCGAGGTACTGTCCCCGGTCGCAGAGGAGAAGCGCTGGTGCAGCGGCCGCAGCACAACAGTGCCGCGCGGGAGAGGAGTGCGCATGCCGCTGGACGGCGCATCATCGCACATCTCCGCCTCCTCGTCCTCCACCTCCCCCTCCACACCGGTCAGGAAGATGGGTTCGTCCGTCGAGAGGGCGGGGCCAAGCCACGGCAGAGGCTGCACCCCGCCATACGTTGCTGCCCGGCGCTTCTCGCTGGCCGCCTCCGCCGCGGCGTCGAAATCCATTCTGTACAGCTCGTCTGCCGCCGTGTGTGTGCTGCCGTTGTGGTCGGCGTTGTCGTGCGATGCATCCGTGGCGGACGCACGTGTGATGACGCCGTAAGGCTGCACCTGCGTCGCCGTCAGCTCCGACGGGCGGTCTTCTGTCTGGCAGGTGGAGCGCCAGTTCGTGGTGGCCGCGAAGCACGGGGTGTCGTCCTCCTCTTCTCGAGATGTGGTCGCGTCGGCGTTTACTTCCGCTGCATCTGCCGTCGCCGCCGCCGCGTGCAGGTTCAGCAGCTGCTCCATCCGCACCTTTGCCGCCTCCACCTCCTCCATCTCCAGCCGCAACGTGCTGATCGTCTGCTGCTGATGCAGGATGATGCGCTGCAGCGTCGGCACATCCGTCGTGCACGTCGGCGTCGCGCACCGCGGGGAGGGCGAGACGGCTCGGAAAGGGGGCAGCGGGGCACGGGCGTCGGCCGGCAGCGGGGTGGCGGAGTTCGCGCGGGCCATCGAGGCCTGCTGGCTCAGCCCCCGCACCGCCTCACGGAGCAACTCGATTTGCTCTTGGAGCTCGCCGACTTGAAGGGCGGTGGCGGGGGACGCCTCACGAAGGTCCACCGCAGTGGTCGTGTGGCCGGTGACGGCGTGGTGGACGGCGTCCGCCGAGCCGCCCGCGTGCGCTGCTGGCCCTGGGTAGGCGGCGGAGGGGCTGCGGCGAGCCTCCGACTCGTCAACGTGCGTGCGCCTCTGCGGGCTCAGCTGCGCCGATGGACGGAGAGAGGGCTCCGCCGACGTCGCAGCTTCTTGCACAACTGCGTCAACGGAAGGCTGCTGCTGCTGCAGGACACGCGAGAGAAGCGCCCGCAGGTAGGCGTTTTCGACCTCTAGCGCCACCGCGGAGCGCACGTGCTCTGGGTAGGCCGCCTCCTCCATGAGCTGACTACATTCCTGGAGCAGGGCCTCGGGGGTTGAAAACGTCGGCGTTGTCGATGTGCCGTGTAAACCCTTCTTTGCAGGAAAGCCATGGAGAGCGCTGGCTCCGCTACTATTGGCGGTGTCCCGTTGCTGCAGCGACGCTTGCGGCACGACGCCTTGACGGTGAGCGATGTCAATGAAAAAAGCATCGACGTAGGGCTTGCACAGCTTCTCCAACTCGTGGGCTAACGTTGCGGTGGGCATGGCGGTGTGCTTGTTTTCTCCGGCCGCGTGCGCCACAGTCCGCGAAGAGGAAGACATCGAAAGCAGCACGAACTCTAAGCTCCTTAAAATGTATGTGGGAGGGAAAAATACAAAAGAAAGAGAGAGGTGCTGAAAGTGGGTTGCGCAGAAGTCCCTCTTTCATCTTTTCACTGGCGCCGCAGGAGAGGGGAAAAAGGAAGCGGCAGTTTGAAGAATCCGGCCAAGGACGAGACAGAGAGAGCGCGAGAGAAAAGTGGCTGGCGAGGTTGAGGCTGTGCACTTTACACGATCAACAGTTGAACAGGTGCGCCTGTCAAATCAAAACAATAAAGGCAAGCACTTTTCCATCTGAACGACGCCTCTTGACATCGCCTTTGAATTTCCTACTGCGTTATTATTTCCTGTTGTCAACGGCGACTTGTAGCATCGTTACACGATCATTGTGGAACAGTCCGTGCTGTGCACCTACAAATGCTAATAAAAACAATAAAAGGCACAGAGTATATGACATTCATACCTGCTTCGCCATCTATTCAACCTTGCTTGCCTGCCTTGCGCTTGCGGCCGCGCGTCAGCGGCTTCTTCATGTGCTTCTTCTTCTCTCCCGTTCCGCTAGACTTCACAATAGAGAGTTTCGAGCGCTGATCGGACGGCACGCGGGACGCCATCGCCGCCTCAACGGAGCTAATGTAGTTTGCGCGGGCTTTGTGCTCGGCGGTGTTCTTCGTTTTTGTGAAGGTGGACTTTTTCTTGGCCTCGCCCACGTATTTACGAAGAGCGCCGGCGCTCTTCTGCTTCGACTTGCTGCGTAGTGACTTCTGCGCCATTGAGAGTTGGAGATGTTTATTAAAAAAAAAAGACGAAAACACCTGTCGTTGCGTGTGGGTGTGTTAGCAGCGATAGGGAATTGATGTGCGGCCGGGTACCCAGACAGTAAACCCGTTTCGAATAGACAACGTGCGAGACGCGGCGAAGATGAGAGGAAATGAAAGAAAAAGAACGGAGGATGGAGGATGGAAAACAATTGCGTGTTTGACGCCTAATTAGTGCGGGGAAAAGTACATATGTATTCTGCGTTGTAATAAGATGAAGTGTTGTTGTTTTTAACCTGCCATGACGTCCCTCGCTAGATCGAAACAGGTTCTCACTTTGCCCTTCTTTGGGCAACAAGGTAGAACCTTTCGTTTCATTACTGCGGTGCAGTCAGTTACGCTGTCCCGCCTCTGCGTGTGCCGGAGCAGCAAAGGCACAGCTGCACGCCTTTTTTTTGGCAGTTTATGTGACTCCTTTCTCTTCGTTGTTGAACCGACACAACATCGGCGGCTGAGGACCAAGCACAGTCCTTCAGCGGGCTGAGCGCCCAAGATTACATAGATGTGGTTGCTAGAAGCTATACATTGGCGTCGGTGAAGAGCAGAAGCGCTCGTTCAGTACGACGCAGAAAAAAGGGGAAAAATCCATCACCAAGCCAAAAAGTGAGTGTACAACGGGCTTCCGTGCCAACATTAAAGAAAGGAGAATCACCAGAAAAACGATCACATCAGTGCGACGTAGCCTAACGCTGGAGGCGGGGGCGCGTCAAAAGCGAGACGACCATTTGCCTTTGCCCTCCCCTCCTCCTCCTACCATCTCTGTCTCTCTCGCTCTTCCAACCATGGTGGGCCGATTGAGCCAATAACCGAGTCTCCACAATCAGATTATCGAGGGGAGATGGAAGAAGAAGAAGGAAAAAAAAAAACGAAGCGCTATGTGCATGATCGTTGGGCGCCGAAGACACAGAAGACGAAGAGAACAATTGTATGGTACATCGCTTTAAACAAAATAGAAAACACCACCACCACAAAAGAAATACAAAAGTAAGAAGAGCAGATGTTTGTCCGGGGCACACGGAGCCTGTGTGGGTGTGTGGGTGCGTGTAGCACGCGTGGAAGCGCTGGCTTTCTCGTCTTCTTGGAATCGTCTAATAGTTTAACGAGACGATGCAGGCGACGCCACGCTCGATCCAGTGCGACGGCGCCACTGTCGTGGGAATCTCAACCGGCAGTACAAAGTTGGTTGAGTGACCCGTGGTGCTGAGGGTGCCTGCCCGGGTGAGGGTCTTGTACACGGGGCACACGTAGTCCCGTGGGTTGCGGGTGCGGTTCACCACCGGATCCAGCAGCATCATCGGCATCTCCACATACAACTCCTTGGGGCGAGACTCGGCCAGACTGTGCTGCTCCGCGTCCCAGCGCGCGCCCTCCATGTACATGCCGTACACAAGCGCCCCCTTTTCCGGTCGCGGCGCGGTTGCGGGTTGCACCGACGGCGACTGCAGCTGAAATTCGAAGGAGATGCGGTCGATGGCCTCGTGCACCTGCCGCGCGTAATTCTGCAGCGTGCCCGTAAGAAACGCTTGCGGGAAGAAGAAGCCGCCGAACCAGAAGGCGGCCGGCGGCCCCTGCTCATACCAGTCCACAATGAAGCGCGTGCGCCGCACCAGGTCGTCCAGCCAGTTCGACAGCGGCTTCAGCGACGGGTACGCCAGCGCGCTCCACGACGCCGGCACGCTGTTCACAAAGAAACTCTCCCCGACCGCCTCCAGCTCAGCCGACATCACCACCTCGCCCCGCACGGCCTTCATGAACTCGGACAGGTTCGTGTGGATAAAGCGCAGCAACCGGTTGTAGCGGCCGGCTTCCTGCACGAGCACCGTGTTCATCGACTCCTCGTACTTTGTGGGGTATTTGGTGCTGAAGGCGGCTGTGTCGAAAGGCGGCGGCAGCTTCGATGCGATCTCTGCCGCGGTCTCCGTGAGCAGGTGCTCTCGCGAGCTGGCCGACGCGCCGGCCCCGCCGCGCGACTCCAGGGAGAGCACGGTCGACAGAATGCTGTGTGTGGTGTTCTGCGCGCAGGTAATGTCGGCGTTTTCGTGCAGGCCGAAGACCTCCGGCTGCGGGTTCAGCGGCCAGGAGTCGAGGTAATCGAGGTACTGCTTGCGGTTTCCTGGTACGATGGTGTGGTACAGCGTTGAGGGCGAGAAGGCGTAGCCGTTCTCCAGCACTCCGGGGTTGATGAAGTGCTGAATGAGCGTCATCAGGCACCGACGATCCCAATCGTCCGTCACACGGCCGCCGTAGTTGATCTCGCCCGTCAGGAACTTCAGCACGTCGTAGGGGATGGTGTCGTACATGGGCAGGAACTTGCGCAGCTGCAGTAGACACACGTTGCGGTCGGAGTCGTTGAACTCGTAGGCGATGTTGAAGCCGAGCGAGCCGAACTTACGTCGCTCTTGAATGACGCCGTGGAAGAGGCAGAGGGCGAAGACAAACTTCTTAAACTCGACCGGCTTTGCCTCCTCCTCGAGATCCTGGGCGGTGAAGCCGTAGTACGACCGCGTCACGTTCGCCCGCAGCCCCATCGGCGGCTCGTTTGTCATCTTCACGGCAATCTGCAGCACCGACACCGGGAAGCTGGAGGACGGCATCGAGGTGAGCCAGAGGCGGAACTCCTTCTTCACCGTCTCCACCGTGAAGCTCTCCACGATGGACTCCAACGTCGGCATCCACGACGAGGCCAAATGACAGTTTTGCAGCAGAATCCACTGCCCTCGCTCACGCCCGCTGGAAATAAGCTCCTCCGCCTTCTTGCCCTGGCCCTGACCCAGCGACACCTTGTCCAGCCGCTTCGACATCCGCATCGTCTCTGCAAAGCGCAGCAAGTCGTTCATCGGGTCTGACCCGGCGGAGTTGATGAAAATGAGCGGCGTCAGGCAGTCGCTGTCCTTGTACGCGTCCATCAGGTCGAACTGCGGCACGATGATGTAGCGCTCACCCATGAAGTGCTCCACGTAGTGCTGAATCGCCGGGGCGACCTTGTCCATGCGGAAGCAGCGCACAATGACAAGTCGCTGCAGCGGGGTCGCCTTCTCCGCCCACTCGGCCGCCAGCGGGTAGGTGTCCGCCTCGTTGCTGTCGAAGAGGGCGCGGTAGTGTTCGATGTTCGCCTGCACGTGATCGGCAAAGCCGGCGAAGGTGGGAAGGTGGGCATGCAAAAAGAGAATCTCCGCCCAGCTGCTGTCCGTGAGCCAGGACGGGGCCGGGTTGGCCATCGCGTTTGCCGGCACGCTGCCCGTCGGCCCGGTGAGAAGGTAGCGGTACTCCGACTCCACCATCTCGCCGCGGTGCTGCACCAGGCTGGTGCAGAGGTAGAAGGAGAAGGTCAGCTTGTGCTTCTCGAAGAGGGAGCGGCAGACGTTGCTGTAGAAGGAGTAGGTGAAGTAGTCCATCAGGTTCTGCACGCGCACCTCTACAAGGTTGCGGCCGTCACTTGTCACGTCTCCCTCTCCGTCCTCGGCCGCCACCGGCTGCTCGGCATTGTCGACGGTGTTCAGGAACAGGTTCATGAACCACTGCAGCGAAAACTGATACATGGGGTCAACGATGGCGAGCTGCGAGGCGCAGAAGAAGAGCAGCGAGCCGCGCTCGGCGTGTGGGCGGTAGCGATTACGCGTCTCGTCAATCACCCGCTCCGTCTCCTTCGCCTTCCCGAGCTCCTCGTTGATTTCGGTGGACTTGGCCTTGCTCTTCTCCAGCGTGATGATCAGCTCCTCCTGCTCGAGGATGTCGCCCTCCGCCTCCTCGAGCAGAACGAGAATGTTCTCCTGCAGGTTCTTCAGTTCGCGGTTCTTCTCGGCGTTGGACCGGGTGAGGCGCTGCTTCTCCTGCTCCAGGTCGTTGCGCTCCTTCTCCACCGTCTTGCCCAACAGCTGCTCCTCCAGTCCACTGGGGGTGATGAAGAAGTTTAGCAGCGACACCGTGACGATCGTCTCCGGCGTGTAGGTCGGGTTCGGCAACTTCGTCGTCAGGTAGAGCTTGAAGTTGTTGTCGTACGGGATAGCGCTGTCGCCGATGCGGACGTGCGGCATGCTGCCGATCATGAAGATGTTCTGCAGAAGAACCGGCTCCAGCGCGGCGTCCAGCGACTCCCCAACGTTCTCGACGAGACACGGCAGCCCCAGACGGATCGCGTTCTCCACCGTCTTCATGAACTTGTCATTCGAGGCCTTGCAGATCTGCAGGTTATCGTTCTTGTGGATGTTCCGCACCCACGTGTTGGCCTGCCCCTGTGGGTCGATCAGCAGCGGCCAGTTGCGCGAGTTGGCGAGGATGATGGCGTTCTCGGTGGAAAGGCCGTCCGTCGGCAGGCCGCACAGCTGCCACTCCTGAATCTTCACGGCGTCGCCGGAGGTGGAGACGAGGTCGAACTCGGTGCTCGTCTCCACGCCGGCGGAGGAGAGCTGCGCCTTCCACCGCTGTCGCAACTCCTGCCGGTAGGGCGCCGTGAGCGGCCCGCAGTAGGCCACCGTCGCCGCAGCCACCACCATGTCCCCCACCACATACCGCTCCTGCTCCTCGTACTTCTCCACCAGGCGCACCCAACGCGTCTTCTCGCCGCCGAGGCCGTCAATGAGCCGGCCCGCACGGTTCAGCTTCCGCGAGGTCGCCTCCACCTCCGCCTCCAGCGCCGCCTGCGTGTCCACGGCCTCGTTGTACTCTCGCTCGAGGGCCGCGACGGAGGCCACGACGCGATCGAGCGTCGCCTGAGTCGTGTGCAGCGCCTCCGTCACCACCGCGAGCTCCGCCTCAGCCGCCGCTAGCCTCTCGCGCAGGGGTTGGATTTCGCGGTTGACGAAGAACCACTTGTACATGGCCCGCACCCACTGGCACATGGCCATGCACGGCAGTGAGACGGTTTTCACCTTTTCTGGCTGGAACTCCTCGTTGTCGTAGTAGACGCGCACCTTGTCCATCAGCGCCATGTCCATCGCGTCGCGGTTGAAGCCGCCCTTCTCCGGCGGCTGCACGAGCACGTCGAGCAGGCGATTTGCGTCCTTCATGTAGGACTTGGCGCAGAGCCACCAGTCCGGGACCTTGCGTCCCCCGGGTGGGCCCGTGTAGAACTCCTTTGGGCAGTTGCCAAATGTCAACAGAAGGGCAACGGCCTCCATCACGTACTGCACACCTTTCGGCGGGTTGGTGTACTTGTTCAGCTCCGAAATCTCCGCCGCCTTGATCTTGGACAGCACCTTCACCGCCTCAATCAGCGCGGGCTCCGCCTCGGCCAGGCGATCCGCACACTCGCGCCGCATCGCCGCGCACTCCTCGGCCTTGGTCGACGCCTCCGCCTCCTCCTTGCGGGCTGCCGTCTCCGTCACCGCGGCGTCCTTGCGGTCCACCGTCAGCCGCTCCATCATCGCCTGAATCTCCACCTTCTTCGCCTCCAGCACGGGCTGCTGCGCCTTCAGCTGCGCCTCCAGGCCCGCCACCTGCGCCTCCGTCTCTCGCAGCTTCTCGAGGCCCTTTTCAAGCCGGCCGCGCTGCTCGTGGATGAACCGCCGCTTCGCCGCGACCATCAGCTTGAAGTTGGACAGCAGAGTCAGATAGGACGTCGGTGTCACGTAGGAGCGCCGCCGTGTCTCGGTGAAGAAGCGTTCCGTCACTTCGGCAGCGAGGAGGTGGACGCCTTGGAAGGAGTCCGCCAGCGCCGCCGCCGTCTCGGAGTTGATCTCCTCCTCCTCCTGGCCCCCGCCGCGCGTGTTGTTGCTGCTGCTGGTGGTCGTGGCGTCGACGGCGGTCAGCTGCGCCGTTGCCACCGACAGCAGCGCCTCGGATGGCCACTCGGCAAACCAGTCGATGGTGCAGCACGCGATGAGCGCAGGAAACATGCGCAGACGGTTGCGGAAGGCCTCCCCGATCGGCGAGAAGGCGAGCACGAGGTGCAAGTTGGCGCGCGCCTCCTTCACGAAGCGGGCGTACACGGACACCTTGGTAGTGGGCAGGTTCTCGCTGATGCAGACGCCGCGAAATTTGTCGTTGATCAGCTCGAGGTCTTGGTCCTCAAACAGGTTTGGCACATCGCCAGAGGTCAGCAAGCCCGCCACGTCCTCTAAGAAAATCGGGTGCACAAGCTGGGTGTCTGAAAAGAGAAACGTGCACTTCTTCTCATCCTTGCCGCACTCCAGCAGCAGCTTCGCCAGGCTTTCGTGCCAGTCTTTCACGCCGTAGTTCTTCGTCAGCTCAATCGTGAAGATCTCCATCTCGGGAATCAGCGAGCACGCGAGGCGGGTGAGAGACTTGCGCCCCGAGCCGCCGACGCCGAGCAGAAGGCAGTGGCCGTTCGGCTGCTTCAGCACACGGCAGATGCGGCACACGTGCTCGATGGCGTCGAGGAAGAGCACCAAATTCATCTTCGCCTCGTTTTCTTCGTTGTAGGTTTCAAGAAAGCCGTTCATGCCGGTGGTGAGGGTGTGCATGTCCGTGATCTGCTCATAGACGTCCTTGCTGCTCAGCATGTCGCCAAAAATGAGCCGGTCCGCCGCGACGATCTCCGGATAGGTGCCGTCGACGCCCATGGTCTCCAGCTCCTCGTCAAGGAACTCGATGAACTGACTCTTATCACTGTCGTTGATGAGGCGATCGTAGAAGACGCGCTGTGTCTCGTGCATCCACAGCCGCACAAAGGATGTCTCCGACTGAAGCACGCTCTTGTCGGCAGCGTAGAGCATCGGAAAGACGCGCATGACGTCACGCATGTTGAAAGAGTAATGCACGTGCGCCGGCGTGGGCAAGTAGGTCTGGATGCATTTGGTGAACACGCGCAGCGTGCTGTCGACCATGGAGGAGGAAACGGCGCTGAACTCCTCCATCAGGCCACGCTGCATCAGCATGCCGGAGAGGATCGCGTGGAGGATGGTGCGCTTCGACACGTCCGACATCTCCGGGAAGGCAAGGTAGTTGAAGTAGCGCATGAGGCGGTTAGAGATCCGGCTGCGGCCGCCACCAGGCGGCCCCATGGCGAGAGCCAAGGAGCAGTCAATGATGGATGACCACTTGATGCCGCCGGTGAAGGTGTAGAAGCCGCCCTGGGCAAGCATCTGGCGCAGCAGCTCCAAAGGAGGCTGCGCCCCAAATTTCTCCGGCTGCGGTAAGTTGGCGTCATCAATGAAAATGAGGAAGTGCTTCCCGACCGGTGCGCCGTAGACGTGCGAGCGGCGCTTGTCAAACTTGGCCATCATGGAAGCCTGCAGAACGGTGCACTTCGTCTGTGCGGAAAAGGTGAAGTTCAGCCCGAGGAAGCTGCTCGGCATCCCACCGCCCAGCACAAGCCTGGCCAGCGCGATCGACTTGCCCGTGCCTGTCGGGCCCACCGCCGCCACGTTCACCTTAGACGACATCAAATGGTGCAGAATGTAGTTCTGTCGAGTGCTGTCAATCGTCGGGACGAGGATGTCATCAAAACGGGTGCCGGTGGGAATGTTAAAGATCGGAGTGTCTTGCATCCAGTGCACCCACCTGCCCGCCGGTGCTGCAGCGGCGGCTCCGTTCGTCTTTCCATCGCCGCCTCCACCGATTTCTGCGGCCGCCCCTTCATCTCCAGCCGTCCCTGCGTTGATATCGTAGCGGTAACAGTAATCATATAAAAAGCCACTGCTGCTGCTGTTGCGGTTGCTGCCATCGTCCTCCTCCACCGCTGGCAGGTACGCCACGTGCCCATTCACCGCGGCCATCTCACGCAGCTTCGCGGCAAAGAGCTGACGGCCCTCCTCATCGCAGGTAGCGCCGACGCTCCAGACAAGCGAGAAGAAGAAGAGGGGCAGCACGACCTCGCCGAGGAAGCCGGCCTGCTCCGGTCCACTCGCCGCCTTCTCGAGGCTCTTCACGTAGCCATCCATCATCCGGAAGAAGGCACGCACGAGACCGCTGGTGTTCGACGCCACGTACTCCCGAACGGCGCCGCCGCGGACAAACTCAACCAGCTCCGCCACGTAAAGTGAGGCGAGTTGAGACAGCTGCTCCCGCTGGGTGTCCATGTACGCCGGCAGCGACGCCGCCCAGCTGGCGATGAGGGCGGAGATCGGCACGCAGGTGGCGGGGTCGAGGTAGATCATACCACAGCGCGATACGGTGGCGGGGGAGGCCACCGCCAAGTCCTCCACCTCGAACATCATCGTCATATCGCGGTTCATCTGGATAATCTCGCCCGACACGAGGCAGAGCTTCTTGTTCTCATCCAGCACGGTGTTCATCGACTCGATCCACAGCGCATCGACAGGGCCATCGAACATGACCCAGTGCTTACCGATCATGTTGCCTTCGTCGCCGTACCGGGCGGCGCAGCGGAAGAGCACGCACAGCACGCCGTCCTTCCACTCCCCGTTTTCGTCGTAGGCGCCGTAGAGCTGGTCCATCGTGACCGACTTGGGGTTGCAGATGTGCGTGTAGACCTTCTGAAAGCTGCGCCCGCCGACGTTCTCGCCTTTGCTCTGTCGCGCCGCGCAGTCCGACAGCGCGCGCTGCAGGGCCGTAAAGGCGGTCGTCTTGCCGCTGCCGGCAGGGCCCACGAGCATCAAACCGTGGCGCAGGGTGGTGATGTCGTACAGCTGCAAACACTTGTGCACGAAGGCAGGCACGGCCTGTTGTTGCGCGCCAGTGATGACCGTCGCGAGGGCCTGCGTCATGACGCCGTAGTCGCTGCTGGGGAGGGCGATGCCGGGGAACAAGTCGGAGATGATGCCCTCGAACAAAAGAGTGTCGTCCTTCAGAAACTTCGGCACGTTGGAGTCACGCAGCGCACGGAGCAGCAGCTCGTCCTCGTCGCCGTCCGGGCACTCGCGCTTGTTCAAGCCTGCGGCAGAAATAACGGTGTTCACGGCACGCATACCGAAATCGTAGTGGTCCTGCGAGGACAGCTGCTCGGAGCTGAGTTTGAAGGTCATCACCATCTTCTGCGCCAAGGCACGTGCCTTCAGGTAGCCGTAAGAGAAGAGACGGATTTCGCCGATCATGGCGTAGTCGGGCACCATGCACGCGACAGGGCGGAAGAGTACCTTCAAGTTGTCCGGCAGCTCCGTACGACCGGCGTAGCCGGGGTTCATGGTGATGAAGACCGCGTGCGTCGGGTCCACCACGATGTCGCTCTCCTCGAAGAGAATTCGGTACTGCTTCGTCGAGCACGCCTGCTGAAGATCGGTTACCTGCTGCGCCACCACAGACAGCACCTCCACGTCGATACGGTTGAACTCGTCGAAGCAGGCCCACGCACCCGTCCACGCCAGCCCTTTAAAGAACTTACCCATCGAAAGGTACGTCATGCCCTCCTGGCAGTTGAAGACCACGCACTGCTTCGCCAGCGCTTTTGCGAGATCTTTCGTCGTTTCCGTCTTGCCAGTGCCGGCGGGACCGGCAGGGGCACCGCCGAGGCAGAGCGCCAACGCTCCCGTCAGCGTCAGATAAATGCGGTCCGTCAGCGGCGTGACGACGAGGCGGGCCGTGTTGCCCAGGTACTCACCGCCGTACACGAAGCTCGCGTCGACCTGGCGGATGTGGCACAGATTGTCGCTCTGCTCGAAGTAGAAGCGCAGCTGCTTGATCCACTCAAACGATTGGATATTGGAGACCTTGTCGGCCTGCATGTTGTCCACCGTGTCCTTGGCGTGCACCTCGATGGTGATGAGGGCACCCATGTTAATCTGCTGCACCGCCGTCAGGGGCGACTGCACCACCTCGACCAGCTGCCGCAGTTGCTTGTCCAGGACCTTGGCGAAGTCGTCCACAGTGCCTTTCGTTGCGAGCGCCTCCTCGCAGCCGTGCGTCCAGTACACCTGCGCCACGGCGATGACCGCCTGCGCCGGCCACTGCAGCACCCACTCGCTGCGCCGCGTGCTGAGGTAGGCGTCCACAGCTTCCTTTACCTGTGCGTGCACGCTGTCCTTCATCATCTTCTCCACCAACTTGAGCCAGTCCTCCACGTTGCCCAGCGGCACCACGGGCGTGACAGCCGCGATGTACTCCCCCTCCACACTGTAGAAGCCGGTGATGGTGTCGACGGCGCCGTCGACCGCAGCCGACGCAGCAACCGCAGTCCCCTCCGGCTCCCCGCCGCCCTTCTTCGCCCCCGCCGCCTCCTCTGCCATTGCGACAGCGGTTGAGTTGGTGCTGCTGTTGCCGCTGTCCGCCGTGTCCTTGACCGGACCGACGTTGTTCCACTGTAGACGCTGGATGTTCTCGAAGAGCTTGCTGATGTTCGCGTCGATGCGGCGCACCTCCTTCGCCTGCGACAAAATCTCCAGCAGCTCCTCGTCGGACAGAAAATAGAAGCGCGGGAAGGTCTGCCGCTTGTCCGCCAGATAGTCGTTGAGGCCGCGCTGCACCTCCTCAAGCAGGCGGTTCGCCTCGCGCAGGTGGTCGAGCAGCTTGCTCGTGCCAATGCAGTACTCCAACACGTTCGGCTGCGAATGTGCGTTGCCCATGATCCGCCGCCACGTGCGGTCCACCTTCTCAAAAAGCGCGGAGAGGCGCGGCAGCTGCATCGCGATGTCCTCGGAGTTCAGGATGGGCTCGAGATAGCGCCACGCGCGCTGGCACTCCAGCCACTGCTCGAGCGTGTCGGAGATCAGATTAAGCGAGCGCTCCCAGTCGGTGATGGCCTCTTCAAAGTACGCCTTGAAAGGCGAGAACTGCAACTGCTGGGTCAGGTTCAGGTGCTCGTCCAGCAGTTCCACCACGTCGGAGGTGTCCTTCAAGATGTACGTCCCGGTCTCCTTGTACTGCTCGATGATGAAGGACTTCGACTCCCACTTGGCGCGCATCTCCTTCAGTGCCGTCTCAATCTGCGATTCCTTCGCCGCCACCTCGCAATACCGGATGACGGCTTCGTGGTGGGCCAGCAGCGGCGCGCAGTCCTCGAGCACCATGAGTGTGTCCCCCGGCACGAGAGCCATGCCCAGCTTCTCGGAAAGGCCCGTCCAGTGGCGCTCTTTCATGCCATGGTGGCGCAAGGAAGACAAAATCGGCACCCACGGCTTGAACTGCTCCACACTGGACTTCACACCTTCGACAATGCGCAGCATGGCATCCTTATCCTTGAAGGTCCTGGAGAGCGTCGCCATCGTTTTGGAGGCGGACGCGACCGTGGCTTCGATTTCAGCCGCGTCGAGGGTCGTGAAGGCGTCGGTGTGCCAGCGGCGGTACGACTCCTGCCACGTGTAGGTGGTGAGCCAGAGGTCGCTGTACGGCTTGAACTCCTTGTCCAGCTCGAACACGTTGCGGTAGTCGGAGAGCTTGTCGCCGAAGAGGCGCTGGTCGCCGTTGAGGGCGCGGGCCTCCTCGATGCATTGGCGGATCTCGATGTTGTGCGTCTTCACCTCGGCAGCCACCTTGTCCGCCTCCGCGGCGTCCGTGTGCTTGGAGAAGGTCGCCACGACGCGCTGCAGCTGCTCCACCCGCTTCGAAAACTCCTCCTGGCGCTTCTGCAGACCTGAGTGCAGCTCCTCGTGCACCTGCTCCAGCTGCTTGCGCACCGCGTGACTGCGCAGGGCCAGCTGGCGCGGCCACCCAATCGCCTCCCACTTGAGGCGCGACTCGTCGTCCGTCAGCTCGAACTGGAAGCCGTCGAGAATGGTGTAGCACTGCCGCACCTCCGCGATGTGCTCCGTCAGGTCCGTCACCTGATCGCCGATGGTGTCCATGAAGCTCAGCAGCTCGAACAACTTCTCCGGGCTCTGCGGCGTCTTCTCGATGGTTTGCAAGAGACGCGTGAACTCGTTGCGCACGTACACTGCCTCATCCTTGCCGGTCTTGCCGATCAGCCGCATCACCAGCTTCGCCAGCTCCTCCTCCTTCATGGACATCAAGTAGCTGAAGGATTGGCAATCGACGACAAAGTTACCCACGGTTAAAAACAGAGGCAGTCGCCCAGCCAGCGACTTTTTGGCGCGCAGATGCTGCGCAATCTCCTCCTTCATCTCCTCCATGCTATGCCCGGCCTCCGCGTACTCCTTCACAAACTGCGCCTGATCCAGGCGGATGAGGGGGAGCAGCTCGTCGTAGGTGTTCAGGTACGTCTGCAGCGGAACCAGTGAATTCCGCACTGCCGTCTGCACCCGCTCGCGCAGCGCGCACACGTGCTCCTCCTCCTTCTTGACGGAGTCGAGAAAAGGGCCGTCGCCGTCGCGGCTCCAGAAGTACTGCGTCATGACGTAGCGCTCCACCTGCGGGACCGACTCGGTGCAGACGATGGCGGCGTTGAAGAGCTCCACGATGGCGCCCTCGAAGTCCGCAAACGAGATGGAGTAGGAAAAGTGGCCGTCCGCCTCGACGAGGTCAATCGTGAAGAGGGGCTGCTTCTCCACACAGTCGTCGGCGTCGCTGCCCGGCCACGCGTTCTTGACGTTGTTCATGTCCTCCACCGTCACCGTGAAGTCCGTCACCTCCTCGAAGAAGTCGGTGAACGACTGTAGCGAGTTGTAGACGAGCTGGAAAAGAGTATCCTCCATCATAAACCGCACGGTTGTGAAGAACTTCTTCAGCTTCGACATTTCATAGATGTTCTGTTTCGCTTCGCGGATGTTCAGCCAACCTTTGCCGGCCGACTGGAAGCTGGCGACGATCGTCTCGCACATGTGCGGCATCCACTCCTCCTTGAGGTGGCGTGAGGTGCGGGCAAGGTGATCCTTTTGGCGCTGCGCAAAAACCGCCAGCGGCAGCTGACGCTCCTTTGGCAGGTCAAACAGTGATCCCTCCAGCACCTTCATGCACTCACGGCGCACGCCGGTCAAAGCCTGGACAACTTCAGGCTGAGTGAAGTAAGTGCCAAAGGTGAACGCCTCCTCGCGATCGGCGAAACAGAAATTGTCGTCCTCGACCGCGATCACCGTCGCAGGGTCCCCTAGCTCGCTGCGGTCGACGGCCACGTTCGGCCCCTGCTGAAGCTCCTCCGGGTCCATGTGGGTTGAGTTGCTCACCATGCGGCCCACAGATGGATCCTTTGTAATGCGATCGTGCAGCAGCAGACGGTTATGGCTGCGCTTCCACTCCAGCGTGATCTCAGAGACAAGACGCTCCACTCGGTCCGCCACCTCCGGGAAGGCCGCCGAGCTCAGCTGGGGGATGTCGGTGCCCAAGTAGCGCAGCCGCTCCGCCAAGCCCGCGTCCAGCTCCTCTAGGTTTGTCACCGGCATCGAGTCACAGCACAGGCGGTAGATGATCCACGAGGTCGCCTTGTGGCGCTGCGTGTGGGCGTGAATGAGGCGCTGTACGTAGAGGACCGGGTCCTCAGCCATGAAGCGCACAAAGATGCGAGGGAGGGGGACGGCCGCCGTCGTTGACACGGCAGACGCGGCCGCTGGATGGGCGTCGGCGGCCGAAAACAGACTGTCCTCGTCGGTGGCACCCCAGTGTAGCTGCAGCGTGTTTGTATCCTCCGCCCAACCCACCACCCGGCAGGGACGCAGCTCGAAGGTGTCGGTGTCCTCGCGGTGAAAGACGCCCTCGGCGGGCAGGAAGCGGGCGGCCGGTGTAGCCGCGCTCGCCGCCATCGCCATCCACTCGGACGGGTTGCGGCAGTCGTAGGTCGTGTCATCGAATATCTCCAGCGGTAAACTTCGCGCGCTGCGTCGTGCCAGCAAACCCCACGTCAACCCACTCACCTCTAAGAGGTGATTCACGTTCTGGCTGTCGTAGAGACGGCGCCGCCGCTCAATCTCGACGTCGCGCGGCATGCGGCCACGCTTGTACGCGTACGGCACCTGCACCTTTGGCTCGAAAGTGAAGGGGTTCGCGGTCGGAAAGAGGAGGGAGGATTCCTTGTACGTGCTACTCACAGGCAGTGAGGGTTTTTTTGTGTTGTCCGCAGCGGCAGCGGCAGCGGCATGCTGGTTATGAGCGTCGTCCGCCGAGAATGCGGCATTTTCCTCGCCTTCCTCTGCGTCGTTGAAGCGGTGGCTCTCCGCATCAGTGGCACAAGGTGGGGCGCGCTCCGTCTTGCTGCAGTGCGAATGTGCGCCGGCGTTTCCTGCCGGCTCGACCTTCCCGTCTACTTCAGGGCGAAGAAAACTGCGCAGCATTTTTTGATTTCCTTCTCCCACGCTTCCTTGCTCTTCTCTACCTGGTTGATGTTATGGAGGGAAAAGGGTGCTTTTCGTGGGCAGAGGGGCAGAAAGGGCGATGACTCTTACGGACAGTAAACGAAATGAAGAGAGAACGAGAGTACAATCAACGTGGTACGTCTCCGCAGAACCGCCGAACACCGTCACACGTGCTACACACAATCAAAAGATGATGCTGCTCTCGTCGGGGGGCTACTCTTCCTTTCTTGTGAACGCGATGAGTTTCGTTTGGCGTTGGGTGCCGCCGCGGCGACGAATATCACGTCGCGGGGCAGTGAAAGGAAAAAAGAATAAAGGGGCGAGGAGGAGGAGAGAAAGTGTCGAGACATAGAAAACCGTAAAAACAAAGAACAGAAGAAAGTGAAGAGGAACTGCGAAGACAACGTTTGCGCTGCGTTTGCGCTGCCCCAAGAAATAGTCGTAAGCGTGTCTGTTACGAACGGCACCACAGCCGAAAAACACCGAAGTAGAGAGACACGAATTGCCCGTGACAGCCGCAACGCGCCATTCGCAGATTTTATCTCTCTTCCTTTTTTCTTTTTAAACTATTTCCCCCACCTTCCACATGATGGAGCTTCCATTTGGCAAACGCAAATGCACGAGAAAGCGCATTACATTAATCTATAGTACAGCGGACGCGGCAGGGAGAAGAAGAAAAAAGAGAAACAAAAGAATGAGAAGAAAACACACCGAAAAGGAAAACTATGTCGATCCGCATCGGTGCGAAGCAGCTTCACACGTCACAGCAAAAGAAAAGGTCTGTTCTACCAACAAGGACCCTCGAGACAGCGAAATTGTGAAATGAGAGAAACGATGAAACGACCACAAAGCGAAGCAGAAGCGCAGTGTTGCATTCCACCTTCTGCTGAGCGCATCGGTGTCCATGTGCTTATGCGAGCAGCTTCAACAGCCTATCCGCCTCTGCGGCGGCCACACGCATGTTTGCAGCCCCCGCGGCCGTCTTCAGCACACTGATGAGAGGGGAATTCCGACTGAGGGACTGCAGTACATCACGCGACGAGGATTCACACGACACGTTAAAGGCTGTCAGCAGCCGTGTGGCAACGGTGCGCTTCGTCTGCGAGTAGAGCGCGTTAGACACGGCGACAATGTACGCGCCGAGCGTGGTGGAAGACGTGAGATCAGCCCTCGCCAGGGCGGAGAGTCGCGCGTAGTCCTCGATCGCCGACGCGGCAGACTCCATCACCGCCACGCTGTTGTTTGTGTCCACGCAGATGGGCAACAGCACCGAGCTAATCGTGTCCTTACGCGCACTCTCGGCGCACTGCACCGTCACCCTCGATGTCGCGTCGCTTGTCACGCGCCGCAGCACCTCTGCCAAAAGAATGCAGCACACCTCCATGTGCTGATCGTTCTTCTCTTGCAGCGCCGAGGCGATCGCGCGCAGAGCCTGCGTGCACAAGCCTTGTCGCACAACATAGTTGAGGATGTCGACGCGTGCACAGGCCAGTAAGCACACGTGAACAAAAGAGAGCGGGTAGAACATGTCTTCGTCGCCACCGCTGCCGTTGATGTACTCGAACACGGTGCCGAGCAGGCGCTCCGTCACGAGTCCGCTCAGCGTACTCTGCGCCATCTCGCCAGACGTCATCAGCAGACGCATCGTGTTCACGGGAATCGGACTGGTCTCCTGCAGGAGCGAGGCAAGGTTCGGCACCACCACGTTCAATATTTTGTGCGCCACAGTGGCAGCACAGCTGTTCTCCTTGCGTGACTCGGCGTCCTCGGCGGCGATAGGCACCATGGCCGAGGTGAGAAAGCGGACGGCGGTAAATCGGCCACTCGTGTCTCTTCGACCCAGCATCTCCGCGTACGACGTGACGAGGTGCTGGCAGATGCTGTCCTTGTACTTGAGCACCACCACCGGACTCTCCACAAAACGGTCCGCCACGCTGTTGAAGTCGTTCTCGTAGGTGCCGTAGAGGGTGTTGTTCATCGCCTTGTCGATGCACGTCGCCAAGCTTTGAAAGACGCTTGTTTGAAAGTCGATGCCGTTGCGAATCGCCGCGCAGTTGAGGAGTTGTTGGATGACAGTCAAGTGTGTCGGCGTCGAAGTGGACGACACCCGCCGTGCGATACTCGTCAGCTTGTCGGAGATGAACCAGCCAAGGAACTCGGACGTGGCCACTGCACACTTGCGCACGTACTTGTCCGTGTCACGCACCAGTCGATCCAGAAATGCAACGCAGCGGCTGCTGAGGACGCAGCACAGCCCGCTCCCGCCAACGCACCCGATCAGCGTGACAAAGAGCAACGTTTTGCCGTACACGGCGACGGACGCCTGTTCGATCGCCTCACTCAGGTGGTCCAGCACCTCATCGCTTACAAAGAGCATGTTGCCGACGATCTCCTCTGCATCTGCGGCGCTCAGAGTCGACATGAACAAATTCATGCCGCGGTTGCTGCGGGACTCCTGTGCCGCCTTCGTCCACATCTGCATAAACGGGTTTTGCAGCGCCGTCATGCCCTTCACCAGCGCGTGGTTCATAAACGTCATGAGAATTTGCATCAGATGCGTGACGGAGGACCGCTGCATCACGCTGGCGTACGAAGTGACGGGCACCTCCTTCGACTGCATGACAGTCAGAATGAGATCCTCTTTTATCATGGCTAGCTTGAAGGCGGCGCACGCGGCGTCGGACCGCATGTCTTCGCTGCGCCCCTCCATCTGCGGCAGTGCGAAGACGGAGAGCAGCTTCTCTACAAATACCGGCTCGGCGAAGAGCTCCAGCGCCATCTCTTTCTGCGGAGTCGAGGTCATGTTCTCGATCATCTTTGCGGCGTAATGCTTCAGCACGTCGTCGCGGCAGTCGAGGGCGGAGAGGAAAATGCGGCGCACCGTGGCCCGCTGCACATTCCACAGCTGGCGCTGCGCCTCATTCTGTACCGCGATGTAGAAGAGAAACTCGCCAATGCAGGCGAGCAGCTTGCGCTTCACCGTCACCTCAGTTTCGTCCTCGAAGAGCTGCATGCTGTCGGCCAGGATAGACGACGAGGCGACCTCGTCGGTAATGAAGGCGGTCGTGCGCACGAGCAGCCCCATAATGAGCGCCGCGGTGGCACGAAAAGATGCCGGAGCGTCTTGGCGTCCTGCGTGCTTCACGCACTGTCGCATGACGGAGCTATTCACCGAGGCCCTCGCCACCTCCGGGTCGCTGCAGAGCGCCATAATGTAGTTCATGACGTTGCGCAGGGACTCGTGGCCGCTGCGGGTGTTGGACAGCGCCACGTACAGGGAACGAAAGAAGGCCGTGTGTCGACTGGGAGATAAGCTGTTGATCTCCGCCGCCGTGAGCGCCGTGAAGCCAAGCGTGGTGGCATCGTAGGATGCCTCTGGGGTGTACTCGATGCGACTGTTGTTGCTCAAGGGGCGAATGTGTTGATCGGTCTGGTGCGGCAGGAGCTCTGCCAACGCGACACGACGCAGCGCACCGGCAGCGAAGGCGCTGAGCGTTGCCTCGCTCGGGCTGTCGTCGTTCGCATTCGACGCGTTTGCCGCGTAGGCAGCTCGTCCGCCCGCGTAGGCAACCGACGCCGCACCCGGGCCAGACGCGTCGCGGCTCGTCGTGCCACCGCGTCCTTTGCTGCCGCGCCGGCGTTGCGGGCCCCCGACGTTTGTCTCCGCCACTCGGCTTGTCCGGCCAGGGGCGGAGGTGCTGCCCTGGTCGTTGGTGCTCCTCGTGGCCCTCGTGTAGGACGTGCGGGCCGGCGAGGCGTACGCGCTCGGGCTCGTGTTTGTGTGCGTTGCGGTCGCGCCGTTGTCCGCCGAGTGCGCCGTCCGCTCCGCTTTCGCGGGTTCCAGCTTCAGCGCCGCCCGCTGCGCCGCGCTCGAGGTGAAGTCGAGCTCCTTCGCCACATTCAGCGTGGCCGCGGCGCTCTCCTTCTCCTCGACGTTGTGCGCGGTGGTGTTGGACTTGGCCACTGCTACGGCGTGCGCCACGACGGCCCGCGCGTCCGCCTCGGTCCACGAAAAGGCGGCACCGAGGCGGCTTGTCTTGTCCCGCTTAAACTCTTCCCAGCCGGGGTGAGTCGGCAGGGGGCTGCTCGGCGGCGGGATCGGCTCGTCCCAGAAGTCGCTGCGGATGACGTCGCCCCAGGTGAAGCGCCGCAGCGGATCCTTCTCGAGCAGGCCGTTCAGCAACGTCTGAAAGGACTCCGGCATGGCGGTCACGCGCGGCGTAGGGGCCGTCAGGATGTCCGTCAACAACACCTCTAAATCTGTCGCGGAAAAGGGCGGCTCGCCCGTAGCGAGCTCGTGCAGGACACACCCAAACGACCACAGGTCCGATGCGACGGAGAAGACGGGCTTGTCGCACATAAAAAGCTCGGGTGCCATGTACAGCGGAGTGCCGATCAGCGGCCGCGTGCTGGCGTCGTTGAAGTAGCAGGCGAGACTAAAGTCATGAAAGCGCAGTATCGCCGCCGAGTCCATTAATAAGTTACGCGTTTGCACGTCGTTGCTCACGACACCTTTGCTGTGAATGTACAGGAGGCCCACCGCGATGTCGCGGCCGAACGCCTGCACGGCGACCGTCTTGAGCTGAATGCGCGAGCGGAGCACGGTGGACATGTCACCGCCGGTGCAGTACTCGGTGATGATCCACAGATGATTATTTGTCTCATACCAGTTGTGAAACTCGATCACGTTGGGGTGGCGCATGGAGCGCAGGATCTGCACGCAGTTCACCACGCGTTCCCGTCGCGTCTTGTCAATGGAAGCGATGGCGTAAAACTCTGTGGTGGATCGATAACGGCCTTTGTAGATGGTGCTAAAGGCCCCTTGACCGATCTCGTCATTCAACACGTAGTTGTTCATCTTCTTAGTCTTATTTTTTTACGGCTGCGTGTGCGTACCTATAGGGTGAACGAGGTCTCGTGGAGCAGTGTGAATGCTGACAAAAACAGAAGGAAAAGAAAAAAGAGTATTAGCGGTAGTCAGGCATGCAACCAAAGGTGGGGAAAACAAACACGCACTCAACGAAAAGAAGAGGAACACAATAATCCACAGCCGACTGCAGCCGTTTCTCTCTGCGCACTTGCAAGAAACAAAAAGAAATTAGAGAAAAGAAGGAACGGTGAGGAGAGGAAGAGCTAAGCGGGATAAAAGAAAAGAAAGAGGGAAAAAAAGTGTGTTTGCGCAACGCAAGCCCTCCTCACTGGACACACATCTAAAACGTCTCCACACACGCACACGCACGCACGAACAAAACTATGAAAATTCACCTGCACGTGAGAAACGTAACCCGCAACGTGAGTAGCGTAGCACAAAGCGTTTTCAGCACAAGGGAAAAAAAAAAGAAAGAGGCGCAGACCGAGAGACAAGAGAAGCAGAAGTAGAAGAGTTCACCTCACCGTTCGAAATGCAGAAGATACACTGAAGAGGGCGTCACTTAAGCTTTTTGTTTATATACCCCGCTCAGATGATCATCTTCTGCGGCACTACAAGAAATGCAGTGAACCGTGATCAGACTGAAATCAAAGCCGTTGCAATCCCGCAACACCGCCTCTACCAACGGAACAGTGCCCACAACAGAATGCTCGAGTGCTGAATTTCCTTATTGAATCCGCACTGCTGTCTCTCATCTGGTGTCTTGAGTTACGTCCTTTTATTGTATTTGTATTTGGCTCGAACGCTGCGTTCGTTCCTTTCTTTCTTTTTTTCAATGTTCGATTTCGACTCGTGGTTCAACGGGTGTCAACTCTACGCGTTCCACTGCAAACGGCCAACAGCCCACGGCCGCGTTTCACGCGTTTGAAAGGTAAAAGAAAAAACGCAATGAGCTGGGGTCAGCGAGAGAAGAAGCCGCAAACTTGTTGGCAGACAATGAAAGAAGAAGCCTGATGGGAACCAAAAAAGGAAACCATAAACAACAACGGGTAGACAAACAAGCTTTTCCCTCCACCCAGAACAGAACAACAACAAAACCAGTACGAAACACATGTACAGGTCCACACACATACACGCTGAAAGCACTCAAATGCGAGCAGAGATAACGCTGACGGGACTCGCGCACCGCACCCGGGGCTGCCTTCACCGCCGTTTCCATCGCACCGCTCACCACTGCAGTCTTATAGAGGCCCAGAAAGAGGGAAGAAAATAAAGGATGGCACACACAAAATAAACACACATATATATATATATATATATATATATTACTTCGCCAGCTCGTAGCGCTGCTTCGCGCGACGCACTACCTGCGTTACGTAGTGGTAGAAGAAGTCCACGTACAGCAACGACTGCACAAGGCCGCTGATAACAGACACCCACATCACCCTGTCCCGCACGTAGTACAGAATGAGCCAGTGCAACATGTACACCACACGGTACGCGCCCAGGCAGAAGAGGTAATGCGAGGTGAGCGCGTCGTAGCGATCCGTGTACTCGAGCAGGAAAATCTGCGGAAGAATCGCCACAGACTCGAGGTACTGCGAGAAGGTCCACAGAAGTTCCACCACAACGTTGATTCGCGGCGTACTGTGGAACAGAAGAGCCAACACCACACAAGGTACGATGAGGTATCGAATACGAAACGTGTCGTTCTCGCGATCGTAGGTGGCCTTCCAGGGGCTTCTGAATTTCATCAAATAGCAAATATGCACCGTGGAGGCAATGAAGAAGATCTTCATGACGGAGTTGTAGAGGCCTACGTATTTGAAGAGGAGATCTATGTAGCGCGTGCAGAAGACGATGGCGAACAGCTGCATCGACTTGAGAGAGATGCCAGCGGCGGAGCGCTGTCGCAGCATCTTCGACAGCAGAATGAAGATTGCACCGAGGTGCAGCAAGTCGCCAAACATGCGAATAAGCGCCATGGCTGCTAAGAAAGAGGGGAGACGCGACTTCAATAACGACGAACGGCAACACAAGAATCCTGAAGAGAAGAGAAAAAACGTACAATGAAGCGAAAGAAAAGAATGAATGTGTTGTGAGTGACACAACCAGACAACGTGCGGGGGCTCCTTGAGATTCGTAATCAGTTTGGGGCCGTTTTTGAGGTGTCGTCAGCGGCACAACGCAACAGATGAGAAGGCGAAAAGATGTGAAAGAAGAGAATTTCTATTCCAATAGCGCTGCGCCAATGTCGATGCTAACGCAAAGGTGGGTTCCAATGCGGCCGTTCCACCTTACCAACACCTACGCTCACAAGGAAAAAGGCGAAATGAAAGTGACGCCTCGAGAAGAAAGCATAAAGCCTTCCTTCCGGGTATGCTGGGCGGTACTTCACGAAGAATTTTTCCTTCCCCCTTCTTGTGCTCCGCAAAGTACCTTCTTATTTCCATCGACGAGCGGATGCTTCGACTGCCTGTCAAAGTTGACCTTTTCGTTGTTCGGTTTTCGCTCGCATTACATGCACTTTTCGATAGTCAAACGGCAGAAGAACACCAATGTAATGAAGTAAAGCGACACGCCCGCACGGGACTGAAAAGTATCGACACGCGCACGCACACACACACAGAGACAACTAGGAAAAGAAGCTATTAACAGCACTAACAACACAACAAGACTATTACGACTGTTGAGAAACGCTTTAGACGAGAAAGGGCCAGTCATCTCGCTTTGCCCTACCCGAGTGAGATAATGTCTTTCGTTCCCTCTACCCACATCATGTTTCCTCTGCTCATGCAGTTCATTCCGCAGTGATGGAGCGAGTGGGCAGCAAAATCGGGTTCATCTGTGCCATGTAGATAAGCACCCACGACAGCCAGCAGCAGAAAGCACCTACGTAGAAGAGCACGCGCACGAGGTCCACCTGGCTCTTGGCCCAGAGCGGTGCGCTGAAGGCGCCAACCACGGCGATGATGATGAATAGGAGCGTACCGATGAAGATGCCCATGATTGCCGTGTGCTTGTGTGAAGGTCAAAGTAGGCACGGCCTAATTTGCAGCTGCTCCAATTCCTCTATGAGATGTGAAAAGGCTGGCTGCGCAAACTATCCTTAATATAGATGGAGGTAGATTTCTCCTCGGCAACGAAAGTGTTTCCCGTTGAGCGGAACAAACGGATATATCCTCACGGTGAAGAAAACAAACAGAATGGCACACACGAAAGAAAAAGAAACAGAAGCAGCAACGAAGTAGACCTTCAGGATGGACATCTTACAAAGCCAGCATATCCAAATATATATAGGTGGTCGCGTCGTTAAGTGCGCCGTGGCACGCTGAGTACCAAAAAGGCATGCGTGCGGTGAGAGCAAAGAAAAGACCTCCAAAACAAAAAGAGGGGTTTTTATCGACTTTGTGTTTCTCTTTCCTTTCGTAAACGGCTGTTCCAGAAGGCGTTCACCGTCTTGGGAAACAAGCTCGCTCTTGTGTAGCAACAGTGCAAAAACCGATGGGACAGCAACACGGAAAACTCACAACGCGAGCCTCAGAGAAGAAAAAAAAAAACGAGATCAGCACGTCGTTGAACCGCCTCCAACTCTCGCGCACGTAGACGAACGAGCTTCAACAAACAGAAACACGTGAGAGAGCATCAGCATCTCAGCACGCCTTACATCACCGTATCACAGCGTCGGGTTCTCCAACTCGCTCACGACGCGCCACTCCCCGTTGTTGCTCGTCTCCCTCCACATCGCCACTGTGCCATCCGCGTAGGAGACGAGAAGAAAGGTGCCCACCAACGACCACGATAGCTTGGTAACATTTTCACCGGGGACGCCGTGCGGAGGCGTCAGCAGCCGGCACTGCCACGGGCTCGACGTCGGCCCGTCCTGCGCCCACACCGCTACCAACCCATCCTCAGAGCCCGCCGCAATGTACGTAAACGGGAGACCCAGGTTTGGTGCCCAGCTGACCTCCCGCCACGCCGGCGTGCTCGACGCGTCCGCTGCGTCCAACTCCGTCGCCGTCCAGACAGACTCCGGCGGCCCGCCCGTCTGCTCCCCCGGCGGAGGCGCGACGAAGGAGTGCGTCCATAGCTTCACGGTGCGACCACCCCCGCACGTCACTAAGCGTGGCGGGGCGAAAGGCATCGGGGGGACGCTGCCAGGGCCCCCAGGGACGTCCTGCTCCAGCAGCGCCATCAGCAGCGCCCCTGGAGGGAAGAAGGGGGCGAAGGAGATGCTGCTGCAGCCGTGCGGGTGGCTTTCAAAGGAGTGGATGTCCCACGTGCCGTCGGGCCCGCCGGTGAAGACGACCACCGCGCCGTCAGCGCAGCCCACGGCGAACAACTTTCCGTACTCGTGCGGGGCCCACGCGACACACCAACCCGGTGCGGCCAACGCGTAGCGGTAGACCTTGCAGAACTGTCCATCGTTGCCGACGTCGCTCCACAGCGCCACCTCATTTGCCGCGTCGGTGCACGTGACCAGCGCCGCGCTGTAGAAGATCAGCGGCGCCCACGCCACGCAGGAGACGGCGGCCGTCTGCTCATCGCTGCTGCACTGCAACGTGGCGATGTGATGCCACGTGGCCGCCGGCGGGCCGCCTTTGTACTGCGACGCTTCCTTCGACACCACGGTTGACTCGTAAATGTGCACGGTGCCGTCGTTGCTGGCCGTGGCCAAGTGGCGCCCGTTGGCGTCCGCAGCGATGTCCGTCACGGCAGCCAGGTGGCCGGTCTCTAACAGGGTGTCGCTCATGGCTGTTGGAGACGCTCAACAATGAAAGTACTCCACTTGAAAGTCACCCCAGCGCTGGAAATACGACATGAAATTTGGAAGCCGCGAAGCAAGATCTGACTCGTATCGCAATCCCTTCGTAATCAAACAATGGCTCTGCAGCACACCGGAAAAAAAACCTTTGCTTTTCAGCTTTCTTTCGTTACTCGATGCAATTCGTGCAAGCGTGTACCTTGACAGAATTCTCTTTTGTTGCTTTTATTATTCACCTTCGTCCCTTCGTGGGCCAATCAACGAGCAGACGCCTGCACCGAATCGGCGAAGACTAGGTCACGCGGAGCCACACACGTTGCTGCCGTCGAGAAACGAAATCGAAAAAAAAGGAGAGGGGGGAGAAGGAGGAAAACAAAGTACAAAGGAAATGGATAGAGGGGAGGGGACACAACCTACAATGCCACGGAGTGTCTGCCTCGCCCGTTTCCAAGAAGAAAGTTGCTACCCCGCCTGCGCGATCGCGAAGTAGGGGCGAAACGAAGAGGGAGGTGCCGTTTCTTTCTTTTTCTTTGATTCCTTCCCACTTCCTGGGAGGTGCATCTGTGAACGCGAAACGCGAAGGACGAGCTGAATGTGCAAAAACAAAAAGAGAACGCAGCAGACAGATAACAGCGCATCAGCAAACTGCACGCGAAGACTCGCGCAACATCTCCACGCCACGTGCATGTCTCATTTCGGCACCAGGGCACTCTGATGCACGTTCATCCAAATGTCAACGCGCCGCTTCGCCAAGATGAAGTATTTCTGCATGTACACCCAACCGCGTCCGCGATACGACCAGCCAATCGTGTCAAATACAACGATGGCGGCGAAGGTGGCGATAAACGCCATGACGCTCCAAAACCACGCGTAGGCGACGGACAGACGGTCCCTGGCGAGGGCGTAAACGAGCCGATACGCGCCGTAGGCGGGGACGCAGACGAGCAAAAGAAACATGCCGTAGAACAAGATCACAAAGTCGCACGAGAAGGGGACGAGGGCTACGTTGTGCTTGCAACGGGAAAAGCGAGTCGCCTCGTACCAGTCGGTGAGGTAGAGGCGATGGGACTTGACGGCACGCAGCTTCGGGTGCATCTCGATGAGCGTGGTGAGGGCCTGCACCGACAACTCGTTGCGCCAGTCTCGCGGGGGGTCGTCGAGGCTGTAGGTCTCCAACACGTCCGCCTGCTTGCACGCCGCCATCACTCGGTGCACCGCCACCGCGTCGTTCCACCCCTCCAGCGTCACCTCGCGCAGATGCGGGCACTTGCTGAGGGAACTGAGGAGCTGCTGCGCCATGGGCTGACAGTGCCTCGACAGGTACACGTACTGCACGCCAGGGTTCCAACGAAAGAGCGGTTCGATCAGGCGTGCATCCAGCACGTCGAAGTTCTCGTTGCTGCATGAGTGCGGCACAATAATGTTCTTACACCCCCGCTCCGTGCCGAAGGCCCAGACACCACGAAGACGGCTGCGCAGCGAGGGCAGAAAGTAGGCCGTGTTCACGATGCAGGTGGGCTGATCTGGAAAGCCGAAGAGCGACGGATTCAAAGCGGCGTAGCCCAGGACCTTCTGGATGTCGTTCATGCTCCACCGGTGCAGCGGCATCGTGCGGAAGAAGCCGCGGTACAAGGGAAGATACCCCAGACGCTTCTTGCGCTCCGTGAACGGATTATAGAACTTTGGCCGCCATCGTCGTGGCTCCATTTCAGTTTTTCTTTCTTTCTGGGGTAGAGTTGCTGTCGTGACGAAATGGGGATTGCGATATGAGCGGCGAGGGTGCGTCGCGGGAGGTGCGAAATCAGTATGCAGCAAAACGACGCGAGTAGATGCGTGAAGAATGCATACAAGTTTTTTTTCCCTTCGCTATTTTCAGTGTTTCCTTTCACCGTATTGAACGACACAATGACGCGTAAAAGACAAGAAGAAATAGACATTGTTGAATCGACCGAGTTGATGAAGCATGGAAAAAAAAAGATGACAGTCAAATAAACGTAAAAGGAAAATGGATAATGGATAATCTGCCGACAAACACAAGTTTGCACGCAAGGGTCTCGTCCTGTGTGCTACTCAAGTAATAGTCCATCTAGCTTCGTTGCGGTTAAGACCCAAGGAAGCAAATCACGCAATGAAACCTTTATTTGCGAGGTTGCGCTTCTTTCACCTTCTCTGCATGCTGATGGTTGTTGGTTGCTGTTGGGAGCTTGCGAAAGAGAGAGCAGATGGAGAACTGCAGCCCGATCAACGTTGGGGCTGTCATCCCGGGTTTTTCCATTTGAGAAAGTGGGGTGGAAAAAGATATTAAAACCGGGGCGTCGTACGCAACGCGAACAGCGGAGGGAAGGGGGAGAGGAGGGGGTGCCGTCAAAAACCGAAAAAAACAAATATGCGAAACAACAACGTAAAGACCGGCGAAAACCACCGTTGATTGGAGTATCAGCGGATCCATCTACTTTACGTACTTTTCCGCATAGGCCATGAGGGAAAGCACTGTGCGTAGTACGGCTCCACCGCGCGGTGGTGCACCAACCGAACGTCCAGCGGCACACCGAGAGCCCCCACACTGGTCACCGCCGAGGTGATCGCAGACGCAATCCACGTCCCATCGTTGTTAAAGACGCCGCCGCCTACCTTCGTGAGAAAGATAGGCGGAAGAGTCCATGCTATCGTGCTTTCGCTGCGACCAGCCCGCATCGCCGGCGCATCCTTGCTCTGCTGCTCAAGAGAGCGAAGGGTGTGCTGGACGCCGGCGAGCAGCGTCGCCTCGTACGTCCCATCGAGAATGATGCGCGACAGCAATTCCACCCCAGCCCACGCGTCATCTGACCCTTTCGCCGGCGGCGGTGGAAGGCTTAATGCGCTGCTGTAGACCTGGGAGACCTCGTGAAGGGCGCTCAGTGAAGCACCGTCCTTGTGGGAATCGTGCAGAGGCAGCGTCACGGTCGCGCCCTCCACCAAAGCGACACGTAACCGGGAAAGCAAAGCCTCCTTCACGTCTGCCGGCGTTGTCCCTTGACTGGTCGCCACACGTTCCAGCCAGCCATTGAGGCTGCCAATGGACGGTGCTGGGTGAAAGTAGCCGCTGCGCACCCTATAAAAGTGATCGAAGTCAACTGTTGGCAGTGCCGAAGCCGCACTTGCGCTGTATCCCTGCGTAAGGTAGGTCGTGAGGTCGTCGAGCAGGTTCAACTGGTGCAGCGCCTGCTGGCCGCGTTGCTGCTCGCCCACCTCCGCCTCCTGTGCGACGTCCGTGTTGAAAAGAGCAGGGTGGAACAGGTAGTTGCGATACGCAGTGCCCGCCATGCAGGCCAACGCGCACGCGGGACCTTGCGTGCGGTCGTACACGTAGTGGGTCACGCCATCCTCGGGTGTGACATCAGGCGAGACAAACTCCAGCGAATTAAACTGACTGGCTACCTGGAAAAAGGCGTTTGGGAAGCGGAGGTGCAGCGCGCCGCTCTCGCCTACGGTGTGCGAGCACTGCACCCACGGAGCTATGGATGACCCTGCGGTGGAGGTGGGGACGGTCGAGGATGCGCAGGCCTGCAAAACCTCTGTCTCGCCTTGCAGCAGCGGTGGCGTTTTCTGAAACGAAGCCAACAGGCCGGGTCGCTTCTCTTCGAAGGCGCAAACCAACTCAGCCGTTTCCGCTCGCAGCTCCGCGACACTCGGGGTGGAGTGCCAGCCGCCACTGATGAGGTGACGCCTGCCAAAGGCGGGGTGCTCAAACAGGGCGCGCTCCTTGAAGACACGCGGCATTCCGGTCGAAGTGCTCCGTCGATTTGATTCAAACGTGTATTTCTGAAAGAGTTGGTGCCTGGTGGAGAAGTAATCCACCTCCTTGAACCCAAAGACAGCTTCAAAGAAGCCTTCCCCCCGTTGCAGAGACATCGCAGCAGAAAAGCCAGAAAAGAAGTACTTTGATTACGCTGGGCGAGCCAGAAAAAAAGTCGTGTATGCGTTTCCTCTGCAACACAAGAAAAAAGTAGATGGGGCAGCAAAGATAGAGCGGTGAAGAAGAGGAAAGCAAATGGAGCTCTTAAAGCAAGAAGCTGCATCGCCTGAGAGAGCGAGAGAGAGAAAGCTCTGTAAGGCATTTGCAGCAGGAAAACACGGAGCTCTCGAAATACCGGTTACTGAACTACATTCAAATGTTCACTTTGAATTGCGCTGTTGACAGTAACTTTTCTTTTCTTGGGGTTTATGTGTTCTTTGGTCAAGTACTTATCTTTCGCAGCCACTGAAGCATACGACATTCCACGAAGCGCGCGTGCCACACGCAAGCAAAACGTGCCTACCTGATGGCTCTATATAAACATGCTCCGGCTGAACTTACTCGATTAGTTAAAGCAGTACCATACGCACTCACGCACCTACCACCTCCTGTTTTTTCTTTCCCCCACGCTTCACGCAAACATGAAAGACGCAAGAAGCGAAAAAAGGCAAGTCCGTGAAAGGAAAAGAAAAACTCGTTGTAGGCAAGTGCAGGTTCTTACTCGATGTCGTCCACGGAAGCGGAGCCCAGCATCTCAGCACTCGTCGTTGCGTCCTTCACAGAGGGTGGCGATGCAGGGGAGTTTCCGGGAGGAACCGCAGCGGCCGGCGCGCTCTTCACTGCGACCGGAGGCTTGACGGCTGCTGCTTGGTCACGCGTCGCTTCTGCCTCTCCCTTTTCGTCCATACCCTCCTCTTCTTCCTCGGGAAGAGAAACACTCACCGTCGCCTGGGACGGAGGCACGTAGGAGTCCAGGGTCTCATCACGACTCATGAGCAGCGTCTCCATCTCGTTGAACTGCTTATCATAGATGAGCTGCAGAGCCGTCTTGCCCATCACATTTTGCTCCTCCGGTCGCCAGCCGTGCGCCAGCAGCGCCTCCGCCGCGTCGACGCGGTTGTTGAGGGCCGCAAAGTGCAGCGCCGTATTGCCCTCGTCGTTTGCAACGTTCGGCTGCGGGCTAAACTGAAACAGCATGGCTAGAATTGGCATGTGGCCGTTGGCGGCCGCCATGTGCACCGCGGTGCGGCCTTGTTCGTCGCGCGCGTCGACGTCGCCGGGGTTCTTCTCGAGGTAGGCGCGCAGCAGCGCGAGATCGCCCTCCTCGTTGTAGCGCGCGCTGTCGAGAAACGCGTCGATGTCCGTGAGCGGCTCACGAAGCTCGGAGTCGGGCTCGTAGTAGGTCTCCATAAAGAAACGATGCGCGATGGCTCGCAATCCCTTCAAGACGCCGAGTGTTAATGATACGTGGGTATAAATGCAGCAATTATTGTGCAGAACGAAGAGAAGCAAACCGATGATGAAGAATGGAGTTGAAGTGGACAGGAATACTGCTTGAAAGAAACGTGAACAACGCACTCTGCCTACGCAGCAGTACGAATCCGCCGTCTTCAGACTTCGCAGCTTGTATAAAGCAGTTAACAAAAATAATATGGAAAGGCCCAAAGTACCTTTGAGGGCGGGCGTAGCTTTCGCCAAAACGAGGTCTTCTCCTTCATTCATGGCAGCGAGAGGAAGTCGCTACCAAGTCGGTAATGCTCCCATGGCAGCAGCAAAAGCAGCTGAAGGAGAACCGCAACCGTCGCTTCCACAATAAAAAAGAAGAAGAAGCGTAATAGTCCATATATCCAGATTTATATATATATATATATATCCGCCGATGGAGCTAACGGCCCACTTTGACATCGCAAGCGCATTTAATGACAGCTTCGTTCGTAATTTCTTTTCTCTTAGTGCGGAACTTACGCTGAAAAGGGAAGAATAACATAAGGCCAATCGTGATATGAATATGAAACAGAAGAAAAAGGGAAGACCAACACGACCCATCAATTCCACAACAAGAAGACAAAAAAAAAGTTCTACACTCCTCAACGGTACAGATATTGATATGAAAGGATGAGACTGAGCCAGCTACCTCTCCTCTACATCGATAGGGGAACGAAAAAAAGAAAAAAGGAGATGTCTCGGAAAGCCATCGCAATAGACAGACACGGTGAGAAGCGCAGCATGTCACAGCAGCGGTGAATGAAAACAAGATGCTTTCTTTTGTTTCTTTATTATTATGTTGTTGTTTTTTTTTTTAATATTCACTGCTAACTGGTGTTGCCCCCTTTGTGCCGGGTGCTGCTGCTGCGGATGACGCTGAATCCATACTTCCCTAAACTATTAGAGGAGCGCCATCATCTGCTCTTTCCAACAAGCCTCCTCTCACACACTCACACAAGAACCATCAGATTCGTAACGCACCTTTGCAGCAAAAAAAAGTCGAAAGAAAGGGAAGGGTCGGAGAACACACTGCAGGCAAATCAAGGTAAAAAGATGCGTGCGACCGCATCAGCCACCAAAAGGAAAAAGACAGAGAATTCCGCCTTCACGGTTGGGGTCATGTCAAGTCACCGCGGCATCACGAAACACCGCATGCCGCTAGGTGCGAGTGTGGCTAGGAGTGCGTACGAAAGGCAGACATAACAGTTAAACGCCTCGCTGTGTAGAGTTGTGTGTGTGCATGTGTGTGCATGTGTGTGTTTGTGTGTGTGTGTCTGTGGGCATCATTGCGTGCCCCTACGAGTAGAACTTCGGCTTCTTCACGGAGGGTTTGAGGATTTGGAAAGAGCACATGAGCTCGCTATCCACCGTCATCACGGCACCGCTGTTGTCAAACTCGTTGCAGTAATTCGGGGCTGAGAAGATGGTAATGAGCTTGCGCTTCGCGAAGAACTGGTAGCCGTCCTCCACGACCTGGTGCGCGCGGCAGATGAGCTCAAACTGGTGCTTGTTAAGGAATTTCTCTACAATATCCTGTCCAAAGGTGAAGGAGACGCCGCGGTCGTTCTCACCCCAGCCGGAGAGGCCCTCCTCCGGATCAGACCAGAGCAGGTCGCAGATCAGACCTGTGTCTGCTACATCGCATGGGCGCGTAATCTTCTTGATTTGGTCCATCGTCTGCAACTCGGGGGAAAGGCCGCCGTGGCAGCAGAAGATCTTATCATCCACAATGCAGGCCACCGGTAGGCAGTTAAAGGTGTCGGTGAACGCCTTCCACAGGCGGATGTTGTAGCGACGCTTGCACTCGTCAAAGAAGCCGTAGATGCGGTTGATGCTGGCGCATTCGTGGTTGCCGCGCAGAATGAAGAAGTTCTCCGGAAACTTCACCTTGAAGGCAAAAACGAGGCAGATCGTCTCCAGCCCCTGTTTTCCGCGATCCACGTAGTCGCCGAGGAAGAGGTAGTTCGCCGTGGGTGGGAAGCCGCCGTTCTCGAAGAGGCGGATGAGGTCGTAGTACTGCCCGTGGATATCGCCGCAGATCTTGATGGGCGCCTCCAGTTCTAGCAGGGGCGGCTGGGAGAGGAGAATCTCGCGCGTGCGCATCGCCAGCTGCTTGACGTCGTTCTCCGCTAACTGTACCTGCTTTCCGGGCTTCGCGCCGCGGACCTCGAGCAGCTGCTCAATGATCGAGTCCACGCTCATTCTGACGCTGTTGTTGCCGAAGCACGGAGTCTAATAGGAAGTCAAAAGTTCAAAAAACAAACACTGTTCGTCTGTAGTATTGCAAGTTACAACGGCAACAACAAAAAAAGAAGTAGCACTTGAATCACTTTTGCCGCTGTTGCTTGCTTAACCAACTCCGTTCTTCTTTTATCTTATTTTATACGTGGGCGGAACTAGTACTTCAAAATGCGAGACGATGTTAAACGCCGTTGTGCCTTAGCGCGGGGTGAAAAGCGCGGAAGTGAGAAGAAGGAAGAAGAATGCGGAGACAAAAGTATAATGTGACACGTAGCAGGCAGCGAGGAAACAACAACCACAAGAACAAGAACAAGAACAAGATAATGATAAGCGAAGAAAACTCGTAGAACTAGTTGAAAGCAGCAAAGGACAAGCCTGCGATTGGGTAGTGAACAGGGAAACGTGTTTTTTTGTTTGTTTTTTTGAATTTACTTGTCCTGCTATAAAAGAAGGGAGGAAAAAAAAGAGGCGCAGGCACGAGTTTGATCAGCGCATGCACGAAAAGAGAGCTCTAAGTGTGCTGAGAGGAAGTGATGGAGAAAAGAAAAGAACAAAGCTCTTACTGCCCGTGTATGTGTGTGCGTGATACGAGCACGGGAAGAGGAAAAAGGGAGAAGAGAAGCAGATAGGTAAAAACAAGTTCGAGCAAAAGGAGGTCGATTTGGCGCGCACACACACACACGGTGGTGGATTCAAGAGAGGGACATCAACAACGGAAGGAGGTTAGCGCGTCTCGTTTCCTCCGCGCGGGCAGTGGCAAATCATTCGCGCATCACCTCTTTCATCGCACGCCAGTAGGTACGGAAAGTGGCATCGTCGCGCTTACACAGATATGCGAAACAAGGGCCGCGTCCAAACATAATGAGCAACAAAACAAAATAACTGCCTCTCTTGCTGAGAGCAGAGCTGCCTTTGCTTTTTCTTTTCCTGCTTTTGTTTTTCTTTTTCCATGTCGCGACTTTCAAAGTAGTTTGCTTTGGCCAGCTGAGCTGCAAGCACATCAGCAGACATGTCTGAAGGAAATAGAGAAAGAAAAAAAAACTAGTGTGTGTGTGTTTGCTGTGCAGGCGAACATAGAGAGCACAGAGAGCAAAAGGTAAAAAAAGCAAACGGCGAAAACACATAGATCACGGAGGAAAGGGTTAAGGTTAAAGTTCGCCATTTATCGCTGCTCCAAGGAACACGGATAAGCAGCATCGCAAATTGAGATATCGAAACAAAAATAGCATCGATAGCGCTCGAAGTGAGATGCACAAATGCGGTGCTGTTGACGCTGCCGCGCTGAGCCATCATTTTTCGCTTTCCATGTTCACTGCGTCTGGACTAACGGAGCTGGCCCTCACGATCGACACTGCCGATGCACCCTGCATGCTCACCGCGAACTGCAGCGGTGGCACAGGCGCCGGCCACCGCGCACGACACACCTCCTTGTCCCCTTTGTAAAAGAACACGATGGCGCCAATCGAGGCATCGGGGTCTTCGGGGTCTAGGACAATAGGCGTCAGAGGGAGGGAAGAAGAAGGCGGGACCGCAGCTGCGCCTTGGCTCGCCGCCGGCGCTGCCGTGGGAGCAGTGGATGGGATGCCCATGGGTTGTGCCACCGCCGGTGTGGCGGTCGCCGTGGTGGCCGAATTAGCGTTCGCAGAGTCTGTATTGCTGTTCGTAGCCGCGGTGGCGGCTATGCTGCCCGGTACGGGCGTCCCTCGAATGCCTTGCGGCGCGCGGCTGTTGGTTGTCGCATCCCCCAACGGCGAGCCGGGCTGCAGCGCCGAGGCTGTCGTGTTCAACTCTAATCCACCGCCAGTGTGGATGGTGACCGTCGTTCTCGCGGCGGTGGCTGGGGTGCTGCTCGGGGCTGCGGTGGCAGGCGCAGGAAGGCGAGCGGCGACTATGGTGCCCAAACTGTTGACCGTCGCGACGCTGGACGGCAACGGCGCTGCAAGCCGCAGCGCCGGCTGCAACGGCGGGGGCAGCGCTCTCTCGAGCTGCGTGCCGGCCGACGGCTCCAGCGGCACCCCCGGTTGCGCAAACTCGACCCGCACCGTAATCTCGTCCTGGCTCTTGTACAGCACACCCTGATCGTACAGCGCATCGGTGGACCAGTAGCGCACGAACTCTCCCGTGTTGCAGTAGCACACGGAGTTCTTCTGTCTGCGAATCTGCATGTCCAGCTGGACGTCCTTGAAAGCGACCATGCCCACCGAGATGAGCTCGCACTTGTCCATGCGGAAAGTGATGGTGTGCACGAGACTCGTGGAGAGCGGCTCCGTGCCGCAGATGTCGAGAATATCGGAGGTGGAAAACTCCACGCCGTCCTCCCGCACGCCGGGGCCGGGGGTGAAGCGCCACATGGACGGTGGGTTTAGTCCAATTTCTCGTTTCAGCGCCTCTAGTTGGTACAGCTCCGCGTCCTCGGCGACCACGACGAGGTCGTCCGTCTTGCTGGGCAGACCGTAGCCCCGCAGGTAGTTCACGATGTGGGCGAAGATGTACGGGTCGCGGTCGATGAAGGGGTGGCCCTGCAAGTCGCGCGGAAACTGACGGAAGTCATTTTTGGCCCACTCCGCCAACAGCGACGGCGAGGAGCACAGCGTCGACTCCAGGGTGGTGATGTTGGTGCCACCAATGTTCAGCACGAGGACGCGGTCATTCTGAAGCGTCCCGGCGCCTTTCTCCTCGGACGCGTCAGCGGATTTGGAGTGCGTGGCAGCGTCGGCGTTGCTGCGTGTTTGCTCTCCACGCACACGCTTCGTGGCTGGAACGCTCATGATATTAAAGAGGTGTTGCCTTTTTTAGTGGAGGTGTGCTCTTTACTAAGGAATAATTTGTACTGTTTCTGAAGGTTAAATAGAGTTCTCAACTCAAACACAGGAGTAGAGCGAACACGGCACGGCGCCACAGAAAAAGATGTGGACAGAAGCGGTTGTGTGGTAAGGGGGCAGGTGCCTGTATTCAAAAGTGATTGTATTTTTTTACTTGTGCTCGCTGAAGCATCTAAAAGGCAGCAGTGACACACACACACGCACAAAGAGAGAGGAGGAAATTTACGATGTTTGATTAAGATTTGCAGCATCGCAGCTGGCGCGTGTGGCAGAGGACGCGTGGGAGACGCAACACCACAAACCCGATGCTTAGCGTATCGCACAGAAGAAGAAAAAAAACCGCATCTGAGGTGTTACCACAAGATGCATGTACCAAATCGATCTTTAAAGCATGCAACAACTAACAGACATGAACCCTCAGCACAACAGAAGAGCATGGGTATTCAACGCAACGCATAAGGTTCTACTTTCCAATGTGAGCAGCAGTATTGGGAAAAAAAAGGAGAGAAAGCATCCGGCTCTCAAAATCCTCCTCAAAAAAGCGTCTCACTTATGAAGAAGCGTGCAGCACGGTCACTTTTTGCTGCTGTTGCTGCTTTCTTTCTTTGGTAGAGAGAAATGAAGCCTCTTCTGTGCGCTTTCTACAGCTCGTCCACCAACTCCAAACACTCCGCATCGTCATCGTCATCCCGGTCTGCGCTCGGAACAGCCATTGCGTCTTCCACGCGCGCCTTCTTCGACGTCCGTGGCAGATTGCTGTCATTGCCGGTGGGAAAATCAGACGAGGGAGAGAGAGGTGCCGCACTCGGCGTACCGTTCTCGCCAGCCCCTTCGACCGCTAAAGAATACTGCTTATTGGCGTTCTCTCGGTGTGCGAAGCGGCTTCTCGACGGTACTCTTCTCATCTCCCCAGCAGTCCTCGTATCTTTCGCGTTGGCAGACTCGAATAAATACGTGTCGGAAGCGGCAGTGTCCAAAGCAGCTTCTGCAGGAAGCGCCATAGAGTTGCCGGTGTCCATTACTGCGGCGGCAGCGGCGGAAGATGCCTCATCTGGGAGCAGCAGTCCCGACAAGTTTTGCAAGCAGGCAACCAGCAGCGGGGGCACTTTGGAGGACAAGACGAGCACCGTAATGTCCGTGAAGAGGAGCATCGCCCCGGTGGTGAGCACGTCCGGGTAGCGGCTGGTGATGTCGCCGTGAAGAGCACAGTAGCAGGCGCCGCTGCCGTCCCGTAGGAGCACCGTCGAGTCCGCCGCGCTCTCCGTGACGAGCCGCGTCATGAGACCGCCGCAGCAGGCTATTTTGCCGGAGTGCGAAAAGTGGGAGCTCACCTCCCCTAAGCTGGTCAAAGAAACGCCCTTCTCCCTGGCGAGCGACTCGAGAACTTTCTGAGGATCCATCCTTTCTTTACGCTTTTCTTTTTTTTTTCTTTTTTGGGGGGTTCTGTGATTTATGGAGGGTTTTCTTCTTGATTTAGCAATCCGCCACCTCCGCGCACGGGATTGAGACGAGCACAGCTTGTGCGAATTGGGGAGTCGTCACGAGCTTTCCCACCGTCTGTCACCTCGCAATGCCTTGGACAGAACTGCGTGCCTTGGGCGAAACAGTTCGTAGTATCACAAAAGGAAAAACAAAGGAGTTGAAAGGGGATTTGAGGGACAGCAGAATAATTACTTTTGGGAACTTGTTCTCCTTGTTTCGCTGCAGGACCTCGAAACAGCTTGTAACGCGTGTTCTTTTTTTGTTCTCTTTTGTTTGAAAGCCCGTACAGATGCCCTATTCGTCACACACACACATAGACATACACACACAGTCTAATATGAACGTCAGACGTAATCCTCTGCCTGCTTGTGCTGTTAGTTTGCTTTCGCTCTAGAGAGTGAGTAAGAATAAACGCAAAAACGGTCATTGCGGCATCAACGGTGAGCTTGACAACGCATCATCCAAGAAGCAACTACTTCCAACAAAATCAAAAAAAAAGTGAGTAGGTAGCGTGGACCCCATCACGACCGGTATTGGGCGAGCGCTAACTTGGAACCGTTGACACGGTGGACTGATAACAGGAAGAAAGCACTACGAAGGTAAACCGGAGGGAGGAGGGGAACCGGACAGAAGAAATGGGAAAGAGGCGAGACGGAAAGAACACTCTCATCACTTAGCCGCGATAGCTTTTCGTCTCGGCTCCTCCTCTCCTCTCCTCTCCTCTCCCTTCTTTTTACTCTCACATACACACAACTTAGGCGTAGATGCACAGCACGGCAACGCCGAGCGCAACACGCAACGTCATGCGCAGTTTGCGCTGCGACGCCGCGTTGGCCGTCAGCTGCCGGTCGAGGTAGCGGTGCAGCAGCAAGGTAAGTCCGAGCGAGATAGAAGAGCCGTGGCGGTGGTAGACGCCCCACGTAATCAATCCCACAGCAGCCAGCAGGGCAAGTCGCGTGAAGCACATCACAGACTCGATGACGCTGCTTTCGCCGTCCTGGGCATCCGCCTCCGCCGACAACAGCATCGCGCGGAGCTCCACGGAAGAGATGGGCAGCGAACTCTCGTGACGGCGACGCAGCGCCATCGCCATCTCAGAGAGCGTCCCCTCGTCCCGGCGCTCCTGTTCGGAGTAGGCGAAGGACTCGACGATAGACTTGGCGAACCACGCCACGGCAGCCACCACGACCCAGTGCAGCACCCACACGACCAGCGAGTCCGTGGACTCTGCCGCGGACTCAAGGACGGAGCCGTCGTCGCCCTTGGCGCGGTTGGCGATGCTGTTGCGCGCCTGCACCACCGCCCCGACTGCCTGCTCCACCACGGCGCCCACACGCAGAGAGGCGGGCAAGACGCCGGCAGCGGCGTGGCCAATCTTGCGCATAAGGCGCTCGATGTTGTCACCCGAAAAGAGCACAATAAAGAAGATGGCTTGCATGTTCACCTTGATGAGGGCCTTGCCGATAAACGTGGCGGAGAAGAAGGTCCAGAAGGGCATGAGAAACTGACCGCACGCCATGCCGCAGAGGTCGAAGGCCATGTTGGGCCACGCAGCCAGCAGCAGGATAGCCCAGAAGCCGTAGCGGCGAATCTTCCGCAGCGTCCAGTTCTTCATGAGCGTCATGACATCGTAGGCCGGCGTCTCCTGGAGGTCGTCCCGGTGCCGCCCCTGCAGTGCCGCGGCGTAGCTCAGCGCGTAGGGGGGCACCTCTCCTATTGCCGTCCCGGCCCCCCACAGCACACACGCCGGGACGACCTTGAGGAGGTACTGAAGAAGGGACACCTGCAGCGCCGCCGCCTCCGGCTGACTTTGTGGGGCGAGGCACACAAAGAGACGGTCGCGCGGGCCGTAGAACAAGTTCGACGGGTAGCTCCAGAAATTCGTGTTGCCGCATCTTGACACCGCCGCACAGGTGAGGTAGATGTGGGGAAACAAAAAGAGAAGTCCCGAGTGCATGCCGGTGCCGAGACCGATGGATGAGAGCACGCCAAGCACCACCCAGTACAGCGCGTCGGCCAGCCAGTACTCCACCTCGCGCCACCAGCCGTGTGCGAAGACCGCCCGGTACCGCTGCACCTCCGGCGTAGTCGACTGCCACCACTCCGCGAACGCATCGAACTCCACGGAAGGGGCACCAAAGGATCGGGCAGCAGCGGTGCCCGTCTCAGCCGGCTGCTTCAGCACCGTCGTGTAGTACGACTCCACCTCGCTGGTCGTCGCATATCCGTCGCCATCCGCGTCCAACGCGGCGAAGATGCTGGAAGCCGGAGCTGGAATTACGTTGTACGAGATGAAACAGAGCGCCACCACGAGGGGCAGCAGAACCGTGTTGACCAACGGCTTGCTGAGGGCGGCTTCAGTGTAGTACGCAGTGCGATGTGCGCTGTAGGACAGGAAGAGGGCTGCGGTGTGGAGAGGACGGTGAAGAAGGCTCAGCTTTTCACGATCCGCAGCCAAGATCGCCCCTGCGCGCTCCAAATCACGCGACATATTTCCAACAGTCAACAGAGAAAAGGCGGGTTTGCACCACCGTGATGGGAACACCAGAAAAGGAAGAAGTGTGCGTGACGAAGTGCAAATATTAGACAGTTAACGGTAACCCAACGCGGTTACGACTAATTTGGGTGTAGAAGGAAATAAGAATTCCGAAAAAAGAAACTCCTTGCGCAGCTGAGGTTGCACTCAGAGCGCCTTTCAACAATCTCTTACAGTAAACACAGACAAATGCAGTGCTTCAAGAAAGATTGTGGAATCAATTGTGAGGGCCTCACACAGCGAACGAATTGCAGGTGGAATGTGAAGAAGAAAGAGACCGAACGTTTAAAAAAAGGACAGTTTTTCCTTTCAGATAAGGCAGCGTGGATAGGTTTTCAGATTCCTCGAAGGGCCGAAATGACCCGAGCGACAGTAGATCTGAACGAGAATACGCCACGATGAAAAGGTTGTCTCGTTCAACAACAATTTGGAAGTTGCTCTCAAGTGTGAGGAAATACATTTTTTTTCCAGGAGCTTTCCTGCAACCCAACTTCAACTCAACGAGCGTTGCTCGTGTGTAATTCGTGTTAACGAATGATAGTGTTTTGCTTAATTGTGCCTCACTTAGCGCATCAGTGCACTTATATCGAGCTACGTGATGATATCAGAGGAATTAAGAAAAAAAGTGGCAGCTTTAGATGCCTTACACACACTTAAGATTGCTTTAATCGCAGGAGTATCAACAACAAAAAGAGTGGGGAAGGGAGAAAGACGCATCACAATAGCCCCGCACGTCTCTGACACCTGCACCTCCGCAGTGAAAAGGACCGGCATCCGTTTCAACGTACACGCAGAGAGGGAAGCGGGAAAAAGCCCACGAAAGCGTGTACAGCGACGCGGGGCGTGAAGCACGCCGGCTCTCTTGCCGCACAAACCGCAGGCCAAACTTCGGAGGAAAATCCGAAAAGGGAAGCCACGCACACTTTTCGCCGACAACACCGGTCGTGAGACTACAATTTTGTACCACGCACGACGCCAGGCCGCATCGAGCGAACGCCCACGAACCCGCCCTCTGGTTCGGCCTGGAAGTTGCGCGACTGCGACTTGTGCACCTGCAGGCCGCGTTCGTACTTGCGCCGCTGCGCCACGCGAGGGTTCTTGCGGTCCTTCGGGCGGGCCTTGGTGAGACCGCGGTGCGACTCGATCTTCTTTCCAGCCTTCCGGCGATCCACCTCCTCCACCTGCGGACGATGTGCCGACGCGGCAGCAACGGCTTTGCGAGACGACTCTGTAGCTTGACGCTCCCGCTCCTCGTCCCACACACCCTCCAGATCCTCCTCATCCTCCTCGGGGCCCATCTCGTCCCCTTCCTCGTCCTCGAGGTCATCGCTCGCGATGTCGCGCAGCGCCTCTGCATCCTCGTCCTCGTCGTCCAAACTCGCATTCGCAACCTTTTTGGCTGGCCGCGAGCGGCCCAGCACGTCGCCCGTCTTCTTCTGCCGCCGGCGCAACACCTCCATCAACGAAAGGCCCACCTCGCCCTCACCCTCATCGTCCTCCTCGTCGTCGACACCCGCACCACCGCCGGTAATACGAGAGAAGAACTGATCCTCGTCCTCTTGATAGCTCACCGGCGCAATCGTCGAGCTCGCGGTGGTGGCGGCGCTGTTGAGCAACGAGGCCTTCTTGGTGCGCACGCGTGTCATGGCTGACTGCTCCTCGCGCTCCAGGTCCTCGGCCTCCTGCATCTGGCGCAGCTGCTGGCGGCGCTCGCGGGCCTCGGTGTTCTGCGCGGCGCGCCCCGCCTCGAAGACGCCGCCCTTGCCGGACGGCAGCGGCCGCAGCTCGGTGAGGTGGGCAGCGGCAGTGGACTTGCCGCTGAGCAGGCGGTTCAACGAGTACTGCAGCTTCTCCTCGAGCGGCCACATTTTCTCGAGGTAGACGCGAATTTCTACGAGGTGGTCAATTACAGGATGGCCCTCCACCTTGCGGCCCTCCGCCTTCAACAAGAGGTAAAACGTGACGTTCATGCAGTAGCTCAGCATGAGCTGCACTTTGGTCTCGAGGAACGACACGAGATTCCGATCCGAGGCAGACACCTTGCGTTCGTACAGCAGCTCGTGGAGTGGCTGGGCAAGGGCTTTCACTTCGGTCATGTAAGTCTTGAGGTCGTCCAGAAGCTTCAGCAGCTCGGGGGACTCTTTCTTCAGCACCGCCAGGCGCTCCGTCGTGGTGAGGGCGGCAAAGTCACGCTCAATCGCCTCAATGGCGGGCGTCGCCTCCAGCGCATCCAGCGCGTTCCGCTTCACGGCCGCCTTGCGCTCCGAAGCGACCTGGGCGATGGACACGCCAGCCACGTCGAAGTCCTCCTCCGTCGTCTTCTTGCGCAAACCCTTCCCTGTCACCATGGCCAGCTCCTCCTCTTCCTGGTAGCCGCCGAGGTCATCGTCGCCGTAGCCGTCGAGGCGGTGGGCATCGGCGGGCAGCACGGTGAGAACGTCGTCCTCCTCCACGTCACCGGCGCGGTCCGCCTTGCGGGCACGGCGGTCATGCACGACGTCCTCATCGTCCACGTAGGCGTCCGCAGCGGCGACGTCGAGGTCGAGGTCCTCAACGATGTTGTCGCTCGCCTCCTTGCGAGACCGCTTCTTGCTCGTTTTTGCTCCCCGTGGCATCGCGTCGAGGTGGAACCTCTGTAATGCAATTCGAATGAGGGAGCAAACGTACTGCAATATATATATATTAAGTAACAGAAAGCGAGCTAAGTGAGCAAGCGCTTAGGGGAGAACCTGAAAGCTTCTAATACGTGCTTGTGTGTTGGGGGTGGTATAGAGCCCTGTTGTTTCTTCTCACCTGATTAGTGTAGCGAAGGTGAAGGTGAGCGACGTGAAGTAAAGCGTAACCCAAGGAAATGCAAGAGGAGAAAACTTCGAAAAAGTGCGAAGCAGCGAGTTGTCCAATCGCGGGGGTTACAATTGAAACTCTTCATCCCGTCTGCTTCTGCAAGGAGCCCTGTGATAACAACGGCAAACGGCTGCGTGATGCCAACGGGAGGCGAAGTTGGTACTCCTGCCCGCATATCTGGCTCCCTGGCATTCGGTACACAATTCAAAATCAACGTTTGTTTGCGGTCAAAGAAAACCGATAAGATGAAGGAAACACACCTGGAACGCCGATACACGCATGATAAGTGTCAGTCAAGTTTGCTATCACTGTGGATAATATATATATATTTAAGAGTAAGATGACGAACCACGACGGCAACGCCTTCAAAGCTGTGCAGGCGCTACAGCTGTAATAGCCGCCGACAGAAAACACCTCCAAAACACACCTCAACCTTCAGATATCCTGCAAACAAAAACCATCAAGTACACAACTTTCTTCTTTCTTTCTTTTCACCCCCATAGCTCCGCCGCGTCTACCGCCGGTCCGTACACGCCGCGGCTCGACACGCCGTGCTCCTTACACCAGCGACCACGCACGCGTTGCAGCTTCATGTACCAACCCCAAAACTCGTGTGTGCGTAGCTGCTCGACGAGGCGACGATCGCGGTGCATCTTCTTGGCAAAGTCAATTCTTTTTTCTTGAGCGTGCTCGAAGACCACGCGCGGCGTCATCGGCATCACGGGCAGGTGACGCGACTCCCGCTGCGGCTTAGGGTGGTTTGCTAGAATCTTGTGCACGTCACTAAAGCCCTGATACATGCCCGGAGCAGGAGAGGCAGGCACTTGGCCCTGGTAATCCGTGCCGTGCTTGGCGAGGTACCGGTGTCGAAAGTCGGAGACCCAGAAAGACGGGCGCGCATGGTCTTCGTTCAGGAGCGCTCGCCAGTACATGCGGCTGTAGGGGTTCGTGCGCGAGCTGCTCCATTTGCGCGAGTACAGGCGGGTGCGCGGTGGGACCGGGTATGACTGAATCGCCTTCCGGCACAGCACCAGCGTGTTTTGAAGCATTCGATATTCAGCTTATTGCACCAGGCGCAACTATGAATATTTTGGGGCTATCATTAGCAGTATTCACGTTACTTTCGTTGGTTTCACATAAGCAGCACCCAACAGCAATGGAATAGGTAATAATTTATTGTAAAAGAGCAGTTGATCAAAGTAAGTCCATTCAGAGAAGGTAGAATAGAGAATTGCGGTGAAAGTAAGTACTTTTTTCAAAAGGATATCTCAGCTTTTCAACCTGAAGACCAGGTTGCACAATGGAAAATCCCCCTCTAAAAAAAAACAGGCAGCTTGCCACGCACTCATGATTAGAGCTGGCTATGATGCAGCTAACGCCTCTCCCCCGCCGCTTGAGACGCACGTAAAAGCAGAAGGGAACACGTCACCCAGACGACATCCTTTGCAGTAATGCCAGCTTGTAAAGTGATGCGACACATCTCGCTACGTATCATGGTGGTGATGTTGTTTTTCTAGTACGAGAGAATAAAGCTAATTATGTACATAATGAACATGGAAGAAATCAGTTGAAGTGGACAGTTCGCAGCTTGTGGATATGCGTTCGTGAAACCGCAAAAAGAAAAAAAGGTAAGCCCTGAAATTATGATTCAGCTGATAATCGGGCAACGTTTTACATCAAAAGACACTCAACGCATCAAAGGTGACGAGCCAAAAGAGTCCCCAACCCCACCCTCTCCACAAACAAACACAAACAGAAAAAACGCTACTGCGCAGTAGTTTTCAAATGTGTCGCGTGCTGCCCGAGACGACATTCGGGGCGTGCAACGGCTCCTCGTACATGGTCGTGTACTGCCCCGGAACCATCTCGGCGGGAGTGTACATCTCGCCCGTGTGCACGTCGTCGCGGGGGTGGTGGTAGCGCTTATCCATCGTGTACACGCCGTCCTCGATGTCGAAGATGCCCCGCGAGCCGTGCTGGTGCGACACGTCGGCCTCGGAGCTGCGATCCTGGTACTGGATCGAGTACTCGGTGCCCCAGCCGTTGTCATGAAGCGTCTTGAAGCGAGCGTCGCGCTGCGTCACGGCCGCCTCATGCGCGGCGGAGAGCGTGTAGTTTGTGTTGCGCAGAGGCACCGTGGCGTCGCGGTCGTTCGCACGCGCCGCCATCTCCACGTCGTACGCGGCGTGCTCGCGATGTGTCGTGCTGAGCCAGTCCTTGGCCGAGTACGTCTCGTACCCGTTCGGCATCGTCTCGGCGTGGCTGGCGGCGAGTGTGGTTCGTAGTTGGTCGCGGTCGACCGCCTGCCCGCGTCGCAGCGTCTCGTGCGTGCGTTCGCGACGCCGAGGGCCTTCGCGCTCCACGTTGTTGTAGCGGCTCTTGTAAACATCAATGTTCCCTTCGCTGTCAGCGAGATCTTTCTGCCGGGACGACGACGGATCAACACCGCTGAAGTCGCAGTAGTCGTCCGAGGTGAGGCGATACGGATCTGCGACTTCCGTGCTGCTGTAAGGGGTGCCTTCGAGATTATCCAGCTCGGCTTTAAGAGCATCCTCTTTCTGCTGTCCTGCACGCAACGTCCCCAGCACATCATCGTCAAAAGTGCGGGGAATAGCCTGCTGGGTGGTCTGCAGCGTCAGAAAGCGTGGCTTGCGCGATTGCGAGCCGTCGGGAAGCTGGCGTGTGCCGTCAAGGCCGTCGCCATCAGCTCCTTGAAGCTTCTGCAGCTGTGTGGCGTTGAGACCGCCACCGCTGCCGTCGACACCGGCGCACTTAAAAAGATGTAGGCCAACTGTGGTGTAGTCTATCGTGCGGGGGTAGCTGGTTTGGTCCTTGGGGAAGGGCACGAGTTTGCGGTTGATCTCCGCCTGAAAGGGGTAGGGCTCCTTGGAGACTACATCATCCGGCGCGCGCGGCGGCACCTCTCCTGTGGCGCCCCAGTACGCACTCGTCGCAAAGCCTTCCTTGCTGCGTGATTTGAGGAACTCGGTGAGGGAGTCTTGATCGTCCGGCACGTCGTTGGTGCTACGCTGTGAGTAGTTGAACGCCCCGTTCGCATTGGTGCGGGTGCGAGTTGAGCGCATGGCTGAATGTATCTAAGATTGTTTTCTAAGACGTGGTGTCGATGTGCGGCCACTTTAGGTTTGGTATTCGTCTGTTTACGTTTCCAAATCACTGGTGTGCAATCACCAGTTGAAAGCAGAAAAAAAAAGTCTTACACGTTCACAGCTTTGGGTCAGCGATGTGATGACGGCACAACGTCAAGTTGGGGTGCGTAGAAGAACACGACAGAGAAGACGGCGAGGTGCGAAGAAGAAACAGAAGTTAAACAAAGAAAAATGGGGCAACAGAGTTAACCCAAACTCAGTCACGCCGCCACCATGGAAAAGAAGAACTGTTTGCTTCTTTTTCACATTGAGTGGGTACGCCGCACATGCGGATTATGCAGGAGGCAGAACGAGAACAAGTCACGAAGAAGTCTCTCCCATGTAGCAACGCTGTCCACAATACCAGATCTAGCATTCTTTCCCTCGTTCTTTCAATATACGGTTACGGAAAAGCAGCTACAACGACAGCTTTAGCCAATGAAATCGAGAGGAGACAAGGCCATACGCCACCTTGGCTTCACACACACACGCACGCGGGGAAAAAAATAAAGGCAACAACGTCTTGGGACACACATGGGGAGGCGATAAGTTTGCATCTTTAAAAAAGAGGAAAAAAATGTAGGTGACCAGAAAAGAGCATCGGAAAAATTAGAAATGATTTCTTCAATAATATCAACAACGACTAAAAGGCTGTTCGAAAGAACGTGAAGGCGCAATTTTGGGGGGAGGCGAAGAGAAAAGAAGAAAAGGAAGATACATAGCGATTAGCAGAAAGAGGTGAGTTGGACATTATTTCTCTTTGTAGCGGCCCAATGGAGTTCTGCCGTGGATGCAACTTGACCATTTTTTTGTGTTTCAACGAAGAAAAGGAGTAGACAAATCGTATTCCTACGCGTCAAGAAAACAACACGAAAACCTAACAAGAAAGCAGATGGAACCGAATGTTGCGCCAAAGCGGCAATCACGTTTGTCTGCGTACATACTAGGGAAGGCTGTAAAGAAATGTAAACTACAACAGCCAACTGCAGCATCTGCCCATCGCTGCTGACTTCGATTCGTCGTTTCGCGCACGTGTCACACAAGCACCACCTGCTTAGCACTGCATACATACAAGAGCCGTTGTTGCTAAGAAACACACGGCGTGCATCGCGCACAACTAAAAAGAAAAAAAACGTGTTGCCTTTAAACCTTACTGTTTTGCTAGATTTGTGGAAAGGAAAAGTGTGTAACACGTTATAAGTCTGTGAGGAAAAAAAAATGCCACGCCCAACGAAACGAATGTGCAACTCCGCCTGCAGTTGTGAGATTTGTACTCTCTCTTTCTGTCTCTTTTCCGCATTGAAAACTCAGCTGGCCATTATTCCAGGCTGATGCCTAGCTGCACAGCCAGTTGCAACTGCGCGTTGCGAATGCTTTGCATTGCGTTGAATGACTCGTCGAGAATGTCCAGCTGTCGCTGCGTTTCGCGGCGCAGCTCTTGCTCCTGTTGCAGCTCTTTTTCTAGCACTCGATTGCTCTCTTTCCTTGCGAGGAAGGAATCCTCCTCCCGGTGCACCGAGTACGATATCATCTTCATGAGCCGATCCGCAGAAACCGCGCTGCCGCTCCCATTCGCATCCTCGATGTTGGCGGATTGCACTGCAGTCAGGTTGTACGATGTGAGGGAGAGTGTCGCGGGCACGTTGCCAAAGTGATTTTGCGGATGAAAAGGCGGGCTGGTGGACTGCAGCGGTGGGGACGGAGCAACATAGTTTCCTCCGTCATTTCGCCTAGCGTTGGCGCTGCCGTTCACGACCGGGTACGAGTGGCCCGGTCCTGGCGCGAGACCGTGCTCGTTAGCCGAATCGACGGTGCCAGCAGAATAGGAAGGCGGGGGCGACTTCGCATCGTGACGAGACGCATCCTCTGCGCCGGGGCTCAATGTCATTGCTGGCGGTGGGCGAAACACACCCGTCGACGTCTGCTGTCCCCATGGAGCTGTCGGACCAAGATTTGGCGACACATAGGTGGAGGAGGTGCGAGACATAAGCGTCGTTAACGATGGAAAACTCGAGTAGTCGTGTGTGGAGAAAAACGACACAAGAGTCAGATTTAGCAATAAGAAAAAAGAAGAAAGATAATCAAAGATCTATTAGCGTCACGCACCACAAAAAGTTCCTAATGGGTAGAAAAGAAGCGAAGATGATTCCGATGATGGAAGGTCAAATCAGCAACGTGTCAGTGGGCTACTACAGCACACTTCGAAAGTGTGACAAGCGGAACCGCTAAGAAGTGCAAGGGAACGCGGGAGCAGAATTTGCTGTTCAACAATAAAGCTATTTGACAGCAAACAAGAGTTGAATGAGAGAAATGTAGAAGAGAGGCTTTTTAATGCTACAGAGCTACCGTTAAATAGAAAGAAAAAAGGAGTACGCTACGAGGGACAACACAACGTAACTGTTCTGTGTAAACGTCGAAACAAAAACAAAAGAAAACGAGCTCCTATTGTGTAGCCGCACGTCGTTGGGGACAAGAAAAGGGTGAAAGAGGGAAGCAGAAAAACTCGAAAGATAGCACAGATTCACCCTTTAGCAAAGACCTTTGAATGCGGAAATTCAGGCGCATGTCCGCCATTGCTCAATTCAGCAGAACGGAGCCATTTGGAAGTGGACATTGGCGCCAACCTCTCATTAATGAAACAGAAAAACGCCATTCATTGTTACGGTGATTGGAGAGCACGCAGCAGAAGTGAATGACGTAGGCAGATAACCTATTTATTGCTAACGACTAAGCTTGGGAGTTTTTACTTTATTCTGGTGGGGGCAAATAAGGTAATGAGTTCCATAGCAATTACGTGTAGGTACTCTTCCTGTTCTTGTAAACGAAGCTGAAAACGAAACGTCCGACTTTAAATGGTCGGGAAACTCACGTTTCGTACGATGAGCACGAACTCGCTTTGTCGAACAAATTCAAAAATTGTGAAGATTAATAAGTAAGAACAAAAAAAGGGCACGAGTCGAGAAGGAAAACGATTGCCAACTGTCAATGTGTCCGCAAAGAGCAATTTGACACTCCACGCGGCTGATTCCCTCTGCGCCTCAGGTCGCTCCAACGCTGCTGCAGCCAACCACCAAACTGAAGTGTATTGTTGTGCGTTTTCTCTTCCCTTCTTTTGTGGGGACTAAGAGCTCTCACACAACTTTGGTGGCTATCTCACTGTGGAGCTTCGTAGAGCCCTTAGAAGATGCTGCATTTTCCTTGTCAGCAGAGACGTCCTTTTCATGTTGCCCATTTGTTTCTTTTTCCCTTTCGTTGGAAGCAGCATCTGCATCGTCCACAGATTTCGCGCTGGCCGCGTCTTGCTCGCCGTCACCAACGTATTTGAGGCGACTCATGAGCTCATGAAGGCGCGACGCGGCCATCTTTGCCCCCGAATCGCCGGCCGTTGCAGCACGTAGCACCGCATCGCCGAACTCCTTTTTGCGCTGGCAGATCTCGTAGCAGTATTGTTCAATAGTATCTGAAATGATGAAGCGCGTCACATACACCGGTTTTTTCTGGCCGATGCGGTAACAACGATGCACGGCTTGCTCTTCAATGGCAGGGTTCCACCACGGATCCACCACAACGACGTGATTGGCCGCCGTGAGGTTGAGGCCGACGCCGGTAGACGTTTTGCTCGCTAACACAATCTTGACGCTTTTGTCGTTTTGGAGCTGGCGGATAACCGCGTTCCTCGCTGACAGCGTCATCGTGCCATCGATGCGCAAGGAGGCGATTTTATAGCGTTCAAGCGCTACTGTTACGACGTCCATAAAAGAAGTGAATTGGGAGAAGATGATCATTTTGTCGTCTGGATGCTTCTGCTGCATTTCGTGGATAGCACGCAACACCATGCGCAGTTTGGTGCTTAGCTCGAATTCGTTCCGCCTGTATTGCGCAATTCGGTCATGAGACGACAGCGTCTGCTGCTTGAACACCGATGCGTACGTTATTGTTTGGCTGCAGTTAGGACATTGTGTACGGGTGGCAACTTCATCGCCGTCAACGGCGTCGCGAAACTGCAGGAGTAGGCATTCGTGGCAGAAGACATGTCCGCATTTTGTCACAACGGCAGACGACGCTTCGTTTTTGCAAATGCCGCAGACAGAAACTTGAACAGCACGGCCTCGGCTGATCCACGGATGGCAACATGCCTGTCGGAGTCGCGTCATCATGGCGAAAATGTGAAAGACACCTCCATCCTTGTCCTCTGAAGAAGCCAGGGCACTTTTTGATCGCGCCAGCACACTGTTGTACATGTGCGATTCCTTCACCGTAAACGACTGCCTCATCACCACCTCTGTTTTTGGTGGCAACTGCACCAGCACCTCCTTTACCCCGTTGCGGATCATAACTGGGCCACGTCGCAGAAACGCCGGCTGCAGCGAGCGCGCAATGCTGCGTTGCAAGATCGGGTCGTTCAGCAGCTCCTCTGAGTTTGTCCCAGGCAGAATAGGTAGACGCGGTAGTCCTATAAAGTGAAGTAAGTTCTGCAGATCGTCGATAGAGTTGTGAAGCGGTGTTGCCGTAACCGCCCACCGGTGCAACCCTTGTAGCTCTTGCACTGCCCGCCACCGTTGTGTCCGGGTATGACGAATCATATGGGCTTCGTCCAGAATGATGCGCTTCCAGTGTATTTGAAACAGCGGGCCAGCCTCCTTTCGACTGAACGCAAAAGTGCGCGGTTTGTCCCCGGGAATAAATGCTGGAAGAGAAGAGTTGGTCAGCGTCTCGTACGTCGTGATGACAAAATCGTAGGTTTCCAGCTCTGTGCTGCTCACCCATTTATTGTCGCCGTGATACAGGTATATCGTAATTTTCTTGGAAGCCTTCACCTTGGACTCGATTTCTGATTTCCACTGAAGCATAAGGGACGCTGGGACCACGACGAGTGTGCGCAGCTCCTTCGAGACAATGAGCTGATAGTCCTTCTTTTCGGCATCATCTAAAAAACTTTTTGCACGATCCGCGTAGGACGGATGAAATTTGCCCGCAAAATGCAACCACTTATCGATCTCACTGCGAATTGCCTTGAAGTTGCCTTTACGTGACCTAACCCGTTCGTTGGTGGAGGAAATGAGAGAATTGAGATCGTCCCCCGGTCGGTTAATGCGTGAGCAATTTGCAACGACGCTAATCCGTTGCATCTGACGAAGAACCGTAATGAGCCGGCTTCCTTCAGCCAGCATATTACTCTGCTTCAGATGCTTTGAGTGGAATGACTTGTTTACCTTGTCTGAAACCAAGCACAACCCAATCATCTGTACGGTTTTTCCCATCCCTAGATGGTCAGCCATAATGCCACCGACGTGGTTCATCTCACGTTGTGCCATCCAGCCCACGCCTTCCTTCTGAAAAGGAAGCAGCTGAGTGCTCATATCAGGCACTTCCATGGTCTGCAGCTCGTCATCGTAGGAGAAAGATGAATAAAACTCGCGAACTGGGGCTGCTTCTGAGGACGACAGGGGAGCTTGGATGACGACAGCGAAGCGTCGCCGAGAAAACTGAAATCGCCAAAGTTTGCAGAGTTTCATGTGATCATACTGTAAAAGTCACAAGTATGTGTCTAGATAAATTAGTAAGGAGCAAAGAAATTTTTTTCCTTTTCTAATCTCCTCTTTTAACAGCAGCAGTCGGAAAAAAAAAAACAATTATGCTATCGCACACAAAGCAAAAGCAAGTTATTTGCACCGATTCAACCGCTCAGAATAATGGAAGAGCTGTACACCAGCAGATCATAATAAAAAGGGGGAAAAGACTCTTCTTAGCTTCTTGGCAGTCCTTGAGCCTCAATCGCTGGACAGTGCCAGTGCTCCTCTTGTAAGAGCGGATTTAAGTACTTCTAATAGATGTAAGGCGTTAACTCAGTTCGATTTCACCAGAAAAAGGAGGAGGAGGAAGAAGAGGAAGAAAGAATAAAAGTAATGCCGTTGAAAGCACTCACCAGCTTGAAGTGAGAGGGAAAAATAAAAGGCATAAAGAAAAATGCATTTCGTCACCCCAGTGAAAGCCTTTTTTCTACGATCTAAATCAAAACTACATCGAAAACAATAATGTAGTTGATGCAATATATATTTTTTGTTGTTGTTTAGCACGGGAAGAGCTAGTGTTCAGTTAATTCAGAATACGAAGGCATGAAGGGGAAAAAAGAGAAAACTGTACGTTTAAACATAGCAGAACAAAATGATTAATGTGGATAGTGACTCAAACAAGAAGAAAGAAAGAAAAACAAACAAAAGCAAAAATAAAGGTTTGATTAAAACTCATCTTTTCGATACATTATTTTTCTCCGCTCATTGCTGAAAAAGAGCTGTGGTAAATAATATCACTGCGATCAAACACGCAGCGACATAGGAAGGCTAGCCGATGAGATCGTTCCAAAGTAGAAAACCACGAAAACGTCTCAAGAAAGAAAGAAAAAAAAAGTGCTACAGTGTCGAAAACCGAATGAAAAATTGCTTCGCTTCCATAATTAGTACTACTATTGCTCATTTTTTCTTTTTTTCTAGGGAACTCTTCGTCGTTTGTGACCGTACAATTGCGAGTAGATCAGCTTTTTGGCGTTGCGTTCCTCTTCCGATAAAATGTATTTTGCACAGTCGTCGTCAGTCCTTTCAAGAAAGAACGTGGTGAATCTGGAATAATTCTCCCGGTCGCTTCGGGCTTCTTGCGGAGAAGATTGCTTTAACGCAGTGTCGTCACTATCTGGTTTCTTTCCTTCCTCTGTGTGCTCATTAGAGCAAAACGAATACATAGCATTTACGTCTATTGCCGTTGAATCCATCTCTGAAAATTTATTACTGTCATTAATTGAAGGTTTGAAGGTATTACAATTGGTCGACGATACAACCTCTCCTGAAATGTGATCGTAACTCAACAGCTGCACACGTTGCAAATATGTAGGAAGAGCTGACATACCGGTTGCTTTTAAGTTACGTCGAGTAGTCATGCGTTTCCCGTCGGCCAACACTGCAACAGAGTCGAGAGTCTCGAATGAAGATGGAATTTTCTTTTGATCGTAACGGTTAAATGTAAATGCATTGAGACACCCGTGGAAAAAGTACTGCATTACATTAGCGGAACACAACCTTTTCTCACGTGTGTTGGTTTGCTTGTTAAAAACGGACTCAAACGTACGAAAACACACGTGATACGTGGCGCAGGCGCAGAGCTCAGGTTCTGCTGTTGAGTAAAGAATACCGGTAGGTGAAGCCTTATCGAAATTTTGACTCCGAAGTGCCGCTTCTAAATTTTGACGCAGAATTATAGAGCCCTTCATCGCTTGCAAAAATAACTCATCACTATCCTCTCGCTGCAAAGGTGTTACAGAGAGTTCGGCGCAAAGTAAACCGTACGTGTAGTTCCACATTCGATGCAGTGGTCCCCCGCTGCGTGACTGCAAATTCATTGCGTGAATTCCGGTCTCTCGCGCACTTCGTTGATTCACCAAGCGTTTTGCGCTGCTGCAAAGCAGCGCGCGATGAACGTGGCATTCTGCATCCAGCCAAACCCGGGAAAGATGAATTTCAAAGCCCAGAGCTTTGGAGGCCCAGATGTCAAACGTTGTCGAGGAAATAAATACCCCATACTCTTCAAAGAAGAAACACTGCAGGAGCACGCCGATCATCGCAGGCACCGCCAAAGGCTTCTCAAGAATGCAAAACGGCAGCTTTTCCTGAACATGCTTTTGATCAAGTATCACAGCTTCTTCGGCAATGCGACCCAGCACTTTTGCTACATCGTCACCAAAAGGGAAATCATGGAAGGGTAGGCCTGACAGCTCGTTGCGGTGTGAAACACCTTTTTCTTCCTCGATAAGTTTATTCGGTTCCACGTAGTAGGTATTAACTAAAAAGCGGACAAATTCTCCTTGCTTCTTCCAAAGAGGTACTGTCCGCCCTTCTTGCAGAAATTCTTCCTGTTGCGGAAAAACATCCATTTTGGGAGGTACCCACAAAGAAAAAAAGTATCTACTGAGATTAGGCAATACAATTACGGGTGCATGCAATAAAGTGGTGTTCAAGAAAAGAGAAAACACAACAACAGTAATAATAATAACCGTGAGGCAACTATTTTGAAAATCGTACGCCGGATATATTATCAGGAATAAAAAAAGAGAGGGGCTTTTGAGTAGCAGACATCGCAGGAACCATAAATTAACACCATAACGACTATGTTACCCAACACGACGGTTTTTCTCCTTTGTTTTACTGCCTCTAAGAAGCGGAACCAAGAGACTCCGAAGCCTCATACTCCGAGTCGATTCCTTTAACAAACGCCGTCCGGTGAACAACAGTTCTTTAAAAAGAAAAGAAAAACAGACGGCGCTTGCTGGTATGTAGAGGGTCTGAGTGAATCTGTTTCTCTCTTTTCCTTTTTTCAGTACGTGACTTCGTTGTTCACATCTCACAATTCGTAACTTCAAGCTGCATAGGTACCGTTGCCAAGAACTGTACCTTGCCATTAGTTCGTTCGTGTGAGGGAACTGGATGTGCTGGTCCCCCCTCCCTTCCTCTTCTTTCCCCCTGCTCTGCTTTCAGAACTTTCTCACGCTCTGAAGACCAGCCTTACCGTATGTGCGTGAGTGTTGGTTCCTATCCTCATGTTTCTTGCAGCATTCCAAGGGAAACACGTTCTCCGCCTCCCCTCTCCCCGCCGCGCGTGGATGAACAAGGGAAAAACGCTTGCCCTCTATGCTCTAGAGAAGTCACACCTTGCACTTCTACTACTCAACGGTCAGGCTCAGAGAGCTGGCATCATTACATGGCGGAAAGAAACAAAAACGCCGGCAGAACACCCTAAGCACATGGTGTACCCACTACTGTTGCGGGGCTGCTGTGCTTCGCAAGACCTGTCCGACGCGTTGTGAAGAGTGTACAAAACGCTTTGAAAAACAGCCTACTTCTTCTGCTGTAAATACAACTTTCTGGCCTTCTTCTATTCTATTATCCTTTCGGTGCAAGTTGAGCGTTCTTGAATTGATCGAGAAAGCTTGATCTTTGTGTTTATGTTTCCAGTTGATTTCGTAGGCACGCACAGAAACAGATTTGACGGTATTTCAAATTTCCTGCTCCGCTTTCTTTTCGCTTTTATGAGTCTGTATTAACGCGCATTACATTTTGAGAAGCGGTGCGGACTGCTACAACTCATCTTCGCGTTCATTCTTATTGGTATTGGTCGACACTGAAAAATATCTTCCTGGTTCAGTTTTACTAGTGGATGAGTTCTAGCGCGCAATTCCACACCGCTGCTTTCCAAAGCAGACCAACGGCGGCCAGCGCTAATGAACGATCCGATATGTATGTGACAGCGCTTGACGTTTTCAACAGACGTGCGTACTTTGACCCACAGAAAGAGAGCTTTACCGACGCGCAGCTTGGCAATTTCGGTGCTGCCACACCGTTAACATCGAAAAGGAACAGTAAAGTAGCGGAAAACTCTACACCATCGGAGACGCAGCGCAACAGTGGTCAACCTGAGTCCTACATTGAACCAAATGAATCGGCTGTTTGTAAACTGAAGCACTTTTCTTCCGCTGAAGCATACATGACGGCCAACTCAGTAAAAGAAGATCTCATGGACACCCTCGGTGAAAACAACTCAGCTCAGATTTATGTGCACAAGGAACTTCTGCAAGAAAAGCGGCGCTTGTTTTTTGAAACTCTTTTTACCCACTCCGACGACCTTCATACGGCCCTGCCTTGCCGTTTTTCCATAGACGACGTAGATAAACTCTTTCAGGACGATAGTCAGATAAAAAGCGATCCATCGAAGCTTTACCGAAATAGACTAAGGGCACTTGATCGCCTTCGAGAAACGCTCGACAGCTAAGAAAAGGTTTTTATCTTTGTTATTTGAAATTATTTCTGTGTCTGAGATCAAGAAAAGAAATACATCCTTTCCTGAATGAGTTTTTAAAGGCTGTGCTTTTGTTTTAGAAACAGAAGGCATCCACTAAGGAAGCGGCTTCATATTATCAAGTAGGTTTCTGGATACACTGGTATAAAAAGCATTCGTTAACTCTTCGTCTGATGCAATTGATGCTGAAGAGCCGACCGATGAAGTACAAGGATTGCCAGGAGCATTTAAGCAGCCTCGAAGACGTAGGTTTCACTCTTGCTTGTTTTCAATATCATTTATCTGTCTCATCCTTCTACCTTTATTCACGCGTCACAAATCGGATGCAAGTATAGTTTGGAAGAGAAGAATAAATAAAGCAAAGTAGCTGAAGGAGCAAAAGATGCGCCGTTTTCTTACCACAGCTGCCGTAGCGGTTAGCGCCCGGGCGATAAGTATTCCGTGGGAATCGCAGCTCCCTAACATCAATGATCCCCTATGGCATTTGATGGGGCAAGCCGTTACCGAACTCGCCTTGACGTACGACACGGGTAAAGTTGCTTTTGATGAGTGCTGCTCCGCTCGAGAGCAGCTCGAGTCCATTGTGCAGTCAATGGGTTATGACATGTCAATCTACATTTTTGGTGGTCTTGTCACGTCGGCTCTCTTTGAGGTTGGGGGAGACGTGGACTTTGTTGGAATTCTCGACATCGAGCCAGGCTTCGAAGAGGCAGGCGAAATTGTGCGACGTGCAACGCGTGAGCTGCGCCGCTTAGGTATTCGCGCACGCGCTTATCCCAAGGCCCGTGTACCTGTAATTAAAGCCGATCGCGTGAGCCGCAGTCTTCCAGGGTCACCTCTTCACAACCTTTCCTGTGATGGGATCTTTCAATTTAGCCGACAACTCCGTGCTTCAGAAGCTGAAACCTTTGATAAGCGCGTTACCGGCAACTACAACGCCTTGTCTGTGGAGTGGAATAGCTCCTACCAGTTTGCGACGGTACAGTTTGCCACCACATCCTCGCTCATGTACGCCCTCGCAAACCTAAAGGCGCATAACGAGGTTGAGATACCGCTTCGGCTTCCCGTGGACGCCCTTCATGGACCCGAATTGTATCGGTTTCCGTTTGACTTCTGCCTTTCTTCGACGGGTTTGCGCAACTCACACCTGCTGGGAGAAGCGCTGCAGCAGCATCCTTACTCGCGGCATTTGTTATTGATACTTAAAAAGTGGGGCCGCGCCAGCGGAATCATAAATTCTATCGACGGTCTTCTAGCTAGTTACGCGCTGACGGTGATGCTGGTCCATTTCCTGTCGGTAGTGCAGGCAATTCCAAAAATCTCTGTCGAAAGAATTGCCGTGGGGCCCAGCGACCTCAGCCCCAATCCAAAATATCGACCATTGGCGGCAGCGGCGCCCGAATCTATGCCGGAGGTGGGGTACTTATTTGCGGCATTTTTCGAGTACTACGGCACGATTTTTAACTATGCAGAAAACGTTGTCTGCACAACAAACACAAAACTAACAAAATCAACGATGCACTGGGACCAGCCGAACACGGCGGTGGGGAAGCCGCCTTTTTTTCATTTTGCCATCAAGGACCCTTACGGACTTGATAACATTGCGCGAAACCTTGACCTCCAATCTGTAAAGTTTGTGCAAGAAACACACCAGATGGCTTTCGAATCTGTGTTAGGAGGCACACGCAATCCTGCGTTTGTTGTGACGACGCTCATCAAAGAACCTCCAATGCCTAGTCGCGAGGCACGGTCTCTGAGCGATCGTGGCATTTATTCCCAAACGGTTTCGTCAGATCAGTTGGAGGCACGTCATGTTCTGAATAAGCTTCGTTTTCATCAACGCAAGCGCTCCATGGAAGCTCTTGGTGAGCAAGCCGTAAAGAATTTCAACGATCAGAACAAGGCCTCCGACGTCACAAGAAATGTGTTGGGATGGATCCGCAAGGACAGCGATTTGTAATTGCTGATTTGAAATTTGGGTGATTATGTAGGAGATGAAACTCACGCACAGGAGAAACGCACAAGAATAAAAAGAAGAGCAATTTTTCGAGTCTCTTATATATATATATATATATATATATATATATATCGTCTCTAC